CTGCTAAAAAAACATAGGCCCACCCAGGTGCATGCTGGTCCTCTACCTGCCTCTTACCTAAATGACCTGTGGTGCCCACAGTGTTACCCAAACACCTCACAAAAATATGCAAAAATATGCAAAAATATGCAAAACTAAATGTACTAAACAAACAACTGGCAAAAGAAAATATTACCCAAAATAAAGAAAACATGTTGAATAACTAAATAAACAACACCAACCAAATATTAGTAAACTAAATACCAAACTAATTCTAACAACAAATAAATAGCTCCTATGTACAGTATAACCAAGACAAGATGGCCGCTCAACTGGAAAGTAACCGCTTGACCATGTTTGTTAAAGTGAACTCAGCTGGTGAAAGATAACTACTTGTTTTATACTAGAAACTCAAATGAAATGCATATATATGATAAATTTGGTAATACTGATACTGACTTGATATGCTAATATTGGCTGATATTATCAGCTGGCCGACTAATCAGCCAGGCTCTAAAAAAAAACATTGGTTTTTGGTTTGCAGTATTGTTATTTTAAGTGGTCTGTACTGCCAACAACCCATAACTGAGTTGGATGTTGTTCTCCGATAATGTGGATGCAACAGTGAAAAGGTCCCCCCCCCCACCAGCACCAAAGAGTTTGATTTTTCTTACGTCTTCTCCGTTCTTCACCAGTCTGTATTTGTACGTAACCTCGCTGCCATCCTGCACACCTCGGGGCTTCTCCCAGGACACGTTCACGGTAAACTGGTCGATCCACTCATATTTCAGCCTCGTTGGTGGAGGAGGCCAATCTGTCGGCAAGGGAAAGAAAAGAGGAATTCATCCTACAGCCACCTTTTCAGTGTGAATCATGCTGATGAAAAATAGAGAGAGCTTTCAGGAGGTTAAACAAGGCCAGGAATATTTCAGACATAACTGTGGTCACAACAAAGCCCAGGTTAACTCAACAAAGCACAGTTTCCACTTTTGTCTCATTTTCACAGAAACATATTTCACAACAAAGTTCAATATGCATTCTGGGATAGTTTGTCGTGTCGGCTGGGCTTTCTGTCAAGGAGCTCCACGGCTACATTTTAAAATGCAATCGATGCACAACCAAACTGCAAGCCATCCCATAAAAAAGGCCATTATGACACTTATCTTAAGTTATCTTGATTTTAGTTAGCACATTCCTGCACAAACTGAGCAGCTCTTTCACAACATTTGCAGTTCAACATATAAGGACACATTAATTCGACACTCAGCGGCCACTTTATTAGAAACAGCTGTTCAACTGCTTGTTATTGAAAATACCTCACCAGCCTATCACACGGCGATGGTCTAGACGATCTGCTGAAGTTTAAACCGAGCACCAGAATGAGGAAGAAAGGTGATTTAAGTGACTTTGAACTGGTCTGAGTATTTCAGCAACTGCTAATCTACTGGGATTTTCACGCACAAGGGTTTACAGAGAACGGTCTGAAAACGAGAAAATATCCAGTGAGCGGCAGTTCTCTGGGCGAAGATGCCAGAGGTCAGAGGTCAGAGGAAAACAGCCAGACTGGTTTGAGCTGATAGAAAGGCAACATTAACTCAAATAACCCTTGGTTATACCCGAGGTCCCTGAGTGCTAACTGAGCATCATTTAAACGCCACAGCCTACCTGAGCGTTGTTACTGACCATGTCCAACCCTTTATGATAACCGTCTTCTGATGGATACTCACAGCAGGATAACACACCATGTCACAAAGCTCACGTCATCTCAAACTGGTTTCTTGAACATGACGATGAGTTGACTGTACTCAAACGGCTTCAACAGTCACCAGATCTCAATCCAACAGATCACCTTTGGGATGAGGTGGAACTGAAGATTCGTCTCATGGATGTGCACCCAACAAATCCGCAGCAACTGTGTGATGCTATCATGTCAATGTTGACCAAAATCTCTAAAGAAATGATTCCAGCACCTTGTTGAATCTATGCCATGAAGAATTAAGGCGGTTCTGAAGTCAAAAAGGGGGTCCAACCCGGCAGCGAGGTGTACCTAATAAAGTGGCCGATGAGTGTAATATTCTTTGTCTACTTTATTCAAAAGTAGGCCTACCTCTCTTTGACTACTGGCAATAAAAAACAATTTGATTCAGACTTTAATGAAGAAGCCTCTGACTGTAAGACAAGAAGGAATAATAATAGTTTTTAGTTGCACAATTAATGCTGAAGTGCACAACTTTAGAGAAACATGTAAGGTGGATGTCAAACGTGTTAAATCATAATGTTGCAGCACAGAATGAGCAACATACTTAAGAATCAAAACTATTAGCAGTGCATGCCCAAACCGGTAAAACAATTGAAGTAGTTCTTAGGGGCGTGTTGTGTTTGGTCCACACAGATGAACCAACTTTCTGCATCTGGAAAAGAGCAAGAGCCAAAACACGCACACGCACTGCCTGTGGGAGATTGTGTGGAGTTATTACAGGCCTGTGACAGTCACCGAAACCAAATGGATTTCTTTGTTGGTGGAGCATTTGGTGTGTTCATAATTGTTATCGAAATGCAAAGATAATTTTTCACAAATTGTCCAACATTAAGAAGCTTTTTTTTTTTTAAGTCCGGAAATGTCACAAAATGCTTCAAAGTCATGAGTCAAAGCGGACTAAACTTGGGCCAAAAAAAACTATTTCATAAACCTATTTGACTTAATTATACTATAGGCCAATTATGTAAAATATAATCTAAGTTAAGTACCACATTACAGAATTAGATGTGTAAGATAAAACAGTCCCATCGTGCGGTTAACATTCATTTAGCAAACTAAAAGTTACTAAATATTATTTCTGATGTTAAAGGTATAAGTTGTTTCCATAGTGTGATATCCCGTCAGAAGAGGCTACGTCATTCAAGAGTGGCACTAATGTGAATGTGTGAGTGGTCGACAAAAAGACTTCAAACTAGCTCCTCAAACTTCTCGTCCAAAGTCTAATTCCAGGTCGAAAGTCAGGAAATAAAAGTGTGTTTACCTGCTTTACTGGGCAGAACCAGAGTCACTGCGGCGCATGTTAAGAAGGCGATAAAGAAGTCCATATGAAAAGTCATGATGTTCCTCTCCTGTAGATCCTCTGGAGGAAAACACAACTACTCTTGTTATGGTTAATTCTAGAGAGTCAGACGAGAGCAGAAGGTCTTGTCTATCTGAAGGAAACAGTCAGTAAGCACACCTTGTCGGAGGGAACAGCGGAGGAGGAGCCGGAGAGAGAGAGAGAGAGAGAGAGAGAGAGAGACAGAGACAGAGAGAGAGAGAGAGAGAGAGAGAGAGAGGGGGGGATGGGACATGAGAGGAATGACAGTGACCAAGTGGGAGTTTCTTTTTTTAACCAACATTGTAACTTAAATGAAAACAAACCATAATAATAAAAACAAGAAAAACGTGTGGGTTAACAACAGTGAAAAGCAGCTAGGCTGAGTCTATAATTGAAGACAGAAATGCGCATGCGTAAGAGTATAAGTGCAATATCCTCAAACCGCCATCCATTCCTCCAGGAAGTCGTCAGGCTCTTAATGAGTCATTAAAGTGATTATGTTTATGATAATGGATTTATGCAGCAACAAACAGAACAGAGTGGACCAACTAATGGTGCTAGTCCAGTGGAAACATTCTCTACATTTCATCTGTATGCTTTTATCATATAGGCTACTTTATGATGAGTTACAGGTTTTTACTGAAATACCCTATTTCCCCCCAAAGTCTAGTGCTATATCTGGCAGCTGTGGTTCAGTGGTAGAGTTGGTGGTCTCTAAACTAGAAGGTTGGAGGTTCAATCCCCAGCTGACACAGGGTTGCTAATGCTCAATCAGTAACAGTGTGTGAATGTGTATGAATTAATACTGATGGAAACTTTACTCAGCAGCCTCTATCATCAGTGAGTGAATGAGTAGGTGTGACCTGGTGTAAAAGTGCTTTAAGTAGTCAAAGGACTAGAAAATTCTACATTTCCCCTCACAGTCTTCTCTGAGATCATTGGACTACCTGTAAGGACTTTGACATCGATCTATGATCAACAGACAATCAGGCTAGCAGGTGGGATTATGCAGGACCCCTCACACGCTCTCTTCCCAGCGTTTGAGTGGCTCCCCTCAGGACGCCGACTTCGCTGTCCCTGCTGCAGGTTGCAGAAGAGCAAGACCCAGGGCTGTCCAGCTCCTCAACTCCTAACCCCCCCCCCCCCCCCAACAGACACCAACACCTCTCACCCAATGCAGACTCTCAGCTGTGAACTTCCTTTATATTTCCATGCACCTTAACTGCCTCTGCTTTATTTGCTCTCATGCACTACATCACTTTATTCTATCCATTTTATATCAGTGTTCATACAGTTCTGGTTAATTTATTCCTGTTGTTTCTTATCCATCATTGCACTACGGTCACTTTATTTATCTAATTCTTAACTTTCCAGCTACGGTCACTTTATTTATCTCATTTATACCTTTACAGTTATATTGTATATATTAGTTCTGTTGTTCCATTATTATTCACCATGCACCTTAATAATTTATCATTTAGTATTTGCCTACTTGCACATAGCTCTGTATATATATATATTTCTCGTTTACTGCACATAGTTCTGGTTACATCTGTTTACATCTGTTAGTCTGATCACTGTCCACTTATATCTACTCTTTTATATTTTGTATTTTGAAATTAAGTTTAAGCTTTAAGTTGTATTTAAATTGACACTTTATATTTAGGTTAAAATGTTTCGTCTACCTGCACTGTTGTTAATTTACTGCTCTGTGTGCCTTTGAATTGCCCCCCGGGACAAATTAAGTTTTTTGAATTGAATTTGAATTGAATTGAATTGAATTGAATTGAATTGAATTGAAAAGCAAGTAAGCATTTCTTTTAAACCTTTTCTGAGATGTTCAGCCCAGACTTCAAACTGATTTCCTTTTTGTGTCCAATTTTTTATATTTTATTGACTTCTCTCTCCAGGGTCCAAAAAAAACACACCTGCCAATGAAAATATATTTTTTCCAGGTTTTATTGAAAAATGGCTTTACAAATTAAGTTTGACAAGCAGCTGCACTTCTGTATAGAATGCAATTAAAAAAAAAAAACTCTGCTAGGACAGTTTGGACTGAAGTGAGTCCAACATGATTCAAATATAAATACATACATACAAACATACAAGGATACAGAATTCTCTTTACAGCATGGACGACACATTATGTACACTAGCTTTAAATATCATTCAATCTAACTGTTTATTACAGTGTAGCACTTGTGAAATACTGTGAGTGACCTGCATGTGATGTTGTTACTCAAGAGTCTCTTCAGGAGGCAGAGCAGAAAGGCACTGGATCTTAACCCACAAGAGAGGAACTCTCCACTCGCTCGCTGTACTGAAGTAAACTGCTGTGATGAGCCCACAGAGAAAAAACTGTTTCAATGATTGTTAGCCAGCTTTAATAGAATTTATCATCATAATACTTTTGACATGATTGACTACCTCTGGAACACTGTTATCAGATCCATTAACCCATTCTAAACAAACCCATCTTAAGAGCAGCTTTAATACAGCCCTGAGTTCTGTTTTGTCTTAACAGCCTGACGAGGCTTTTTGTCACTAAACAAACAGGGAAGTAACTTTGGCCTTGCCTCTTGCTAAAGGCTCCTACTTGACTGGTTTAATCACAAACTATTCACCTGCCAGGCAGCCTGCAATAAACTCTCACCCTTGGCTTTGTTCTTTATTTGATTGCCTTGTAAGAACTAGTTAAATTCCTGCAAGTAAATCCTGCACCAAATAAAACATAGTGGCACGCGAAACTGTTTATTTCTCTTACTGGTTGACACATGTGATATCTGTTCAGTCGAGGGGGAGTGAAGGTCCCTGCATAGATCTGAAGGGAGACTTTGCAGAGCTAGAACAGCTTGAGGAATAATAAATTGCTTTTTCGTCAAGTGTCTCCCACTCAGCAGACAACAGACGATGCTGTAGTTCATTGCAAAGGAAGAAAGAAAAAGTGCAATACAACCTAACATGACTCAACATCTCACCTTCACCTGACATGCTTACCTTTAAGCCCAATTCACACGTGCAAAAAAAACAACTTCTGGACATGTCCAGAGAGCCGTAAACACAAAGAGCAGAGTTTTTCACTCTGTCTTTTTCCCGCCGGCCCCTTCAGAAAACTTTCTGCAAGAAGTCCGGGAGGATGTGTGAACACAGCAGGAACAGTTCAGGGAAAGTGGGAGGGGGAGATGTTTATATCCTGCACGTAATGAAACTGCTTCATACTGTACGTTTTAGTTGTTGTCACAGTACCCAAAATTCAAACTTTGATATGGAAGGAAGGAAGAAAAAACTGTCATCAGAGTGTTGGACTCTATCTAGGTGACACACAATCGCTGTAAGAGACATTATGTGAACATTTCAGGGAGCGCTTTTTCCTGAAATGTTCGAGAAATGTTCAGGATTGCACGTGTGAAAATGGCACTAGGTTGGTGTTGCTGCGATACATTCTCAGAAATACTGCTGCTGTGGTCGGAGTATGTTATCTATCGTCCAATGAAAAACAAGCAAAGACTTTGAAGGATAAGGCGTGTTCACCAGGGGACGATGGGTGGTGCCAGACAGAACAAACATAAAAGAATGGTTCTGTCATTATCCAGAATCCAGGGGGTCAGCGGGGGGTCAGCCCAGGTTGGTGGATGTCCCGCTGATTGCACTGAAAACGTGGAGGGAGTTCTGCAAAAGCGAACGCATCATGTCCTCCTGGTAGATCTGCGAGTCAAATGAAAACACAGATAGTATGAGTGTCAGTTTCCAAAAACATACACACACAAACAAACTCATGTAAGATAAGTTTTTCTCCTTTAACTTTCATTGCATGATCAGTCAGGGTGAGACATTCTATGAGATGTGTTTCAACATATGAATGAAGAGACAAAAACATGTTTTTTTTATAGAATGCATCCTACACACAAGTCTTAAAAAAGAACTGTAAGTAAAACAATATGGCTCAAAAAGGGCCTGTTGCTACTCGACGATCTTGCAGAACTGTGAATGATTATTATCTCAGGGGAATCACTGATCAAATCAAAGACATGGGCTGGGGGGTTTGTCGGGGTTTCTAGTCAGAGGACTTCCAGCATGTTCAGTTGTGTTTCTGCTGCCAGTTTCTTCAGTGAAACAGCTGCTGCAAGAAACGTCAAATGAAAAGGGGGTCCATGCAGCAAAGCAGAAAACACAACTCTGCACCGTGTTTACATCAGTAAATAACTTTCTGTGTGAAGAGTTAGATTTGCATAATTACTCAATTTACATATACAATTTGACAAATCACTTAACTTCTAGTAGAGATTTTATTTTTGCTTTTTTTTTTCCTGTAGGATTTTCTGTAACAGCTGGAAAGAAGCAGATTGTTCCATGTGCCTGTTTCTGAATTATATGTCCGCCCAATGATTGACTGTTCGCCTGTCACTCACAGGGCTGACATATCATTTAGAAACAGGCAACCAGCCACACGCACGTTCACACCTACGGGCAATTTAGAGTCACCAATTAACCTGCATGTCTGCATGCAGACTCTGCACAGAGAGACGCCTGTCAGACGGGGATTCAAACCAGGAACGTCCTCACTGTGAGGGGACAGACTGCACCACTGTGCGGCCTCATTTTTGTTGTTGTTGCTTTGTGATTTAATTTAGCTATGCATAAGCTGCAAGGCTAACGGCTAACATGCTTATGTATAATAGCAGAACAGACGTTATAACACCGGCTGCAGAGTTTAAAGCGTTTTTATGCAACATGTTTTAATATCAAAGTCAACATGCTGGACTAGAGAGGACTTTGCACCCTGGGTTAAGAGGTTAAGCATTGATAGCTGGAGCAATATATGTGTGAAATTAGTGTGTGTGTGTGTGTGTGTGTGTGTGTGTGTGTGTGTGACTGGTTGATTTGTATTTTGCTGTTGCCATCAACTTCCCAGGGACAACAAATGGAAATTAGCTAGCTAGCTAAATCTGGTACAAAGCATCTCTTCTCTTCTGAGACTAATGTTTTTTTTGTACACTGTCCCTCATTCAAATAAACCATTAAACTAAACTAACTAACAGTGAACTTAACCTTAACATATCTGGGAACACTCAACAGGAAAAGGAAAAAAAACTTGTATTACCGTACATGACACACAACAACGTCAGAGGATCTCACAGTGAGCCACAAGAAATTATGAAAGAAATATGGCAACATCTGTTGTGGTTTCAGCTGCAGTCAAGCCATTACTTAGTGTTTCAACAATACTCTGATCTGGGTGTATTATGCTGGTATTTTGATATGCATTAAAAGGATAGATAGATAGCAGTAGATCTGCAGCCAGAATAAAAAAAGGTTTGTATGTATGCTTTGTGGACGTGTCTACACATGCAAATATGCTAACCATGAGCAGGACGATACTGTGCGTGTGAAGACAGGATTTGAGTAGCAGCATCTCTTATTTGCATTATTTCCAACAGCACAGTGTCGGCCAAAATTCACACTGACAACAAATAACCCTCTGATGTATCTGAGAATGTGTCAAGTTTATCAAAGACTCAATTCAACAAGGGCAAGAAGTCTGACAAAACCACTACTCCACCTGTAGCATTGGTCTGATTCACTCTCTCGTATCTTCATTCTGACTTTATTTTTTTATTTTTTCAGTTTCCAGATGAATGCTCTTGTCACTTCTGCTGTAAACCAGTAAATGTTTAAAACTTTTTTTCTGTGTTACAATGCTGCCAGACTAAACGTTGGTTAAGTGTCAGATCATGGCTAAAGGCTCTAGGTAAGCCGGTGAAACCTCTCCCCTGGCAGCCCTGCTGGAAGGCTTCCAGAGAGCTGGCCAATCAGAAGAAAGTGGGCACGCGGGGAGGAGGGGCCTTAAAGAGATAGCAGCTTAAAACAAACCGTTTCAGGCACAGGCTGAAAAGAGGGTTTTTATGGACCCCAGTAAAATATAAATAAGGAGTTTTTTGAGCTGCAAATCATGCAAAGCTACTCTAAAGGTTCCACAGACTGACAACAACATGAAGAGTGAAAATGAGGATAATATGGGATCTTTAATAAGGTGCAAACTAAATAAGTATGTGTTCCAAAATGGCACAAGAAGACAGAACACAGCTTTAAAACAGATTACCTGTTATTCCTTAAAGCTAAAGGCAAGCACATTGGAAGGGGAAAAAAAGCAGTTAGTCAATTAAAACACACACAAAACATCAACCTGGCAATGCAGAAAAACCTTTAGAAGTTTTAGTACAGTCATGACTAATTCCCTTGACTGTGAGCGTTTCAACACAATTATTGATGAGCAAGTGAACTCCTCCCTGGAATGCGATATGTTGTTGAGGCTGCAGCACACATGCTAATTTTAATTAAAAATGTTCATCTTAACTCTGCAGAAAATGATTGTAAAAGCAGGAGTGTGTGAGATGTCCCAGGCCCCCCTTTCTGGGAAATCATTTAATTCCTGAGCACAGCATTCACACGGCGTCCACATACAGAGCGTTCTGACTCACTTCAACTCTGATTATGAGAAAATCAAACACGTTTTAAAAATGTGTTCTTCTGTTCCAATAGCCACAGAGGCTGCTGGATGTTTCTGAAAACTCCACACACATCATGGGCGTCCAATGTCAGGCTTACAGGATATTTATGAAGCATTACCAGCAGGGTTAATGGCTCTCTGTGTGCCAGTAATGAACCACCAACTTCCCCACACACAAGCACATAAAAGTGGATCGCTCATGTTTCCCTTGGGTTCCTCTTTACAACTCTAACATATTCGTATCATTTGCTCGGTAAACTAGTCGTTACCCTTAACCACATAAAGTGTCATAAAGTTCCACTATGCTGCTTCTCGAGGTCGTCATGGTTACATTAGAATAATAACATCAACTGTTGAAAACAGATTTACTTTTTATGTTCTGTAGTTGAAAAGTGGCAATGGACGCCATATTCTATACAGCTTACACACATTTTACGGTGTACCCCAAGGCAGTGTTGAGGGGTTTCTTTTGTTCTGATCGTCTTATTACAAAAAAAAGCATTTTTATCACCTTTGTCATTCTCTCGCCATGTGGGAAGCTTTGGTTTAAATTTGTGTAGATGTTTAGATTGCTACTCTCTCTAAAGCCCACAACCTAATCACCACAGAGGTTTATGAAATGTGCATGTGTTTCTCGCTATATGCGCTCCAGTCACACATTACAAAGGTCTGCCTGAAAAGCAGTGAGTAAGAAAAAAGATGTATTCGATCTCTGCATGGAAACATTTGACCTTTTAAGCCCAATTTCCACCAACCACGTACGGTATACTCTGATCTTGCCTGCGTTTCCACAACCATCTGTACCCTTACTTTGTAGGCGGGATGTAAGCTGAATAGTGATAGCGGGCATCAGCTAGGTTATAAAAGCTAGAACCTCCGAGGTCAATGGGGCGGCTCGAAGAGCAAAAAAACAAAAAGAACCTTTAAATTACATCCAAATCTAAACATGGTGTGTTTTGTGTTTGTCCGCTGTCTCACAGGAAGTGACGATTCTTTCAACCAATCAGTGGACTGCAGTGTCGAGCTCCACACTTTAGGGTCAGATCAGTACACCTGGCACCCCAACAGAAGGGGAAGAAAAGGAGTGGAAACGGGGCTTTAGATGGAGGTCACTCTTGACACCTGATTGGACAGCGCCCCAGGATTTGAAGGCTACTGAGAGGTGAGATAAGGGCAAATGAGGAAGGGACGTGCCAGCACAAAATTTTTATTTAAAAAAATATTAAAATAAAGGCACGTCTGCTGTCTGAAATCCTTCGGCTGAAAGGCATCAAAACTGTTTTTTTTGTTAATAATGGCAACACAACAGTGATACTGTGCATTGAGAAAAATAGATTGAGTCAAACTGTCCATTAAAAACAAGCTTTACAGAAGCAGCCTCTGCTTGCAGATTTTACTTTTGCACACGTGTCATCACCTCAACACATGAACCAGAAACGATTCTGCATGTCGATAATGACAAGTGAGCAAGAACATTTTAATGACTGGGTGTCTACATTTGATGGCCATGAGTGATTATAGGCTGTAAAGTGAGGTTGAATTAATTAAAACATGATTTTAGAAGCTAATAAACACAAACACTAAAGTACAGGTGATTTTAATACAATATTCTGTTAATGATGATGACCGTTCAAATATCCTCGAATGTTACATTTATACAAGCCTCCAGCAAAAATACTGAAAACTTTAATATTCACACTGGACTACAATGTAGTACTGTATAAGGTTAAAGATCATATTATTCTAAATACACTTCACCATGTTTCTCTAACTCTAACATGTGTCTCTAGTCTTCTACAAACCCCCAATGATGAGAAAAGTCCATCCTCTCCGTCTTTTACCTGCTCCACTTTTCAGAAAATGTGTGCTCAAACAGGCTGTTTGGAGATTTTCCCTTCATGACATCACAGTTGTTTTAGAAAGATAATGCCAATATTTGCTTGGTGACTGAGTTGAGGTTGTATCCAGGCCACTGTAGCAACCACTCGTGTGTTTGTGAAGACGTGTTTGTGAAGACGTGTTTGTGAGTGTGCCTGGGCGTGTGTTGGGTATGGCAACAACAAAAATATTTTAAGTCCATGAGAATATTTAATTATCTGGGCTAGGCCCTGGAAAAAGTGGGATTACCTGTTCGTGAATGATGTCTGACAGCTCCTTTACCATTTCTTTGAAGTTGGCCTTCAGGCCCTCGTGGTATTCAAACTGGTCCTCTTTGATCAGACGCTCATTTATGTCCAGAGCCATGCTGCAAGCCTGGACAAAACGCCTGTGATGACGAAAAAAATAACGACATACTGTGTTATAAATCAACAACCACATTCCACTTCAAACTGTTGACGATCCAAATAAGAAGGGACACTGACATCCACACACTGAACAAGCAGCTTAGCCATCCTCTTATAAAGGGACAAAAGTTACCTGAAGATGTCCTTCAGGTCTTTGACTTTCTTGTTGCCGGACTGGTTGGATTTACTGTCATCCAGGAATGCTCTGGCATATGCCATGGGACCTGCATTCACCTGTGTCAAAACATACCTCAAAGTATGAATCATTCTTAGACATTCTTAGATCAGAACGATAACAATCTGCATTATGTGCTCTCTCTGCCAACTCAACCGCTGACTTCAATCTAGTTTTATGCAGTAATATTAGTTCTGATCATAAGTTGGATATTCTGGTATCTTTTGGGGCCTTTACCTGCACAGAGACGCAGCCCTGCAGTTTGAGCTGCAGCTGGATCATGTCCACCTCCTGGCTGGAGCACAGTTTGGTGAGCTCTGCCGTCCGCGCCTTCATCTCATCTATGGCGACGTCCACCGGCTTCAGCTCCACTTGCTTCTCCCCCACCACCTCCACACGCTTCTTCACGTATGGGAAGGTGTTTGCAGCTGGAAAAAATAAATGGAAGCTCACAGGATTGTGCATGCAAAAACAACAAACTACAAGGAAAACACCTCCATTGAAATGTGGTTCCTGATTAGAATCATAAATCAGTAGCTTGTCACGTGTGAGCTATTAAATGCGATGAAACTTGCACTGACTATAAAACTAATTGGACAACCACTGAGACTTTTTTGATGCCGTGCCAAACAAGCAGCAGAGTTAGGTTGTTGTTGTTTTTTCTGCTCGGTAGTACGTACAGGAAGGACCAGCCAAACAGGAGCTGATTCTTCTCTCTTCTAATAACAGTTTACAACTGCATGTATGTCAGTGATAAAAGCACAGCGTAGCATGAGGCATCCTAGCATGCAGCCGCTGCATGCTACAGTAACCAGCTGTAATATTTGCTACAACAAAACAACCCACAGTCAAAAGTTATACACAATCGATGCATAATGCTACTGATAGCACAGTCAGGAAAATTCATTTGTGCAGCAGGTCATGAGTCCCGGTTAAGGAAAAATGTCATAACAGAACAAAGAAGAAGCTTTCCCTCAGCAAGATAACAATTAAAAGAGCCCAATTCTGCCGCCCTATTTTCTGCGCTGCATGCCAAGTATTGGATAGTAGGATGTCACATGAAAAAAAAAAAGAAAAGAAAACCAGAGGAGGTTTGTGACCCTGTATAAACCAGCTCTCTCAGAACGCTCTGTTTTGGTGTGTGTGTCTCTTTAAATGCAATGAGCCAGCCCTGAGTTTTCCCCAGTAGACATCACTCCTCTGTAGTGAGATTAAATATGGCCGCCCTGCATAAAAGTTTTATTCTAGGTTGGGGGTAGAGTCCATGGGTGGAGATACCAGGGGAGGGGAGGGGATTTTTTTTTTTATACCAGAATCCCATTGTGATGTCACAAGGAGAGCACATTTGAAACAGAGCATTTTTCTCTGTGTTGTAAGACTTATGCAGACCACAAACAAAGGACTGGATGGGTTTATTTTATGTTGTGGGTCTGTAGACACTCAGGTTACTCAAATATATGTTCAAAAACATTAACAGTGGATTTTTCATGATATGTCGACTTTAAAATATAGATAGGTATAATATGAATGGATAAGAAGAGCACCTGTTACACATCATACGTGGTCGAAAGTGCTTTGTTGCTGTTCAAGCTTCAACAACAAAAATAGACTGAAGCCTGCATAAACGTTTATCCTCATATCTGATGACACGGCTGGAATGTGAACGTACTTGTCAGCACACTCCTCCTCTTGCACTGTTCCTCCACCCCGCCGTGCTTTTTGCCCGACAGCGTGTACGGCGTCTCGAACACGAAGCGGTTGATGTTGTGGCACTTCTCGAAGTCTGTCTTCTTCTCGGGCGCCTCTTTCTCCTCGAAGTAAGACTTGACGAACGTCACCTGGACGTAGGCAAACTTGGGGTCCAGGTCTTTGGTGATAACCTGAGAGGGGGGGGAAAATCACATGAATTTATTTTAAATGGAAAAGCACAACACATCAGGTGTCAGGTACGTTCAGAGTGTTACATATGAATGCACACTTATTCTAATATCACCATGGTAATAAAACACTCTTTGTTTACACATGCTGCCTCATCGACCCACTCACTGACTCACAATGACGATTATTCTTTTAACTTGTCCGCTGCCTTTAATTAAACAATTTTAAATTTTAACTCTGCACTGTAACTTTTAACTCTTTTTATATTTTTACTTTAATTAATTTCATTTTAATTATTTTTATTTGAACATATTTTCAGATTTAATAATTTCAGTGATTTTTTAAATGTTCTATTTTAATGTTTCTTTTCTTTCCTCTGTCATGAGGCTTTTGTCTTGTGTGAAGCACTTTGAATTGCCTTGTTGTTGAAATGTGCGACATAAATAAACTTGCCTTGCCTTGTCAACTGAGACTTAAAAACATCAGCACAGTGGGGAAGGAACTCAACTCTTCCAACACAAAATTTTCTTTTCTCAATGAGCAGAAGTGCAGGGAAAGGTCAAATTGCTATATTTCAACATATAGGTATATTTACCCAAGATCAAAGTCAGAGACCACACATCAAGAGCACTGTTTTTTAAAAACATCTCCTTCCTCAACTTGACCCGCTTCACCTTGTTTGAATCCTGGATTATTCGGACGTTTTCCGGCCCAAACTTTTCCCCGTAGAGCGTCAGCAGCCGCTGAGAGATCTCCGACAGGCCGGTGAGTTTTGGCTCTTTGTAGATGTACTCCTTCCCGTCCTCTTCCTCGAAGAAGCCCTGCGCAAAAAATAAAACACATTAATTGAGTTATTAATATTAAAGAGTCCATCAGAAGTTTGCAGAGACATATACACAACAAAAAAGAAACTGAAAACCCTTCCTGCTGCAGTCAGGTCATTTCAGGTTCAGGTTACTTTAATTTTACATTTAGGTACATGTGGTTACAGGGAGAGTCACTTACACTTAGTACAGAAAATACATCAAACATACAAAGTGCAAATGTATGTCACATGGTCAAAAGTGCAGATTCCTATCTTCAAATTGATAAGCAAGCCTCCTCTCAGAACACAAAAGCATGCTCACAAACTGAAAGCGAAAACAGATTCACTCCTACAACTAGTGTGCAGTCATATCATAAAATCTTCGATAATGATGTGCAATGATATAAAGAACTAAAGTGCAACATCATTTGGAACTGTGGTGTGCATGGTCTTTTTTTCTGTCAATGTATGAACTCCATGTGCATCATGGTAAATGATAAATGGACTTGAGCTTGTAGAGCGCTTTTCTAATCTTCTGACTACTCAAAGCTCTTTTACACTGCAGGTCACACCTACACATTCACACACTGATGGTAGAGGTTGTTATGTATGATTTACCAACATCTTCTGTTTTTTTATGCTGCTTTCCTTTCCCCTCACGCTGCGGGTCCTAGCATGTACGCTGCAGCTATTTGGTTTCACCCGTAACACCCACAGTCTTGAGCCAACTTGTTGATGTGATGAACATAAATAACCGTTTGCTTGGTGAGAAAAGTGACTTTTGTGCTTTAACGGCTAATTCACCCAGCAGTGAAAAGTAATACGTCTCCCCCAGCACTATTAAAACATGACTTGTTTTATCCCAGCACACTGAAGAGCCCGTTTTAGACAGCCAGTGAAACCCAATATCCAACTGGTGCAGACTGCATCCTGTTACATTTGCACTTTGTTCATTTAATAAATCACCCTGAACATCCTGCTGTACGTTTAAAAAGTTACAGGAATTTCTTGTTCCAGTCAAACAAAACAGGACAAGAAGAAGAGACTACGTCCATCTATATTTCACACTGTGAACGACGAGGCCTTTTAAGTTCAATTTAATCAGCACATGCACTTTTGACTTGACCAATGAGCTTTCACTATGTCTCCAAAGGCTTGATTGCTGATTCTTTTTTCCCCAAATGATGCCTGATGTTTATTTTGGATAATTTGGTCCTGTTTGGAAAACATGACAAGATAAAGCAGGGTATGCCCTCGGGTGTGGCTTCCCTGTGATTAACACGTCTCCACCAGTGCATCCTTTGTATTAGGGAAGAGGCGTAGCAGCAGTAAAGCTCTCTGCTGTAATGGAATAATATTCTTAGCAACACAAAACGACTCAGCTCACAAGACAGAATAACAAAGGACATTATGGAGGGTTTTACGTTTCAGTCTTTGTATTGTATCTAAACAGGGTCAAAATAGAGAGATCTGGTATCTGGCTATCAGTATCGGGTCTGATCTTGAAGTAATTTACACGTCGGATATCAGACTGACAGCACAGATCAAGAAAGAAAGATTGTTGGGCACTTTAAACATTCTCAGCTTGCAGCATTAAGGACATTCAAACTGAAACTGTAAGTAATGTCTGCAAATCGTCTCCATGACGATGTTCATGACGTGATGGAACATATGATATATGATAAAAAGTTAAATTCTTCCACTTCAGTTCAAAATATTGAATTTAAAAACCTGGCAGTTGTTGCTGCTTCCTGTTTGTATGCAGTCAGCACAAAGGTCAAATCGTTTCCTTTGGAATAGTTTTAATTTTCATGCAACAACAGCAACACAAAATATCGGAGTCAGTAAAGCTATCGGTACTTATGTATCAGAAATCAGTTGGGAACAGAAAAAAAATTGATGAATGAGTGAATTCCCAGGGAAAATGGAAAGTTGAGTTGCAATATAAAGAGGTGAAAAGATGAGCCATATGTTTGATGTCATGATATAAATAACACAACGGCCTGAGAGGAGAATGATTAATCACAACAACTTTATGATTTCTAATCTATTTCACTCAACCCTCTGTCATGCAGCGTTGTGTGTGTTCCACCAGACCACAGCTGTACTGTAGCTGAACTTAATAAGTAACTCCTTTTTTTTTTAAAGCTGCTTCTCGACCTCACCTGTCCATAAAAGGCCACCCTGAAGTACGTCCCCAGCAGCCTGCGGCCCGACTGTATCACCTCCATGATCTTATTGTAGGCTCTGTGCAGAGTGTCGTACAGGCGGCTCAGTTTCTGAAAGAGAGGGTGCAACAGATTGTTTAGAAGAGCAAGATCCTGAACAGGATGAGCAGAAACAAACAAGAAAAAAAAAAAAAAGTTAAAACAATCACGACTAATGCTACCATTCCCCCCCCACCAGCGTTTTGTATACAAGAGCAGGAAAAACGTGGTTGGATGTTTACACAGTATTTGCAGCTCCGCAAATGTAAACATCCTAAAAAAAGAAAATGAAACCCTGATGTGCTGCATGCTGTGCAAGTGAAGCGGCTGTAACGCGCTGTCTGACTCTGCTTGTTAACATGGCAAGTGCAAGTTAACAAGTGTCAAAAAGTTGAATAAAGGGGCTAAACGTAACACAAGAGTGTTTACACAAAGGTGTTAGGACTTGACCTTTTGGATGAATCTCTTTGAGAAGAGAGACGGGGAAAGAGTGGCTGCATGCTCGTACAGGATATCTGTCTAAGTGTCGGGATGTTTCCACGGTACCTCGTACTCGTGGCGCTTCTCATAGATGGGGATAATGAGTTTGGCGATGTGCGTGATGAGCTCATAGCGTTCGGCTTTCCACAGCGCCTCCACACAGACCTCCAGGTGTTCTACCAAGACCTCCTAAAAAAAAAGAAGGGCCCAGAAAAGAAGCAACAAGCAGATGAACTGTTGAAGTGTAAAACTCAGACAGTCGTTCTTATCTGTGGGGTCAAACCCCGGTCACTGGATTGACTAACTGTTGCAGCGACTAACAATGTCATGAAATCATGGTCAGGAGGTTGTACCTCAGTGTAGTACACGTCCTGCATCCCCGTGTCTTCCTTCATGGCCGCTTCCTCTTCGATGTTCAATGTGATCTTCTTAAAAGCAGCGAGGCCGCTGGGGAACAACTCTTAAAAAAACAAACAGCAAAGACGAGTTAGAAGACAGAAAACAATGTTCTCCCAACTTCTGAGTTTAATGAAGGTTGAGTATTGTCACAGAGTTCTGAATTAAAGGAGCAGTATGTTACTCTGTCACCTAGTGTTAAAAATGGGTACTGCAGTCCAAATTCCAAACATTAGCGAGAAGGTCTCGCCCCACCCCCTCCTCCCCTGAAGCTTCAGTGTTTATCCAGCTCTGCATCGGTCTGTAAACCTTTCTGTGTTCTAACCTCTCTCCATTTTTCAAAAGCATCTCCAATATTGATCCTAGTTTGAGCACGTTTCTGCTCGTGGAGCTTATTAGAAACATGCAGAGGCTTTTTAGGTCGGGTACAATCACTTCTATCTGAACCACTTCTCTTGCCCGCTTCCATCACTGCAACACCTGTTGACCTGATAACTGCTCTCATATCTGACAAACCGAGGGGCGTCCAAAACGGCCGTGTGGGGGTGTCTTAAAAGCGCCTACCTTCTCTGGTCCAAACAAATCCAGAGCATTCAGGAGCAGAATCTAAAGTTAGAAGGAGGACATACTGGCTGCTGCGTTGTTGTCAGAGAAGCCTGCACTTCAACATAGCATGTTTCTTTAATGTCTGATCAGAGAGAAAGGTCATTATATCATTTCAATCAGTAAATATCGTATAGATTGGTCCTTTAAATTATTAAAATCTGACTTAAATTAAAGTCAGTAAACTTCCTGATTCTCAGTCGAGCAGTTTGGCTGCTCTACTGATGTTTCCCTTCAAAATGACAAACAGGCAAACCATAAGACTTTATTTTTGTAGAACTAAATTTAACAATAAAATGACTTTAGTCTTGTAATATTATAACTTTCTGTTTGGATTGGCTTCCTGTGGATGTTCCTATGTGACATGTATCCTTGTTGGTAAGATTCAAATCTATGGTTGGAGTGACTGACTACTCTACATGAAAGAAAACAGTCCACATTCAGCACAATTTATGTAAACTGGTCTGCGGGTAAACAATGTAATTTGGTTTGCTGGATAGCGTTAGCAGTGTTGGGAGTTATCTTGATTTTTCGCGAACAAAATACAGCTAAACCGTGCTGCTCCTGCGAGATACTATCTGTTGACTGTGCCTTGGGGTGGTAGAGTGTGGAGCCCCATTAACCGCAGCTACAGACCCGGCTAGTGGCTTTTGGCTGATCTTGTCCTGTTCATGCCCACGCAGTGTTTTCTGACATAAAGTCAAAGTCATCTTTATTGTCAATTTTTCAAACATGTGCTGGACATACAGAAAAATCAAAAAAACGTTTCTCTAAACGGTTCTATAAATGACCCACTGTGAATATTTACAGTGAAAAGTGCAAAAAAAAGAAAGGCTGTTTATTCTGTGTGCTGTACAAGTTAGAATTCTGTGTTAGACGTAACAGTCCTGAATTATATTTAAGAATGCACTGTTCATAAAAGAGACATCAGTCTGATTATAGTTTGATGCATCATGCTGACACAACACAGGGAGCTCTTTTGAAATCTCAGGATTCTTAGTTTAACCTCAAAATGTTGAAAATCCAAATGGAAACTGGGACTGACTTTTAGGGATATTATTTTGTAAAGAGAAGTGTTAAAGAGAGATATTAAATACTAATCACATGATTCAATCCGAGACAAAGCAGAAACGCCAGGCTACAGTTTGTCCGTTGACATTCCTCAGTGATAAACACGAGCTCATATTTGTTTTGGGGACTATTTGACAAAGGGTTTTGCATGATATAAATATGACAGCGAGAGAAGCTTTGTGACTCTTTGTTTTTATAGATTATATATAGATGTCAGTGTCCTTGTATTGGACTGTGGTGTGTTTGCATGCCGTATCTAACAACAGTCAGGGAACAAACTGGCATGGCTTATATCACCAGTGTGGGGAAATCTTCCTGGAGGAGCAGAACACAGAACACATGTGGAACACAGGCTCATTAACTCCATTATTGTGGTTTGACACTTTGAATTTTTGTCCTCCCTTTGCTAACTATTAAGCAGGGCCTTGCTGCACGCGGCGCGGGATGGCCTAGCGATTGTGTTGCACGCCCAGTGTGCAGAGGCTGTGGTCCTCTCTGGGTTCAAATCCGACCACCGGCCCTTTGCTCTGGTCATCCCCCACTCTCTCTCCTACCACCATTTCCTGTCTCTCTTCAGCTGTCCTATCTGAAAGAGGCTAAAATGCCCCCGGAATATCTGCACACATTTTTGCAGTTTTTAATTACACTACATGAACAATTAAAAAGGTTAATGTTTAGACAGACCTATGGGTAATCAGGTCCACCCAGCGTACCTACTCATCTATGTTTTATTGTTCCTGGTTATAGCAAGATTTTATAATGTCGTCCATGATGTACTCATTTTTTCTTTTTTTCTTCTTTCATTGTATGTATGCTGTTGTTGTTTTTTGTTGATGTAAAGACCTTTGACTGCGAAAACTGCTATATAAATAAACTTTATTATTATTACTTTATTATTATGAAGAGGCCACAAATGCTGTTGAAAAGCATCCCCTCTGTGTGTGTACTTGTGTGTATGTGTGAGTGTAGGTGGGCGAACGGCCTTACTTTTCCTGTACAGGTATTCTGCAACGAGTGCAGCCACATGGACGTAGCACATGGCCGCCTGTGGAGACAACAACAAACACATGATTTAGTCAGCCGGGATACAAAACCGCAGGTCTGTGGAATAATCCACATTGATATGAAAAACCTGCCACAGACAGTGAGACAAAGTGAGATTCCCGTCTAGAAGGTAATCATAGACACTTATGATTTGAGCCTCTACTCTGTGTGGAGCTGTTTGGTCCACATAAAGATGAAGAGTTGGAGCAGAGGGGGAACTTTTTCCGAGTTTTTTTTTTTAAGATGCCAGATTCAATTACACTATTTAGAAAGTTTACAAAGTTTCTTCTCTGAAAGGAGCAAGCAAGGGGAAACTCAGGGAAAAGAAAAAAAAAAGGAAGTGGCATCCTCGTGCTCCAAACCTCCACACAGATGTGGAAGTGACAGAGGCGGACTGATTTCATCCATACAGAGGCAGAATTGCTCTACTGATTACTGCTGGAAAGTTTGAGTGTGATATTGTGCAACAGACAGTTACCACCAGCTGACTGTAATGTGCGTAAGCAGAGAGAGAGAGAGAAAAAGAGAGAAGGAGAAATAGAGCCCAGGTCTCAGTGGTGTTATAAAGAAACTCTGTAACTGCCTGTGGCAAACAGACCTGGCTTTAGTGGAAGATATTTGCAACAAGGTTGTTTTGCATAGGAAGGGAACACAGAATAATCCCTCATTTTCATAAATACCCAGGACACTATCTGCTTGGCAGTGTGTAGTGTGTGTTATCTTTTTGTCTCATTTGCACAGGTTTGGCGCCTGCAAAAGCAGCGTAATCCTTTATTTTCAGGATGTGGCCTTTACTCTCTGCGGGGTGACCAACTCCCTGGAGAATAAACAACTTAATATATAATTTCAGAATCCAGTTTTGATCCGCATTTTGTTTGAATTGAGGAAAGTGGAGGAAAACTTACCTCACAAAGGGAGAGGACACAGTTAGTGTCTTTTTTTTAACACTCTATGACTATGAGCTTCTTCACAAGACACTCGTTTATAGATCTGATTTAACTGTAGTTACGCCACAGTTGAGACATTTCTTTCAGTAACAATCAAACTTGCTTCTCTTTGTTTTTCAGGATTTGACGTCTTGACTTGTTTTTTCTTCATGCTGTCAGGAGTGAACACTTTGAGACAAGCTACCTGCTGTTATCACTCTCATTATCTACCTTTGAACAGGTGAAGCAGAGGACGAGCTATGACTGGTCTGATGACCTAGATGACTGATAATGGGTTTTTTATTCTGGATTTGATGATGGTTTTATACATTTTCCGTTTGATGAACTCTTGTATTTATGTATTTAATGTTGTTTCTTTGTGCCTGTGTTCCACATGTTTTTTTGTTTTTTTCCATATTGTTCTCACATGGTTGCAAAACTAATTTCCCCTTGACTCAATAAAGTTGAAAGTTGAAGTTGGTCATATCTGCAGTCCTTTCACAACACAGGCCTTGCTTTGTTGGCACTGTTTCACTCTACATTGTTTTTGTTTTTCCTCACCGACCCCAAAACTGATGTACTGACCTATGATGCTTTCCCACCAAGTTTTGTAGCTGGAGTAAATCTTGTGTCTCATTAAGATTAAGATTAACTTTTATTGATCCCGCAAGGGGAAATTCTGTTTTTTACACTCTGTAAGTCATGCAACGGGATGTCGGGGTGACGGAGCAGCCCCCAGCAGGCGCTCCTGAGCTGGTGGTGGGGAGGGGGTTTGGTGCCTTGCTCAGGGGCACCTTGGCAGTGCTCAGGAAGCGATCTGGCACCTCTCCAGCTACCAGACCAACTTCCATATTTGGTCTGCACCGTCGACCCTCCGGTTCCCAACCCAAGTCCCTACAGACTGAGCTACTGCCGCCTCATTAATACGCACTGTTGTTGACATCAGCTTAATTTTTCTTGTAAGCAGAAATAAAGTTAGATTGTCATGGTGAATGGACTGAAGCTTGTTTTTCTCTTTTTTTCTAGTCTTCTGACTAATCAAAGCACTTTTACACCACAGGTCACACCTACACATTCACACACTGATGGTAGAGGCTGCTGAGTAAAGAGTCCATCAGAAGTGACTAATCCCATTCATACACCTCTGCTTAAGCAGCAGGAGCAACTTTGGGTTAAGTGTCTTGCCCAAGGACACATCGGACATGTTGCTGCAGGAGCTGTTGAGAGAGGACGACTCTACCAACTGAGCTACACAAAAAGAAATGTAATAACCTTGACCTGACTGCTCCAGTTAATGTTTGACACACAAACATTGTAAAACTTGTATTGACACAACCATAATGTCACACTCGTCATCGTTCTGTATTTTGGTTTGGTTTTATTAAGCTACAATAAATCTATCAATCTTGTTTATTTCAGGACTTAAACTCATTCAAGCATCAAGTTCTTTTCCGCATTCTGCCCTGGAGGGATTAGGAGTGAATCATGGATTCATGCTTCCTTGAAATCGAGTGGGTTTCTTATCAATTATGAACCTTGCCAAAGCAAATACACTTTACCATTCAGTCGCTCCATAACAAAGAAATCTCACTCAAACGTAAGCTTTTCTTAACATAAGATATTTTGTCAGGTGTTTGCTCTAGGTGTTGCCAACGAGCATGTAGGGGCATTGAACTTCAATTCAAACAACTTTATTAATCTCTCTTGGTGTGGAGCAACTCGTACACATGAGAAAGAAACACGAACAAAGACAACGGATTAGCCTACACAAGGAGTTAAAATATAGATAAAAGACACACTGATTAAAAGTCAGCCAGACTGAAGAGGAAATGAAAACAGACTAGAGTGATCAGTCCAATAAAAGAATACATTAAAGATATGTGGCGCCAAAAGATTAAATCACTTTATATGTGATTTTTTGATCCAGCAGATGTCGCCCTTGAGCACCAGCATGAAACCAAAACAACTCGAGCTGCATTGTTGTGTTAGCATGCTAATGCTAGCGATCTTTATTATGCTCGTATCTTCACACTGCATGTAAATTTACCTGAAATGAGCGTGATCTAGAAACACAGGTAAGCAGTGAGTACAGTATGTTATTCTTCTTTTCTCTAGTCCCTCAATTAAACAACTTTTATAAGTGAGGAGAGGAGTCAGCCGGCCGTCCTGGCGATGTAAACAAACTGAAGATAGGACTCTGAAAACTCTGAAAACATCACAGACAGTGGGACTCGGGTGTTACACCCATTGTAGACAGTCATGACCCACAGAGTTATTTTCAGAGGATATACTTGATTTATATTACATTTAAGTGTGAAAAATCACATAGAAAGCCTTTAAGGAGCATTCAGTAATCTGATCGCAGCGGGGATGAACGATTTTCAGTAGCGGTAGGCAGGTAAAACAAAACGGCGACGTGATGGCAGCAGACAAAATTCACTAAAGAGTGCGTGACCAGAAGAAGCTAAAATACTCTCAGCCTTCCTGAGGATCTGCTGGTTACAAAAAGAGTTTAAATCTCTCTGTTTCACTCCAATTATCTTAGAACAGATTTTAACAATTCCTGTTAGACTGTGTGTGTCTTTAACTGAGAGGCTGTGAAACCAACAGATAAAAGAAAGACAAATGAGACTCTCAATAAAAGACTGGTATTACAGGACTGACTGAGAAAGAGTTCAGTTTCCTTAAATTCCCTGTTGCCCCCCCTCTTTACGATGGCCTCAGTGACAGCATCAAATTTGAGTTGGTTACCAAATATGTGCCCAAGTATTTGTATGACCTTACAATCTCCACATTTTTACTATGGATGCTGAACTCTGTGGCTGCTTCCTTGGTTCAGTTAAAAATAGCACTTGCCACTCCTGTTGGTTCACATTTGGTAGAAACAATTCAGCAGACACAGAAAGAAGATAGCCTCAAAGTGAAACAGATCATTCAAAGTCTTTTAGGCTTGTGTAAATCAGTGTTCCTCTTGTGATCAAAGATACAACAAAAAACTCAAAGTACTTTTTCAATTCTCTGATTTTTTGAAATTTTCAAAATCCAAAACAAAAAACACCAACCAGAATTTACATTTTTAGACATTTCAAATCCATTATTACCCCTTTACCTTTTCTGAAGATTATTATTATTATCTGAAGATGAAAATGGAAATAACAGGAGCAAAAATGTACTGTTACATACTGAAACATTAAGAAGTGACACAAAATACAGCAACCGGTATTCCCCGGTCTGTGTGAGTCTGTGTGTGTGTGTTTACCTCAGAGAGATCTCCGTTCTTCAGGTGTGCTCGCGCCATGCTGTCCAGCCACGTCCGTCTCAGCTCCGGGGTGCTGGCATAGGACCGGGCCAGGCTGTACTGGAGGTCCAGCAGCATCTCGGGGTCCTTCTCATGCTCCCTCATCTGGGCTGTGGCCATGAGCACTGTGCGGATCCGCTTGGTCAGACCCTTCACCTCAGAAGGGAACCCCGTCGACTGCGTAGAGAGACATGTGAATTCACAACAACATGAATAAGACAAATAAAAGATTGTGTACATGGAAAAGTACCTGCACAATACAACGCATGAAATCAAAATGGATTTTTTTTTAAGGAAGCAGAAACATTTGAGACATTTGCATTCGTCTTTGTTAACTTTTGGTATTTTTTTCTTTGAATCATTTGTGTTCAGACAGCATTTGAAATAACATAGCATTTGAAATTTAACATGAGCCCCTTTTACATACGCCAGGTGTGGCTGAAGGTTTTGACAAATAGTTTCATCTCATTTTACAGCCGGAGTATAAAATGTGTGTTTTTCTGGTCGTCTGTGCAACGAGACACTGTTTTTTTTTAGTCTTTTACAAAAACACCACAGACGGGCAAGATTTCAAAGCCTGTGTGTGAGTGGACGCCTCTCCTGAATTATAGCAGACTGATTGCTGCAGTGACTCAAAGCCTGGGCTGTGAATCAGAGTTTCACAGTATCTTAAAAAAGTGAAAAGGGGCATTAGAAACGATTAGCAGCAGTCTTATCTTTGACCTTAGAACGGCCATGTTGTAGCAGTTAAATGAGTATTTAGAAATTCTTCTAAGCAACCCTTTGTGCGCAAGTCTCAACACTAACACTATTCTTGATGCTGCGATTATAGATGTAAGATCTTGTTGGGCCACGCAGGCTTAGGACAGTCAAACAATGGACTTGGGCCTGCACCTCTGTAAAAGCCTCATTTGAGTTATTCACTGAGATCACAAAGAGGCCTAAAAGGACTCTTAATCCCAGAATCCCCTGCGGTAGTTCACACCTACGCGTGAAGTAAGGGGGGACCGGAACCTCTCTCTCCTCATTGGAGGGGACCTGAGGTAGACCCCCCATGGAGCAGGCCAGGCTACAAAGCTCCAAGACTTCCATTGCTCGCTCTCTTTCCACGCGCTGACTTCAAGTGTTCGGAGACACAAGCTCACCTCCTGTTTCCTGCAACAATCTTCCTTTGTTTTAAGTTTTGGCGCGCAGGTAATCCGCGGCCGGCAGTGTTCTAAATTCCGAGCTCGGATTGTCCAGTGAACGCATCTCAGTTTCTCGGAGAGCGTCAGACTATAACAGATTATCAGAAAGATAACGGTCTTATTCCGTCCTGCAACGAAAGGACATCAAAGGACATCTTTCCACTCGACGGAGAACCAACGAAGCCGCTCTTGCCGTAAGGGACCCTCGCCGCCATCAGGAGTCGGACTGTGATCCGGCCTCTTCAGGCACGCATTTCTCTTTTATTCTCTTTTATCCTCTTTTATTTCCCCTTCTACGAACATACACACACACACACATATTCCCGTGTAAACGTACATCTGGAGACCAACTCCACCACCGCGCCATTACACACAGAGATCTATTCACTCGCGGCTATCCAGACGCCTCAGAGACACAGAACGTGTAGGGCCGAACTCGGTCTGTTTTAGACAATAAGGCCACACACACACACACACACACACACACACACACACACACACACACACACACACACACACACACACACACACACACCTTCCACAAGCCTTGCTTGATAATGTTTGTTGCTTAGATTAGTTTATGATAGTGATTTGTTTGATTAAGTTCATTGATTTTGGGTTGATGTTGCTTTGTTTACATAAATTCTGAGAGCAGTTGTTTGTGGTTACTGGTGTATTTACATTGTGATATAAGCTGGGTGCGAAGGCTTTGTGTACGGATTTCACGCCTTCAATTTATTAAATATAGTTATTCATTATTAATAATATTAGTAATTAAATAACTAATTTGAGACTGATTTGAGTGATATTTTGGTTATATTTACCTGATTACAGGGTGGTGCCCCAAGAGAGATTAAACATAGTTTAATGATATTTTATTTCTATTATTAATAATTAAGTATAATTATTGAAGAATATAACCAAAGTTGACTTGATACAACCCCAACAATCTTATGCCGGTAAAATCCTCTGACACATAACAACACTGTATCATGAACAGATTCTCAACGTGATATGATTTTTTCTGAGCAGATTGCTCAACATATCCTCAGGGATTTATTCATAATCAGCAAACATACTTTTCAATTTGGCATCTGAGTTACTATGAGCGTTGAAAGGATCACGTCCCATTACTCTGCTTTGTAGGTTCAAGTGTAAACGTATCAGTCATCAGTTGTTGTCACCTCAAACCAGAGTTACACAATTCTAAATCTTTCCTCGTCTCAAAACCGGTCTCAAGATCACTTTTATAAAAAGTCATCGGAATCGAAAGCATTTTAACTCGGTCTTTTAAAGACCGGTCAAAACCATCACTGGCTGTTTTTCCACATCATTTCTGTGATTAGAAGGAAACACCCCTTTTCTAAAAGAACAAAAAACTTCTGTTCATTCATAATTTATATTTTTATCTCTCGGTTACGGTCACAACCTTCCCAGTGTAGCAGTCTGAGTGAGAGTCTGAGACATGCCGGGTGCATAAATTATGATTTCCACTGATATTTCTGGTCTTGGTCTTGAGTCAGTCTCGCCCTGCTTTGGTCTTGGTCCTGACTTGGTCACTATCCCTAAATGTCTTGGTCTTGTCTCGGTCTCGGAGCACTCTGGTCCCCGGTATGTCTTGACCTCGATTAGTGGGGTCTTGACGACAACACTACCTCAAACCGACATGTATCTACAGTCAAATCAAACCAATCAGCTGCATAATAAAGACTCATATTAATCTCAGAAAGTATCAGAAATTGAAGCCCCAAAGTCTGGGTTGAATCCTCTGTTGGCTTTGTTACACTTGTATGGAAAGATTTGATTTCAGAAATGCATTGGTTTGTAAAATGAGTTATTTCATATTTTGGTTCCTTTATCCTTTTAAACTATTTTGGATTAGGAGTCAGCCTCTGGGGACTTGTACGATACCTTCATGGCCTTGTCACTGTTTGCAAAGTTGTTGATGATGGAGAGAGACTCCTGGAAGCGCGAGCTGCCGGTCAGCGCCACGTCGGAGATCAGCTGGCTCACAGCGATGATGATCTGAACAGAGGGAAGGGAGAAGAAAGAGGAAGGGGATAAAGAGTATACAATCACACATCCACAGAAAGAACATGTCATGAAACTCATCAGGTCTTATATTTTTAAAACTGTTTTAACATCCTCCTTCCCTTCTTTCAAGTAGTTGATGAGTATGTGTGTGGGCAGCAAAGCTAAAGGTCAGGGTTGAACACTAGAGACCTTGTAACAGACCCACTAAGCTGAACATCTCCAGTAAGCTGTCTTTTTGAAAACAATCTTTAAAGGGATTAAGAGTTTCTTCTGCTTCAGAAACAACAGTGTGCTCCTTTGTACCTGCAGATGTGTGCGCAAAAAGGTCTTCCTCTTGGTGTACTCGTAGTTGTTCCTCATCAGCAGGTAGAGCAGCGCCGACGCCTCGGCCCTCAGAGATCCCAGCTTGGAGACGCAGCACTTGAGCACCTCGCAGCACAGAGCCTCGCAGAGCGTCACTCGGCCTTTGAACAGCACCGACGGGAACTGAGGGGGACAACGTGTTGGTGAATTAGGAAAATACATGTGAACATATGTTTGGAGGTGTGCAGAGAAAAGGCATCGAGCACCAGGACTGTGACACCTGTTTCATAGCTGCCACACACCAAATGGAAAGTTTCATTCTATACACTTTTTTCGGACTTTTTTTTGCCTTCATTTAGAGACAGGAGAGATGATAAAGTCAGAAATCAGGGAGAGAGAGAGAGAGAGAGAGAGAGTGTGGAATGGCATGCGGTAAAGGAGACACAGGTTGGATTCTGACCCGAGCCACCTGCTTGCAGGACTACAGCCTCCGTGTGTGGGGAGCGGCGCACTAACCACTAACAAGGTGCCTCAATTGTATAAAGTTTAAAAGTTTATTTTTATATAGCACTTATCGCAGACAAAGGTCACAAAGTGCTTTACAAAAAACAACAACATACATACAATAAAAGAATAAAAAATGTAAAATGAATATGTCATGGACGACATTATAAAATCCTGCTATAACCAGGAACAATAATTGGAACAATAAAACATAGATGTGTAGATAGATACATAGATGTACACTGGGTGGACCTGATTACCCATAGGCCTGTCTAAACATTAACGTTTTTAATTGTTTTTTAAAAGACTCAACAGAGTCAGAAAGACGTAGGGAGATGGATATGCACTAATGCATGAAAAAATGAATTTTTATTTGCACAAAATATTATTTGGTTACTTTTTTAAATTCCATCATTATTTTTCTTATTTTCTTTTGTACAATACGCTGGTCACTGTGAGAGGCCACACCATGACACACGAGGTAAGTTTAGCCTCGTCCTGTTTTTGCAACTCTGAGGATACGCGATAAAAGGCTCTGGAGAGCTGGATATTAATCTCAGGAAAAAGAAGTAAAAACAACACACGGAGGGTGAACCTGAAGACGCCACAATGCGAAACCTGTCATTCTCACCAATGTTTTATATGAATTACACTTTAAAGTCAATCTGAACAATCCTGGTGTGCTCTGGATGACTCTGGTCTTGTAAGCTGTCTGTTCCTGCTCTAGCTGCACCCTGGATGAGTAGCACGGCCGTGCACAGAGCACCCATCAACTCTGAAGTAACGCATGGCTGCATGTCCGCTTAGGGCTGCACTCGGGCTAAAAGAGATGCAGTGACTTAACACACATAATACCTAAAACATTTTAAGTGATGGTGATCAATTGGGGGTAGAAAATTGCAATCTGTATCCATAGCTTCACAGAACTTGGTGGTGCTGCTTGTGTAGATGAAATATGTGAGAGAACTCGTTGTTCTTTTCTTTCTCTTTTTGATACTCTGTGTTGGGCTCCACAGTCCAGGATTCTTAGCATTTGGCCACAGACGTGTTCACAACCTCAAAGAGACATTTACTATGTGTGACTCTGCAGAAACCAGTCCCTCTCACTTTTACTATTTCAGGAGTTTCCTGCTTGCTGCTCAGATCTGAGTCATCGCTCAAGCATCTGTCGCGACACTTTCGATGCTATCAGAGAGAGTGAGAGAGAGAGAGAGAGAGAGAGAGAGAGAGAGAGAGAGAGAGAGAGAGAGAGAGCGAGAGTGCACTGCTGTGGGTGGTCCTGCACCTCACTAGTCAGAAATGGAGCCAAGTCAGAACTTGACCTTCTAACTGTTCAGATAGTATCTTAACTGTCTCACATGCAATGTAATAGGTCTCTGATGATTGCTTCAAAGCCTGTAAAAGCACAACGTTTGTGTTTTTTTCTGTTTCAAGACAGCTACTTGTCTCTAAATCAAGTGAGCAAAGAAGGAATCTGAAACAACAGTGAAGATTGAGAGTGAAAGGGTGATGTTTAAATATGGGAAGGAGGGGAGCAGTGGCTTAAACAAACACAGGAAACGCTCTTTTCAACCATAACTAATAACCCAGCAGCATTCCAGCTTGTTTTGAATAGCAGAAAGAGAAACAACGACTGCGACAATGACACGTCTGCTGGACAAGTGACAACATCCATCACGTCTGGTTGTTTATCTTGTGGTGGAAGATCACGTCAGGAACAAAAAAGCGTCTCAGCTCCATTACAACAATATCTTAGTAACAGCTGTTTCATCTCTGCGTTTAGATTTCATGATTCCATATTTTCAGGATGCAAACTTACCTTGTTTATGAATGCCCGGAGCGCGGAGAAGACGTGCCTGAGGGCGGCTTCTGATTGGCCGACTTTAAGAAAGGTCAGGTAGACCTCAAAGACCTTCTTCATTAAAGGATTGTGACCGTCGCTGTCCAGCAGCTGGGTCTGATTTACGCACAGAAGGGCAAGGAGAGACGGTTGTTTTATAAATATACAGTAGAGGACAAATGCATACTTAAAACCTCAACCCAAAAAAAATAAAAACATAAAACGATCCCTAATACCCCTTATACAAGTTTACACACATACAAATAAAGAGTGCATGAATGCAGGCTGTAGCCCACATAAAAAAACAGACATTTTATGGCACATTTGTGTGTGTCAGTGCTGACCTTAAAACACTGAGTGAAAAGAGAGAGGACATCCAGGACACTGAGGCAGACCTCTGTAGAGATGTTGCCCTCCAGTAGAGCCTGATGGTGAATTTCCGCTTCTGATGGCCCCGCCCCTGCAACAGGCACACACATAAATAAATACAAACAATCAGCCTACAGTGTGTGTGTCCCAGGAGGCGCTGCTTGTCAACAGGCGAGGGAGCCCCCAACGGCTGACAAACTTTAAACCACAGCAGTGCCTCAAAATTTGCAAATTTGGCAATGGTAGTAGGAAACCTCCCTAAGGGGGCCCCACCATCTGATAGCACTCACTCTCTATGCCAGCCTTTCCCAAACTTAAGACTGCCGCCCAGCCCGCTTTGAAATACAAAATTACTCTGGGGCCCATTATGATTTTTTTTTTTTATGACTACAGGTATAGCTTTCAGGTAAATGATTGGACATGACAAAATGATATTATGGGAAGATAGACACAAAAGATTACTAAACTTTATGTCCATGAATAGTCATGACACGCCTTACTAATCACTGAAAGGGTTCACTCATGGTAAATCATCATTATTGTGATATTTCTTTTATTTTTTAAATTGGAGGAGGGCTTTTCGTGGCCCACCTGCAGTACCCACACAGCCCACCAGGGGGCCGCGGCCCACACTTTGGGTCGCACTGCTCTATGCCATGCTAAGTGTCACATGCATTATTGCTGTGAAAACCAACATTTGTCAATGAAGGTTAAATGAAGAGGAAATAATCTGTCTGTGAGTGAAAAAAGAAAAGAGGACAATAATAATGAACGCTGGTTGGAGGGGCCCCCAATGAATTTTGCAGATAGTGTCTCCTGTTCCTGATTTATTTTTAATTTTTAATTTTTTAAAGATTTATTTTTGGGCTTTTTGTGCCTTTAATGGAGAGATAGGACAGTGGATAGAGTTGGAAATCAGGGAGAGAGAGAGAAGGGAATGACATGCGGGAAAGGAGCCACAGGTTGGATTTGAACCCGGGCCGCCTGCTTGTAAGACTACAGCCTCCATACATGGGGCGCTCGCTCTAACCACTGCACCACCAGCGCCCCCTATTCCTGATTTTAACACCATCTCAAGCACTTACTGTCTCACACTGTGATATCCTGTTAGTCTTTCATTTTCTTTTCATGTGTTTTGTGTCCACTTCCTGTCTCTTCCTTTGTCTCCTTAGTGTCTTCATGCTTTCCACACTTGGATGTTACTTCCTCTCCATGTATGACCCACAAACATTCAAATAGAGAGCTCTTACAAAACTGTTTTTCTGAGTGTGTTTTTAAATGTTCACACAGACTGAAGCACTGCACGATTGCTATCTCACATGTCTGTGATGGTTCAGTGCTTCTTCTTGATCCTGCACATACACACCCCTGGACCAGATCTTTAGATATTCCTCCAAATAAGAAGAAGCTAGGTCGCAGAGAATCCATGAAATGCATTTTGGCCGGTTGCCATTCAGATAAGATCTTGTATTGTTGTAGGGATTACAGCAGCTCATCCAGTATCAACACTTTTTGAGCTGATAATTCCACAGAACTCAGGTGAGGCACACATCTCTTCAGCTTCGTTCTACCAACCCAACGGTAAAGTGCACACCTGGTTGTGTGTTTAAGCTGGGTCTGCTTATTCTGCTTCTTGTTGGGCCGGTCTGAAGAGTGAGACTATTATTATTACTGATCCAGGAAAGTCCCAAACATTTCTTTAACAATAAGGAAGTAATAAATCATTTGGTAGGCAAAGAAACAATGTACATAGCATAATAAACTCAGAATGGTTTTTTGTTGTTGTAGATATACATTTTTATCAGGCTGTTGATTTCCAATGAATTATTTGAATCACAAAGTTTAAAGACTGTGGTTGGATTTTACCACCATAGTCCCCTTATGGGGGGGGGGGGGGTCAGATATTTGAATGAACATTTGCAGTTGTGACTCCGAGACATGGCTGTATGTGATGTCTCAAATGGTTTCTGTGGTGTTTGTTGTTTATTTAGTTGTTGTGTATTGTAATTGTAATGTCGATTAATGTTTGTTGTGTGTGTGAATTTGACCAGGTGGCAAATTGGATCTTGATGTTTTTTAAACATATTTCATACTTAATCTTCTCTTTGATTGTTGATGGTTAGTTTTAATGATTTTTAAATGCATTTTATCAGTGTTTCTTTTTTCACTTTGTCATGATGCTTTTTTATGTCTTGTGTGATGCACTTTGAATTGCTTTGTTGCTAAATTGGCTGGGCAGCTGTGGCTCAGTTGGTAGAGTCGGTCGTCTCTCAGCCTGAAGGTCGGGGGTTCGATCCCCAGCTCCTGCAGCTAGAATTAATATAATACTGATGGAAAATTTACATAGCGGCTCTGGGTATCAGTGTGTGAACAGGTAGGTGTGACCTGCGGAGTGAAAGCACTTTAAGAGAATGAGCTCTGAATTGTAATCTAAACTCTATTCTCTATTATTCATTAACCTTTATTTAAAGAATTAAAATAAAATGTCCTTTGTTTGGAGAATAAACCTGTGAGTGAGTGAGTTTTTGCGTGGGGCCTGGTGAGTGACTTTACCTATATTGAGAGTGAGAGAGGTTTCCATGGTGCTGAACTGGTGCATCTTGGTCTGCATGAAGCTGGCCCGGTTGCAGCGCATCACCGGCATCGTCTGAGACTTTCTGTCTGAGGAGAACAGCTTGGTCGTGCACACATCCTGACTCCTGGATAAATAATACATCCACAGGAAGAGAAGGAGAGAGTGCACTTACTGGTTTGACGGACTTAGAAGGAGACGAGAGGAGGACGAAAATGAAATCATGAACGAGCATCAGAAAGATTATCACTGAGCGGGAATCTAACTTGTTAAAATATCAGGGGAACATAAGAAATATGCTTCTGTCAGATACAATCGTTGAACTGGACCACCCTTTCATTCTTGTGAAATCAACCATTATATAATAAACTAAATATAGCAGGCTTTTCAAGTGTCAGATGTTTGTCTAGCAGGTATGATAAAAAGCTGTTGGTTTTTCCTGACTTACCGGCCTATGTTTCTTTTTCCGATGTAACGAAGCTGAACCAGACAGATCCTGCAGAAAGAGAGAAAAGGTTAATAAATATTGCAGGGTGCAATGACGGCGAGCATGGATGTCATAATCAATCAACTTTTTTAGTCAAAACTTCTGTGAGAAACTTTTGGCTTGTGTCCATTCATGCAACTCCTTTGTTTTGGCTGTAGACGCCCAGTGTGTAAAATCCTGCCGCCGGCGGGCTCTCAATCAAAACAATAACAAAAGAGTGATTAGTCTATGCTCCTCTCCCATCCCCGATGAAAACAGACTCAGAGTGTACCATATTCAAAATGAACGGGGGAAACCGACCTGAGGAAGAGAATATGTTTACCGACGATGTATCTGAGTATAATTTCCATGACGTTTTTATCACAGCAGCACATACAGAAACAGTACGGCAGCTTTCAGCAGCAGCTCCCGCTTCCTTATGCAGCGGCCTTTAACTTCACATCTGGTGTTTCCATGGCAACGATAAACATGTTGTGTCTGTCATGGCGGCACGACAAGACACGTCCCGTTACAACTCTAAAATGAAGGATTCCTCTGGCTTTGATAACTGGTGGAAATATTTGAGGTAATGTAAGTACTCAACACAAAATATATATATAACATAAGTTTAGTACATTTTTAATAAATTAGATAATTAAGTGTAAAGATCCTAATAAAACTCTACATTTTATACCTTTAGTTCCCTTCGTAGAAAACCTGAGGTAAAGACGACAGGTATTAAAAATAAATATAGAAAAAGTCAATCATCTTGCTGATGGTCTTCTCTTCTTTGGAAGCTCTTATAACACCACCAGGTTTAACTTCTGCCTGTTTTATAGCCCGTTAAAAACTACTCAAAGTAGAATTGATTAACACGATGAGATACTACAGTGTCAGAGGAATATTATTGGTTGTCTGGTGGGATTACATTTTTGTTTAAATCCTTTTTTTCAATCGCAAAGAGTTAGCAAAAGTAATTATAACAGTATGCTAATGCTAGATGCCCCTCACTAACCAAGCTATAGCTAGTATTTCCTGATCACTTAATGTTTTCTAACCACTTGTTCCTCTCCATTTCCACCCATTGGTTTAAGTAATGTCTCTTCCAGCTCCAAAGGGCCCAGATTGTGACAGGCACAAAAGCCAAACCGGAGACTTAAAGACAGTAGTTGACAAACCAGAGATGGCCACTTCTCAAACACTGTGTAATAAGTAAACTGCTTTAACCACTACTGTCGTTACCCTGACCCCCAATTATCATAAAGTGTTTTTAGAGGATGCTACAATCTCACATCAGACACATCATCCCCACAGATCTGGACAGTCACCAGTTTGCATATCAGGCATCCCTAGTCACTCTTCACACAGCCCCGTCTCACCTCGAGCATCCAAACACACTCGTCAGGATGCTCTTCATTGACTTGAGCCCGCCTTTAAAACAATCGTCCCCCAAAAAACTGTGACATAAACTGGGTAACCAAGGAACCCAGTGGATCATGGACTTTCTGACCTTCAGATCACAAAACGTTAGAACAGGTAACCACAAATCCTCAACTCTGATTCTGCACACAGGTGTGCCACAGGGCTGTGTACTCAGCCCAGCCCTGTTCACCCAATGACTTCACCCTGATTCACACAAAAAACTCAAATAAAGATTGCGGATTACACCTCTAAAGCAGGACTTATTACAGACAACCAGGAGGCAAACTACAGAGAGGAAACATCTGGCTGCGTGGTGTTATGAAAATAACCTGGTTCTGAACACAACTGGAACAAATTATCAGTGTGGGCAGACAACAACCCCCCAACTTCAAAATAAACGGTGAGGAGGTGGATAGTGTGAATAACATCCAATTCCTGAGAATCCACCTAACTAACGAATTTACATGGTCTCTCAGCACCTCCCACCTGGTAAAGAAGGCTAAACAGATGATTTTATTTCTAAGGAAACTTCAAAAAGCTAGACTCTCCTGACAGCTGCTGGTCAAGCTCTACAGGAGAACCATAGAAAGCAACCCTCTGTCAGTGTGTCACCGTGTCGTATGTCAGCTTCCCAGCAGAAAACAGAAAGGACTTGGACTGGAAAGTTAAAAAAAATATTAGGAGCTGAAGTTGTGTATGCTGGCCGCCTACAAAGGAGAAATGAAGGACACACCAAGGACACAGTCTGTTTGGCTGCCCTAACATCTCGGAAGAGGTATCGCATCATTAAATCCTAACAGCCTGAGGAGCAGCTTCTTCCCCACGAGCTGTAGCCTCCATGACCCCTCCTCCTCCTTCCCCCACCAGGAAACAAACTCACACACATACATTGTGTTAAGGAATGTACTGAATAATGTAGCACTGCTGCACTTTAAACCTGCTGCAATATGATCACTTAGTGCAATTATCATTATTCATTCATCTTTTTTGCACAACATATTGTGAGTTGCTTTCTCTTTTCCTTAAAGGCATTGTTGTGTTAGCATGCTAATGCTAGCGATCTTTATTATGCTCGTATCTTCACACTGCATGTAAATTTACCTGAAATGAGCGTGATCTAGAAACACAGTTAAGCAGTGAGTACAGTATGTTATTCTTCTTTTCTCTAGTCCCTCAATTAAACAACTTTTATACTCGAGGGGAGGAGTCAGCCGGCCGTCCGGGCGATGTAAACAAACTGAAGATAGGACTCTGAAAACATCACAGACAGTGGGACTCGGGTGTTACACCCATTGTAGACAGTCATGACTCACAGAGTTATTTTCAGAGGAGATACTTGATTTATATTACATTTAAGTGTGAAAATTGCTGGTTGTCTTTTATATTTCATATCTCATTTTTTTTATCTTGTCTCTGTCCCTGCTGGGCTGCTTTTCACCAACAACATGTGGATGTACTGGACGATAACGTATCGTATGTCTTAATATTTGCTGTCCAGTTTTAAAGTCACTTATCACACGCAGTGAAGTGTCAGATTGAGAAAAAGTGTCAATGACATGTATATATAAATAAATAAAAACAATGTAAGACAAGACACAACAAAAACATGGGGACACACAGGAATTACAGTATCTTATTCAATACATTGCACCCAGTATGAAGTGAAGCAATGTACACTACTCACTCGAGAAAACTGAGGAAGTTCATGATGTCTTGAGGGCTGACTTTGCTCCAGTAGGCATTGAGCGTATCTGTGGACAAACAGTCAGTCAAAACTCTCCCATGAGTGTGTGTTTATTAAGGTGTGGTGAACTGTTTGAGAGAGGTCATGCATGATGCTGGATGACACCCTGTTGACGCCTAGTTGACAGTCAATCCTGGGCTTCATTATTAGATCAACAGTCGAGCCCAGTTTCTGACCCAAGCTCCATCCTTCAACACCTGCAGGCATGGTTGCGTTAAAGGATGTTTTAATGTGTGGTGTGTGGTTATAGATCATCACTGACCCTCTGACAAGGTCTTGACGATGTGCAGGGAGGACAGCAGGAGGCCTTTGATCTCATAGTGTCCCAGTCTGCCGGTGGGAGGCATGGGGCTGCTGCTCATGGTGGAGCAACGTCTCTGCAGCTGGAACAAAAACAACAAGAAACCTTTAACGGTGTGATTTAAAATACATACGGGATAAAACATTTTGGCACTTTAAGGTCAACAGCTTTTTCAAATGTCTGACATGTTGCACAGATTGCTTCTAATTAAAACATACATGCTCACACAGAACAGAGAAAGGACAGCCGGAGCCTCAGACTGAGGTTGAAAAGTATACCGACAAGGTTTAAGACTGATGTTTTTTATTTTTTATTTGTTAGCCATTTAATTACCTTAAATGTTTGAGTCATCCCGGTCCAATGCAGTTATAAGTGTACTTGAAGATGGGGCACCGCTAGCCTAGTAATTAGTGCAAGTTAGAGCACACTCCCCATGTACTTTACAAAGGTTAAAGTCCTCGAAAGCAAAGGGGCAGGATTTTGAATCCAACTCGTTGCTCCTTTCCTGCATGTCTATCCCCGATTTCTGACTCTATCCACTGTCCTGTCTCTCCAATAAACATGTAATAATAATACATTTTAAGTTAACTTGACGATGAAAATGTGGCATGAGATAATGTTCAAATAATGAATACAGTGACCAAACAGGGCCCAGGTGAGATCCCTCTCTCACCTCTGCTCTCTGCATGAGAGGCAAATGTAACTTGTGTATCTTCATGAGATACTGTATACATCTGCTTTCACAGCTTGGATGAATCTTAAGAAAGGAGGTTTACCAGAGCTGAACTGACTGTGCTGTAAAGAACCACAAGAATGTATTTATTTACACAGATGATAAATAAATAAAACCTCCAGTGCGTCCATATTCAACATCTGGACTAATCAGAAGATGCAAACTCAGCAGGGAACTTGAATCAGCCTGAGTTCAGACAAAGCCCCGCTTCTTCCAGTAGAACCTATCAGCATATCTCGTCCCACCGTTTGACATGTGGTGTCTTTCAGCACAGAGGCATGAAAAATAACTTCACCTTGACATTAATGGTGCTCTTTGGCAAGCGATGAAAGAGGAAAACTACAATTCAAAGTTCAATTGTAGTACCGTCTCATTAAATGTGACACAGTGGCCTACCAGAAGAAGAAACTAGTTTGTTTTCTTGGGCTTTGTGTTCAGAGATGGGAGGTGCTTCACACTCAAGAGGACAGCATACACTTCAAAAGCAACAGAGAGCTGGAGTTGTGCTAATGATTTCATTATGTGAGCTTGTTATGACTACATGCACAGTTCAGACTTCCAAAACGTCGCATGTACGTGGCATGAGCCTTAGACAGAACATTTATAATCCCATTTTCAAATACCTCTTAATGATAGAAGTGATGTGTCGTGCTGTATTCACACAGTGTTCTCACCTCGATGCTGTCTGGTGTTCCCGAGTCCATGAATAATGAACATCTGGAGTCCTCTCTCCTCACATGGCCATTCTGAGCTGGCAGACCTGGAGCCAACACAGGGCAGTATTAATGAAATCAACAGACAGCGGCACGACAAGGTCAACTGAAGTATGTACTTCTCTGTTTACATGTGGATAGCTGTTTGATTTATTATTGTTTTGAATCATTTATTATCCTGTGGAGGCGGGTAAATGCTTGCAACACTTGAATCAAGGGTCAGGACAAATTTCTCCAAGGCCTGCTGCTATGGACAAAAAGCAGCAGATTATCAAATTCAGATGATGTATAGAGAAAAGGAGACGATCAGACCAACATAAACATAAAGACAAAGCTTGGTATTTTAGAAGAGGATGGCAAAATATTGAAAATATGAAACAAAAAAATCAGCATTTCCGTAAATAATGACAGATACTGATCCTCCCTTGAACACAATTTAGGATGATAATGGTTAAAAAAATATATCAGTAATGGCTGTTAGCTATTTAGCTGATACTTCCTGATTGATAAAAGGATAAATGGTACAGATAGAAGGGGAACTCTGCTTTTACAAAGTCAGATCAAGTTACCCCCCCGGCGCCTGAGATTTACTTGTTTACGGCCTTCTGTGGCTCTGAGGTTCTGAGAATATAATCAAATGAGACCACCAGGGAGAAGAAGCCGCTGAATATGCCTTTTGGGAAGTTGTGAGAAGCACTCACACTGCAGAGGAAAAGGTCAGGAGAGCTTCTCTTCCGCTGCTCTTTAATGTCTATTTTTTTATCAAATCCAGAATTCTTGGATTTGCATCATGCAAAGTATTCACATGTTCATACATACACTAAATGTTTACATTTTTATCTAAAGCCTTCTAAGCCTTACTATCCTCTGCATCACTGAAACAACAAAGCACAACTCAAAGAACAAGAGTGTGACAGAAACAGGATTCTTTGAGCTGATGCTGATTGCTGATGTGGATGGAGCTGATATGGAATGAAAATAAACCTTTTTTTAAACTTTTATGATTGTGAACAGGTACTCAGATGGTGTAATGGAAAAAATTCTGTTTACTGTCGAGGACACAATAATTAATACATAATAGTTATGTTTTGTCTTTACCCAAGGGTGAAGGTTTCTCACAAATAGCTAAATATCAAAGATACTCAGACTTGAAGTTTCCTTGACATGACTGAGCGCAGTCTGCTAAACAAACAGGACGGTGGCATCATTTCAAAATCATCCCGAGCATTGTCTTCTGTGTCACACAAAGAAACATTTTAGTATCGGGGCATATCAGAAGACTTGAGCAGAGACTGATAACCGTGATGATTTTTACCAATATATTTAAAACAAGCATCGTCTGTGGCTGTCAATGTTTTGGTGAAGCATTCATGCAGGTTTTTTCCTCAGACTCTTTTAAAGCCATTATGAACTTTATGTGAAGTTCAAAGATTCTAACGCGAGACCAATCCGCTACCAAACGGGTGTAAGCTGCTCCACTGTTGCTTTTTTCTTCTGTAATTTGTCCCTACTACAGCGCACCTTGTATTACCGAATATTACCCGACACACACAGCGAGCACGCCGGCTTCCATCAAAAGTTTAAGTTCCAAGATTCTTCTTTTTTATGGAAGGAAACTTTATTCTTAAATTTAAAATAAATAAAAGACTGTTAAGGTTATTAACAAAGTTCACGGTCAATAATTGGCATCCATTACCAGCGACACATCCCTGTTAAAGAAAGGGTTTTTAAACTGAGTTTTCAGTTTAAACTCTCACTTCTTCACCATAAACTTTATTTGCCAATAACCTGAACATTTATTTTCATTATTATTATTTATTATCATTTATTCATTTGCAAATTGATCAATTTGCACCTGATTCTTTCACATCATTTTTATAATTTTTCACCCTGTGCAGCACTCGCCTGATTCTACCTACAACGATCCTTGAAATGTTCACTCTTTGAGGGCGTAGTCCTTCAGAGTGTAAGACTCCGCCTCTCTGGGAAATTATTTTTATAGCCGTTTGTGTCACTAACCTGTTGACAGTTAACCTTATCAGCTGGCAGATGTTCCACCTGGGGTTAACTTTTTTCACAACTTTTCCAGTCGTCTCATGGCACTGTTCCAACTTGTTTTTAAACACTTTTGCTGGCATTAAATCCTACATGGGCACATCATTTACCAAAAACAACAACATCTCTCAGCAGACTCTTTTGATTTGTTATCTTTGTGCTATTTTTAACTGAACATGGGGTTTCAATGATTGACAAATCATCACATTGTTTTTATTTTCCATTGACACAACGCTCTCACATTTCTTGGTGTTGGTAATGGAGTTCGCCGGGGGGGGGGGGACTTTCACCATGCCTGTTTAATGTCTACATGAATGACCTATCAGACCAGTTAAGAAGCTGTAAAACAGGATGTGTGATTGGCAACGTGCTTGTTAACCATCTTATGTATGCAGAAGATTTGGTTATTATTTCTATCCGATACCAGTCACCTATGTGGAAGCATTGGTATAATTGCCTTATAACAATTTTTTACCTTGTGTGTTGTTGTATTTCTTTTAAATGGACCTTGAGACTTCCCAATAAAGCAATAATAATAAAATAATAATAATAATAATTTTTGGGAAACAGGGTTGTGCATTCATCTTGACTCCATTCAACCCAACTCCCAAACAAACGGTGCAGACACACTAAGATGCCTCCATCGTCACACACTGTTAAGTGCTGTGTTGTTTGTGAAGGCAAAATGTAACTTAAACGTACACACACACACACACACACTCTGTTGACGGCAGATGTCTGGCACACAGCTGCAGCTTTTAATGAGAGAGACAGTGAAGCTAATGGATCAAAAGTGTTGTTGTGGTGCTTTGTTTTTGTTTTTTGGTAATAATGGATGATCTTTTAACAGGAAGAGGCCAGATGCCATGTGTAGTATCTGTTGGTATCTGAACTCACCGTGGTCTCTCTCCATCACCGTGCTGATTCTCCTGCTGTCCACTGAACTGGTTGATATCAGGTCATCTCTGGAGCCCTGGACGTAAACAAGATGGAGAGAGTGAAATCTGGGCTTCCTTTAGATGATCACTTCAGGTTTTAGTAAAGGAGGTAAAGAAGAGAAATGTTTAATATAGTTTTTGAAACTTGGTTTAGGAACATAGACCTGATGATGTGATTTCACATGCCCCATGCTTTGTAGAAAATATTTATAATTCACCAAGTCCATCCTTTAATTCGTGTTTACATTTTGTCATATCTTTTTTCAAATATGAATATTTTTATATCCAATTTTGTATTTTATTTTGGAGTTTGTTTTGTTTTTGCGGTCTGCTGCGATGATGTCACATCCTGTAGATTCACGCTACTCTCTTCAGACAGCCTGAGACCCCGCAAAGGAGAGGTGTGCACGTTGAAGCTCCCTCTTTGTTCTTGTTGTCTACAATCGCTCGACCTTTACCCTCATCCCACAACCCTTATCTTTTTCTCTTCCTCCCTCCACCCTAACCGTCATCCCTTCCTCCCTCCACCCTTACCTTCATCCCTTCCTCCCTCCACCCTTACCTTCATCCCTTCCTCCCTCCACCCTTACCTTCATCCCTTCCTCCCTCCACCCTTACCTTCATCCCTTCCTCCCTCCACCCTTACCTTCATCCCTTCCTCCCTCCACCCTAACCGTCATCCCTTCCTCCCTCCACCCTTACCTTCATCCCTTCCTCCCTCCACCCTTACCTTCATCCCTTCCTCCCTCACCCTTACCTTCATCCCTTCTTCCCTCCACCCTAACCGTCATCCCTTCCTCCCTCCACCCTTACCTTCATCCTTCCTCCCTCCACCCTTACCTTCATCCCTTCCTCCCTCCACCCTTACCTTCATCCCTTCCTCCCTCCACCCTAACCGTCATCCCTTCCTCCCTCCACCCTTACCTTCATCCCTTCCTCCCTCCACCCTTACCTTCATCCCTTCCTCCCTCCACCCTTACCTTCATCCCTTCTTCCCTCCACCCTAACCGTCATCCCTTCCTCCCTCCACCCTTACCTTCATCCCTTCCTCCCTCCACCCTTACCTTCATCCCTTCCTCCCTCCACCCTTACCTTCATCCCTTCCTCCCTCCACCCTAACCGTCATCCCTTCCTCCCTCCACCCTTACCTTCATCCCTTCCTCCCTCCACCCTTATCTTCATCCCTTCCTCCCTCCACCCTAACCGTCATCCCTTCCTCCCTCCACCCTTACCTTCATCCCTTCCTCCCTCCACCCTTACCTTCATCCCTTCCTCCCTCCACCCTTACCTTCATCCCTTCCTCCCTCCACCCTTACCTTCATCCCTTCCTCCCTCCACCCTAACCGTCATCCCTTCCTCCCTCCCCCTAACCTTCATCGCTTCCTCCCTCCACCCTAACCTTCATCCCTTCCTCCCTCCACCCTTACCTTCATCCCTTCCTCCCTCCACCCTTACCTTCATCCCTTCCTCCCTCCCCCCTTACCTTCTTCCCTCCACCCATACCTTCATCCCTTCCTCCCTCCCCCCTTACCTTCTTCCCTCCACCCTTACCTTCATCCCTTCCTCCCTCCACTTTTACCTTCATCCCTTCCTCCCTCCACTTTTACCTTCATCCCTTCCTCCCTCCACCCTTATCTTCCTCCCTCCACCCTTACCTTCATCCCTTCCTCCCTCCCCCTTACCTTCTTCCCTCCACCCTTACCTTCATCCTTCCTCCCTCCCCCCTTACCTTCTTCCCTCCACCCTTAACCTTCATCCCTTCCTCCCTCCACCCTTACCTTCATCCCTTCCTCCCTCAACCCTTACCTTCATCCCTTCCTCCCTCCCCCTTACCTTCTTCCCTCCACCCTTACCTTCATCCCTTCCTCCCTCCCCCCTTACCTTCTTCCCTCCACCCTTACCTTCATCCCTTCCTCCCTCCACTTTTACCTTCATCCCTTCCTCCCTCCACTTTTACCTTCATCCCTTCCTCCCTCCACCCTTATCTTCCTCCCTCCACCCTTACCTTCATCCCTTCCTCCCTCCCCCCTTACCTTCTTCCCTCCACCCTTACCTTCATCCCTTCCTCCCTCCCCCCTTACCTTCTTCCCTCCACCCTTACCTTCATCCCTTCCTCCCTCCACTTTTACCTTCATCCCTTCCTCCCTCCACTTTACCTTCATCCCTTCCTCCCTCCACTCTTATCTTCCTCCCTCCACCCTTACCTTCATCCCTTCCTCCCTCCCCCCTTACCTTCTTCCCTCCACCCTTACCTTCATCCCTTCCTCCCTCCCCCCTTACCTTCTTCCCTCCACCCTTACCTTCATCCCTTCCTCCCTCCACTTTTACCTTCATCCCTTCCTCCCTCCACTTTACCTTCATCCCTTCCTCCCTCCACTCTTATCTTCCTCCCTCCACCCTTACCTTCATCCCTTCCTCCCTCCCCCCTTACCTTCTTCCCTCCACCCTAACCTTCATCCCTTCCTCCCTCCACTTTTACCTTCATCCCTTCCTCCCTCCACTTTTACCTTCATCCCTTCCTCCCTCCACCCTTATCTTCCTCCCTCCACCCTTACCTTCATCCCCTTCATCTATCCATCCTCAATCTTCCGATCATCCAGCCTCGCTCATCATTTTGATCTCCGCCATGCACATTACAATAAACTAAATCAACATATTTCTGTATCAATTTCTGCTCAATTTGTATTAACAAAATGTGTGAATCTGTTAAATTAAATCACTTCCAAGAACTGTTTAAATACATTATCCCGATGGATTCACATAAATATCTCATACTACATTAAAGTTTATTCAACATACTTGCAACAAGAATTGAAACTTTTGGAGCAATAATTGGCTCTCTTTCAGATCTTGCATAATCAACCCCACTGTCAGTGCAGACAGCTGTGGCTCTGAGGTGGACTCACATTTAAGCCGAGCCCGGGGCTGGAGGTGTGTGGCTGGGCAGACAGCTGCTTCAGGTTCTGGTAGAGGAGCTCAAAGAGTGGCAGGTAGAGCAAACAGATCCTGGCCTGCTGGTTCTGAAACATGAGAAAAACACTCCATGAGGTTTTGAATAATGTGTCCACAGCTGCTATCAGAGGTGGCTGCACTCTATAAACCGGCTGGTTTGCATAACAGACGATGATATCTTTTAGGAAAAGTGGAGGCACCGTTTAGTTTCAGTTTGTTTGGGTACTCAGGGAGACTTGTGTCAAACATGTGACGCATAAATAAAAACATGTGTTTGTGTGAAGTATGGATTTGGAGCGATGAAACGATGTGTGCATTATCATACCTCCATGGCTTTCAACCATGACCTGTCTTATAGACTGCAGTACAGTTTATTTTTCTAAATCGGGTTGACCTGTAATTGATCATCTATATAAATGATCAGTTTTTTTTTTATTATTATTATTTTTTTATTATATGTACTTAAGACTTTTTTAAATATATTTATTCATTACCTTTATTTTCTTAAGATGTTTTTTAAATGTCTGTTGCTTTCAATGCAAATAATGTTCCTCAGCAAAAAAATGTACAAGTGCAATTTTTGTTACTATTATGCTTGCTGAAAATCAAAAGAAACAATCTAAAAAAAAAACCCCAAAAAAACATAACCTTACATAAAGTTTGCAGTATAATCTACATGTTAGCATGCTCATTTAAAGGGGAAACTGCCTTCTCAAAACAGTCTTCAATTCTAGTCAAGACTCAGTTGTTTCTTAAAAAAAGACTAATGAAGTCTGGTCATGGACTGAGTATAGAAAGGACATAGTGTCGATGACGTCAGCAATGTTGGAAAAGCAAACCCTAGCTTACTAGCTAGCTAAGAGCTGGAGTTGAGGTGGGCCTTTAGCCTCCTGGCAAATAGCTCCCACACACTCACCTGTCAGTCATATCAACTCCACTCCTTATTAGGAAAAGAGTGTTCTGCTTGGTCAGAGTACGCTGCCTTCAAAATGTAATCTTTAAATCCTGTGGAGCTGCTCTGTTAAAAATAATCTAATGTTTTCCAAGTGTACATTTGGCTGTAGATGGTTTAAGTGTTGATTGTCGTTGTTTTTTGATATCTTGCCAAGGTGCTACAGATGACGATTAGCCTATGGCTAAAATCTAGCATGTTTAAGCTCACAAGTGGTCAACATATTATGGTAGGAAGGAAATGAACTGAAACTCTGGGATCATGACAATAGGACTGACTGTCACTTAGGGGAGCGCCATACAAACCTAGGGGTTTTTTTGTTGTTGTTTTTTGTTTTCTTTCTCTCTTCTTTCTCCTTTTCCTCTTCTTTTCTTTCTTTTAATTTAATTTAATTATTTTATTTTATATAACCAATTTGTTTGTTTGCCCTCCCTTAAGATGTTAAATATCGTAGAGAAAGGGAAGAAAAATTCATGTATTTATGTAACACAGATCCAAGCTACCTCAGCTTGACTTCAAACTACTTTAAACAAACTGTAATACATGTTTCTGTATTGTAAGAGTTATTTTTTGTATTTCGACATGACTGGGGGGGACACAACCTTTTAGACACCACACCACTTATAAAAATGTAAAATATTGTCATCCTTATGTTGAATATAAAATATGTGTACTGTATGTTAAGACATGATGACAATAAAAAGTAATCAAAAAAAAGTTTTGTTGTGTACTTGAAAGGATGGATTTTATTTTTCATTTTTTAAAGATATTTTTGGACCATTTTTGCCTCTATTGTTCAGGACAGCTGAAGAGAGACAGGAAATGTTGGGAGGAGAGAGTTGGGGGTTAAAAGGAAAAAAAAATGGCTGAGGCCGGACCCAAACCCACGGCCGCTGTGACGAGGGCCACAGCCTCCCCACATGGGGCGGGCGACACTGCTAGTATATCCGGCGCCCCAAGAGGGATTGGATTTTAAAGTAAAGATGGCAGAAAATAAATTTAAAAGGCAAATGCTGTGATGACCAGCGAAACGTTTGCGTGTGAGAGAAGAATCATCCTGAACACTAACTCTCTCCTCTTCCTCCTCCCCGCCCTCTCTCACCTTGAACGCCATGTAGCGGTCGTCCATGGCGTGTTTGATGAGAAGGTTCTTGAGAACGCTCACAGCCAGCTGTCTGACCTCGGGCCCTTGCTGCAAAGCCTCAGCCACTTCTCTCAGCAGCAGACCCACCAGGAAGTGGTTACGGCAATAATCCTCCGTCAAGCTGAACTCCAGACTCTGCTCTGTGGTCGGGCCAGAAAGGAAATTGAATTTGTAACACAATAATGATGTAGAGAGTGAAGAAATTTCCTAAGATCATAATCTGATAGTCTTGAGAAATTAGTTTTCCTTATGTGAAAGAGACCGTTAGTACAGGCCAGAAGAAAAGTGAGAATAACAACATCATGTTTCGGTTGACTTGTTGTAAATGAATCAGTTTTATGCCTAATTAAAATTGAAAGGTTTTATTATTGCTTCAGATTTAACTGATTTAGAAAGATATAAATACACATGCACCAGGATTGCACTAAAGTGGTGCACTAATGTTGGAGGTTACAGGACATAAAACAAATGAAATCCTGATTGGAAAATAATCTTTTAATGCTGAATTTCTGCTTTTAGATTGAGACAGTTTTCCTGAAAATCAAAAAGGGCACATGGAGGGACTTTAGCTAGATCCCAAGAAACTTTTGTCAGATCCTCAGACACTTTTACAGGATCCTGCAAAGCTTTTACAAGATCACAAGAAGAACTTTCAAGAGCCTGATAAACTTCGGCAACAATCAGGAAACGTTCAATTTCCTGAGAAGCTTTAGCAAAAATCCTTAAAAAACTTTTAAACAGAAGTTTATAAACTATTGCTGGATCTCACTTCTGAGAGATCTTGAAAAAAACTTTATACAAGCTCCAGATCCAAAAGAACTGAATGAATCTGGATCCCGAGAAGTTTTTGCTAGATCCTGAAAAACATTCTACGAGATCCAAGGAAACTTTTGAGAGATCCTCGGAAGCTTTGTCTGATCTTACCAAAGTTTCTCCTTCCAATTATATTCTACTTTTAGTTTCTCAGGATGGTTCTCACAAAAGATTATTTCCCCCCCTCTGTGTCCCTTTGGGGCTCAGTAAAAAAAAAAAAAAAGCATTTAAACGTATTTATTTTTCGGGACTATTTTTTGAAACGGGGGAGAAAAAACTATTTTTGTGTGAACCAGGTCTCAGTCTTCCCTTTGTCTTTGGATATATTTTTTGTCCTGCACCCAGTACTCGGATGTGCATGCTGGTTGATATTTTTGGATCACTAGATTCTCCCATTTGAAATCTCTAATAATGATAGTTACAGTATATATCTATGTCATCGATCAGTATTTATGGTGTTTTGCAGTGAAACCTCAACACAACAACAAAATCATTCTAGCATTAATGTTTTGCACACCACACAAACACATACGACAGTTCATTACTCATCGCCTACATTAGCACACGTGTAATGTTGGAAACATTTCATTCTGCATGTGAAGAAAAACAGAGCGATAAATGGACAGAAGATCAGACAGACGACGTGCTGCTGGAAAATGACAAGTTGTCTGTTTTTAGGACGCAAACAATGACATACAGTTTCACAATAATGCTGTGGTAATATTTAAAAACAGGTAGTGCAGCCTGGGAACAGATCTGTGATTATCTTCTTCAGTGACAGAGACAGACCATCAGGTTGACAGATGAAAGAGAGAGAGAGAGAGAGAGCAGACACAAACAGTGAGAGAGAGAGAGATAACCCAGCCTCGTGACAGATGTTTGTATCGAGTATTTTCACAATCAAGCATCAAGAGAAAGAGATCAGCTGATTCCCACAAGCTCCTCTGCAGTACAACACACAGGCTCGGGCGTATGAAGAAGTTAGCCTAGCGTTAGCATTGTGAGAAAGTGAGTGCAAGTGAATGGATGTCCTATGAGGAAAAAAAGGGGGAAGCTGAACAGGATGGCGGTGGGGGGGGGGTGTTAGTGCAAGGAGATGCAGGTTGTTTGCAGACGGTGGCATTGATGTAGAGTTGGGTGCGGTGAGAATCACCTACCTACAGGGCCAAAAAGCTCCGACGCATACGGAATAAAATCTAAAGGGAGGGGGGAGTAAAAAAAAAAAAAAAAAAGAAAAGAAATTGGGGGTAAAACTGTAAACAATCCATGCAGCATTTTCAAAGCAAAGTTGTTTTTTTTCTCTCGTGTGGTTGTATAAAACATGACGTGTGAACAAGTGGTTGATAAACTTGTTATTCAGGAACACAGTAGAGGTAGGTGTGTCAACTGCCTCCTGCTTTTGTTTTTTTTAACTTGTGGGTGCGTGAGGCCAAACTATCAGGTTAATGAAGGGAATCAGTTTGGTGGATCAGGTCAGGGAAAGGTCAGTAAGGGGATTTGGGGTTCATGTGAGAGCTAGTCAGTGGTTACATGTGTGGTAGAAACAGCATGACGTGTTTGGAGCCCTCACCTTGTACCCTCTGCAGCTTGGTGCGCCCAAATGCCATGGGCAGGTTCAGAGGGATGAAGTGCTCGTGGTTGCACATGGCCATCAAGAACTCAAATTTCATTTCATTCAGAACCTGTGGCAAAAAGAAAAGAAACATGAGCGCGTGCATACCGTGTGTATGCATTATGTAAATCTTTTATCAACCGCCCCCGTGAATAAAGATCATTCTCCTTGTTGTTTAAATTAAATCCTCGACTCAGTGACCTGGCTGTCTCTGTTTGATTTGTTAGTCAAATGTGCTGCTGATAAAGAGAGCTGGCTAAGGCGCAGCACACAGCACGTTCTGATGACTGTTATGTGTCGGTTAGATAGCATGTTTTGTCTTCCAGATAAAAGGTGGTGCACCTGATTTCACAAAGCAACTCTCATTCTTCCTCCATCAGCTAAAAAAATCAGTGTCTCTAAGTTTCCCCTACGGTACAGCGACGGCGTCAACATTTTCAAAACTATGATGCTAGAAGTTTAAAAACAATAAAGTCTCTGATCATTTTATCAATGATGGTATCAAAAAGTAACAAAGCTTTGAAGAAAACCACAGACTGTAAAGATGTTTTTTAACCAAAAGCCATGCTGAGTGAAAGAGAGAGCGCTGTCTAAATTGCACAAATATTTCAGCAACATACAGGTACCAGGAACTGATACATTGCCAACATATTGGAGCGATTGAGACAGCATGCAGGAGTTTGCCTGCAAGAAGAACAATAAAAACCTTTGCACATCCATTTCACAAGACAGGTGTTTAGGAAAAATGTAAAGGTAAACTCCAGCACACTGTCAAACTTGCAAGCAAACATTTATTGGCAAAGTTTCAGTACTAGGTCTGATGGAGGTCTAATACTGTAACGATGCTCACTGCAACTAAATGCAACTAATGAGTTCTGGAGTTAACCTTCAAGCAGGAGCGTGTCCAGAGGGGTAACTGGAAATCTTAACCAAAGTATGCTAACATTAGCATGCTAACACAACAATGCAGGCCACAGGCAACTGCAGCTCGAGCAAAGGATAATTTTGTCTGCTGTCGAATTCTTTTTGTTGCCGCGGTAACTAATTAAGATATTGATAACGCTTCATCATCACTAGAATAGTATCAAATTTTAAAAATCTGATATTTTGACAACCTGACAGTCAAAAGCCTCGCCTTGTTTTTGAGTGGAAGATGTTTCTGTGTTCTGTCGAGCACCTACCTTGGGATCTTTGAGACCAAAATGACACATGTAGTGGTTGACCAGACCGAAGGCGAAGCCCCTGTTCATGAAGGTCAGGCACCTCTGAGGACAGAAAACACAGGTTAGCACACATTTAACTGAGAAAGATCACAGACAAACACATGTTTGAGATTGTTTCCTCAAGATCCCAGAAAGTCAAAAACACTGTTTGTAGGGACGACACCCCGAGAGGCAGTAAAATATCAGCACATAAGAGGGAAGAGTCAAACTGGTGAGATGAGGAGATTAACTGCTGTTCTCCTTTAAACAGCAGGGGGCGCTATCTGCTTCTGGCTCTTGTTCAAAGTCTTAAAACTTTGTCAGCAGATAAATATAGGGGCGTACAAACACAGCGATGAGAATCCTCCAGGAATGGAAAAAACAAAACAGTGTGCAAGAGGCTAAAAGCACAACCAACAGATTGAAGAGAGTATAAAATCATGGTTACTTCAATTCACTGGGGGGGGGGGGCTCCAACCAGCGTTTATCACCACAAGTGTTACAACGCTTACTCCTCTTCTTTTTCAAAACAGCAATGCAAGGTTTAGGTCGGGTACAATCACTTCTATCTGAACCACTTCTCTTGCCCGCTTCCATCACTGCAACACCTGTTGACCTGATAACTGCTCTCATATCTGGCAAACCGAGGGGCGTCCAAAATGGCCGTGTGTGTGTGTGTGTGTGTGTGTGGGGGGGGCGGGGAGAATCCAGAGCATTCAGGAGCAGAATCTAAAGTTAGAAGGAGGACATACTGGCTGCTGCATTGTTGTCAGAGAAGCCAGCACTTCAACATAGCATGTTTCCTTAATGTCTGATCAGATAGTAAGGTTATTTAGAGAGACATGATTAAATTCAGTAAATATCTCACACTGCTTCTTTTAATGTTTTTGAAGGAGCCCATAAATATGTGAAATCAAACAGCACTCTGCCAGCTGTTTCATGTTAACTTAAAAAGAAGAGCTGTGGTGTTCTTGAGCAGGGACAAAAATAAAGAGAATTAGGGAGAAGCTCAACACACACACCACATGGCAAACAGCCTTTGGTGAGGTGTGTTTGGTTTGTTTTGATGATTTATTTTTTTTTGCATGTGGTGTCCAGACCTTGATGAAATTAGCCAGACTCAGGTTGATGCAGCGAGCCTCCTCTTGGATCTCCATGTGGCGGATGGTGATGTGTGGCATGATGGACAACACCAGGGACTGGAGCGCCTGGTGGAAACTGTCGGGGAAGCGCTGGGCCCGAGGCATCTAAAGAAAGTCACAACAAACGTCTGATGAAACAAAGCTTGAATTGAAGACAAATGGCATCCAAGCTTGAGGTCAAATTAACAGGATTGTAAACAGATTGTTTTTTTTTTTTGTTGCACTTCTTAGCATCATCACTTTGCATTCTGCAGAACATGTGACGTTGCTGGTTTAAACCAGATGGTTGATAATACACATGGCAGACTGATTCACCCCGAGTCTCCTGCTCTCCCTCGAGTGTGCGGGAGGATTTGTTTTTTTATGAATGTGTTGACATGTTTTGTAACGTCACTTGTAGAAACAGAGACTCATGAACAAACATGTATTTAAAAAATGTAACGATAAGCTTCTCAATCTGAATTGCTCGAAGGCAAACGATTGCTCAATGCACAAACCTTCATGCGGTTGCCCTCTTGCAGGTACTGGGCCATGGATTTGGCCATGATTTCACAGAAGAACCAGGAGTACTAGAGAAAGGGATCAAACAGAGGAAGAGTTAAGAGACTGATCCAGGTATTCAGAAGTATGTACAATTCCTGAGATAGACATCAGCATTGACATGCAAAAATCATGTATGCCAGTTGGATTAGATAACAGAAACGTTACAAGCAGCGACATGCTGCATGACATCTTTGAAATGTGGTTACAACTCATATGGAAAAAATGTACTTCCTGTTTCGCTGGTTTGACACTTTATCCACAAGTATGCCACCTGCTGTTCAATGTTGGAACTACAACTGGACAGGGGTTGAGAAAAAAGCCAGACGGCAAACCTTGAGCAGTTTGTTGCTGGTGTTGAAATCGGCGGTTTGCTTGAGCGTGGCCGTCACAGCGGTGGCCAGCACCTCGTGAGTGGTCGCTGAGTTTCCTGATGTAGGGTTGTTGGTCACAAACACGTACTGAAAAGAGAAGAAAACACAAATCCATAAATAGATATGGTGCACTGACCAGCAGTAGAGGTGTGTGCACAAGTAAAAGAAGCTGTCTAAGGTTTTGTTTTCAAGGTTACCTTTTTTTAAAGAAAAAATGTATTGGTGATAAGGTGAACAAAATGAAACAATAATATATAGACATGACATAGACAAGACAACTAAAGCGAGAACAAAGACAAAAAAAATAGATAGATACAAAATAGCAAAACATAAGCAAAGATACAGAGCAGCAATGCAGACAAAATACATTTAAATGAGTCAAGGTTACCTTCACAAAAGAGCGCAAGTAGTGTTCCAGACCCTCCTCATGACACCTGGAGACTATATGTATGATCACTCTGTAGGCACAGAGAAGGCAGTGTTATAATACCATAAGCATTCATCTGAACGAAATAGTAAAAACTGCAGACATGATTTTACAAAGGGGGCGATCAAAGCCATAGTCAGAGGGGATTAGTGTTAAACTGGGACCTCTGAGAATATGGGAATTACCCCCCAACATCAGTGTTTGGGGATGTGCATTTGCAGGGGATAAGCAAAGCTTGTCATTTTCTCCTATTTGCAGATATTCCTGCTGCATGAGAACAACCATGTCCTATGGGGGCAGCATCACACTTCACAGCGTACAGCCTGCCGGACATCAATTGGAAGACAAATTAGCAGAGGTCCCCAGGTAATACTTATCCCCGTGCGAGTCAGGCTGAACATACCGCAGAGAGTTGACAGCGATCTCATGGGCTTCTTTGGCCGCTGCTGTGAGCACCTCGAACAGCTGCATCAGCACCACAGGCAGGAAGTTAACGATCACATGAGTCTCCATGGCATGCAGGCACTATGGGGAGGAACACATAGAAAGAGAAAGTAAGTTAAACTTATATTCCTCGTGTGACCGAAAAAATGAGATTGCGGATGCAAGTGGCCGAAATGAGCTTCCTCTGGAGGGTGTCTGGGCTCAGACATTCAGGGGAGCTCAGAGTAGAGCCGCTGCTTCTTAGCATCAAAAGGAGCCAGTTGAGGTGGTTCAGGCATCTGTTAAGGATGCCTCCTGGACGCCTCCCTTTAGACGTTTTCCAGACACGCCCAACTGGGAGGAGACCCCGGGGCAGACCCAGAGTTCGCTGGAGGGATTTTATATCCGGTCTAGCCTGGGAATGCCTCGGAGTCCCCCAGGAGGAGCTGGAAAACGTTGCTGGGGAGAGGGAAGTCTGGGTTGATTTACTGCGCCTGCTGCCACCACGACCTGAATCATGCCCGTGCATGGTATGAAACAACCATGCCTAATTGTTTTAAATATTCAGGAACTTTCATAGATAATACAGACTATGTCTTTAAAACAGCTCTGCAGAGGCTACACCTACTGAGGAAGCTGGATGAGTTTGGGGTGATTAAAAAGATTCCTGAAATGGTGTACAAGAATCTGGTAGAAAGTATTTTGTCTTTTAACATTGTCGCATGGTACAGGCTTTTAGATGTTAAGTGTAAAAGCAAACTGACACGAGTGGTCAATACCGCTAGCAAAATCATAGGGAAACCACAGACTGACACTTAGTGACAGACATGTACTGAAGGACATAACAACTGACCCTTCATCCACTACACTCCCAGTTCAAAGTGCTTCCATCAGGTCGGCGATTCAGAGCCAAAAAAAATGTTTTTTGTACCAAAATGCAATAAAATTATTAAATTAAAAAAGGAAAAAATAACCCCCCCAACTCTAACTGCACATTGTTTTATGAAATGCCTGTTTTAACCATTATTTAACCATGCTGACTGTGATGTTGTCGAGGACTACAAGCGCTCTCCTGGTTTTCTGCTGTGCTTCAATGTTGTCTTGTTTCTCATCATGTTTTTTGTCTTGTTCTTGTGAAGCCAAACACAATTTTCCACTTTGTGGACAAATTAAGTTCTATTCTATTCTATTCTATGTGAAAACACCCTAAAAGTCTACATAACACAACATGTTTTTTTTACTTACCACCATTCCCTTGGCATGTTTATAAATGTAGATTTTTGCTTGTATTAAGTTGTGAGTTTTAATTGAATTGAAAACAGAACAGGGCCTGAAACAGAACCCTGAGGGCCTAAAAAGGCCCTCAGGGTGTGAGACAAGCTGAGATGTTATTGTAACGATGGAGATTGTAATATCTGCGAGGACCTGCAGGGCTCTAACTGTACCGGAGGTTTCATATTATATTGTTTAGTAATTAAAAAGCTCACCTTCAGGTATTTGACCAGTTCTGCCTGGTTGCCCTCTGATGTCGTCCTCATCAGCTGGCAGTGCTGGAAGAATTTGTGAAGATGCAGATCCTGTGAAGGAAAGAATCAAATTAAATTATAACACACACACACACCCTCTTCACACCAGCTGCTCTAAGAATATATTGACTCTGTACCTGAGCGTATATTGTTGATGCTACATGGATCCTCAGTTTGAACAGCGTCTTTGCATTTTCCACCCACTTGACATCTGGCTGGGACTGTTCAAAAACACACACTTTTATACAGTTTTTTCAGGAAAGTATCTTAACAGAGACACACATGTAAATAAACATATATCAGCCATCATGCATTTAGCTTGCTGTTAGAATCCTGCTGGCATCCATTAGCTTCATTTAAACTTATTTAGACTGCTGGATAAGTGGTCTTTATCAGAACCGGGTACTGTGAGGCTCCTTCCTGGGGTTTTGATGTAAGAGGACTTTACCTTCTTGGTGTCCTGACACAGATATCCAGGAGGCAGGGTGGCTGCTACAGGCAGCTGGAGCTCAGCTGATTGCATCCTCCCTTCTTTAAGCAGAGGCATCCAGGAGTAACCCACTGAAACACAGATTCACAGTTTTAGTTTTTTCTGGTATGGCAGCATATCAAGTTACACAGCGAAAGATTTTATGATTTGAATAAATAAGAAGAAACAAAAACATGATGGCTTAAAACAGAGACATTTTCACCAGTAGTGTAGTGTTTTTTTTACTAATGTTGCATTCAAGGACACATCTCAATCCAAAGCAGACTCACTCACCTAGTGACTCGACTCCCTCTCTCTTCTTGCTGCTGGCCTTACTGCTGGACTCACAGCTGATGTGGTAGAAAGTGAAGAGGATGTGGTGTTTGTCATGCACGTGGACCGGCAGCTCAATCTTCACCTATGCACAAAGCAGAAAGTCACAGCTGTACACGAGAAGACATTTTCAACATGGCCCATTTCATTTAAGGAGTCAGATTTTGGTGAATGGATAAAGGCATTTAAAACACATAATTTGAATAATTAGAAGTAAGAAGAATGAAGGTGCATTCATTCTTAAAACAATTATTTTCTCTTGTGCCTTTGGCTGCTAGTTTATCTGTGTGTGTGTGTGTGTGTGTGTGTGTGTGTGTGTGTGTGTGTGTGTGTGCCTATCATTCCCTCCTTTTTTAACTCTCAAATGAATAGTGTTATAACTTAAAACATAATATTTTAAGTCATTGGGATACGTGTGATACCATTAATACATGTGTAACATATATCACTGTAAAAGCGTCCTTTGGTGAAACCTGATTATATATTGTAACCACTAGGGGGCAGCGACAGCTCAGAAATGTATTTCATATAAAGATCCTCTGACAGGAAGTGACACATTCTGCCAATGTGATTTTCCACAGTTGCAGATCTTGTAACCAACACATTTCTAAACAATGACACGAGTGCATTTCATCAAAACATCCCTCTCTAATTCATGACAGGAGTTTGAATCATCCTGCTAGATCGCTAAATTCTCCTCGCTGGAGATTTAGAGACTTCCACAATATTGTGACACACACTCTTTAGAGCACTCCTTTTCCTTATTAAGACTTTGTGTGAAGTCAGAATCTTTGTCACACTGTAACTCACTGTAACCTGCTACTGGCACTACGACTAATTAGAATCTTTATTACAAGCTTTTCACTGAGAAGTTTTAGAAGATGAAGGGATATGAAATGAAGCAGAGTATGTTGAAAAAGAAATAGATTGTTGTTGTAAACTTGAGCAGAAGTCTTCATGATGTAACAGGAAGCTTAATCATGTGGAGGTAAATCCCAGCGAGCATGCTCCTGTGTGTGTGTGTGTGTGTGATGTGGGTGTGGTTGTGGGGACTCTTAAGATCCTAATCCGTTTGACATCAGGGCCATATGGAGACCCTCTGCTCTACCTCCTTATCGGTATCCTGGTCAGACCTCTTTCACTGAGCGTGTGTGTGTGTGTGTGTGTGTGTGTGTGTGTGTGTGAGGCCTCAGCTCTCCCCGGATGGAGATTTGTGGGATTATCTCTCTGCTAGTTGAAGAATTCAGAGAGAATTTGAGGGTTCAAGGAAATTTGAGAATAATAATCAGAGTTTCTACATTTCTGCTTTCAGTTACACTTCTCATCGTTTCCACTTCAGTTTCAAAAACCTGATGAACGTGATTCTCCAGGTTTTTTTTTAATCTTCAAATTTTTATAACACCTTTGCTATGGTAACAATGTTAATCAATCCTTTTGCCATAATCTGCCTGTATTTGCTGTATTCTTATTAGTTTTCCACGTGGACTGGTATTCTGTGTGCAACGAGAGCGCCCCCTGCAGACAGCGCCTCATGTATTGTTGTCAGTCTGCTGTTTCTGTCCCTGTGGTAGGTTGACTTGTAAAGCTCCAGGGAATTACATAAAAATTAGATCATTGTTCTTGTTTAGAGGCTTTATATGTGATTTTTCACACTTCAATGTAATAGAAATCAAGTGTATCCTCTGAAAATAACTCTGTGAGTCATGACTGTCTACAATGGGTGTAACACCCGAGTCCACTGTCTGTGATGTTTTCAGAGTTTTCAGAGTCCTATCTTCAGTTTGTTTACATCGCCCAGATGGCTGGCTGACACCTCCCCTCAAGTATAAAGTTGTTTAATCGAGGGACTAGAGAAAAGAAGATCGATCCCCAGCTCCTGCAGCAACATGTCCGATGTGTCCTTGGGCAAAGAAACTTAACCCCAAGTTGCTCCAGCTGCTTCATCAGCAGCTTCCGGTTCCGGGTCGCTGCTCGTGCGGAAGACTGGCCGGCTCACAGAGCAGTTATTTAGCGTTTATTTAGCATTTATTACGTTTTCTACTGTTTATTTTTTCTATAGATATATTGTTTTAAGCTTTAAGTTGTATTTAAATTGACACTTTATATTTAGGTTAAAATGTTTTGTTTACTTGCACTGTTGTTAATTTACTGCTCTGTGTGCCTTTGAATTGCCCCCCAGGGGACAAATTAAGTTTTTTGAATTGAATTGAATTAAATTGAATGAATGCGATTAATTACTTCTGATGGTCACTTTACTCAGCAGCCTCTACCATCAGTGTGTGAATGTGTAGGTGTGACCTGCGGTGTAAAAGCACTTTGAGTAGTCAGAAGACTAAAAAAGAAATATACAAGCTAAAGTCTATTAACCATTTATCTATCGGTTTGTTGTAGAATAATTCAGGCTCACCGCATTATTGGCTTTGCTGGCTATATGTATGAGTGTATGAGTATTTATCAAGCCATTATACGTATACAATAATTTTAAACCATACAGACAGTTCAAACAGAGTCAACAGTCATGTATTATGTGGTGACTGAAAAGGCATAGGCAGACGCAAACTGCTTATAAACGCCTATTCTACTAAATGCTAGCTATGCAATTCTTTTACATGTTTTTTGCAAGACTCCTGTACTGGTGTGGAAATTTTGGGATAACTCATAAAAAGACAGGATAGGAATAGGATAGGCTGCGGTGCGGTGCGAGTGGTAATAAACTCTAGGATGAGATACGCATTACCTTTTGTCATGCTTCTTTTTTCACTACTTTTCACTTATATCCTGCTGTCTCTGTCAAATCCTTCTGTCATTTAATTTTAAAATTATTCATAGCAGGAGGAGTCATGATGTAGTGACACGATAAGGCAAATTGGCCAGATATCTGTAATAGGCGCACAGTAATTTAAATTAAAGATATTGGGCAGGAGCAATTTAATTATTGTTCACACGAGTCCTGATGAGAATAACATGACATATCGATATTCAGAGTGTCTGTGAGAGACCTGATATGCTTCTGTTGTTATGAAACAAACAGTCTGTTAGAGCCCAAAGTGAATGTTCATCACACCACCACCACATTACAAGCCTGCAGAGCTGCAGCTGCTCATTGTGTGACATCGCTCACCTCGTCGTAGAACTCCGGGCTCTGATTGTGGTGCAGGACGGCTGCGTAGGTGCTGTTGGTGAAGAGTGAGTCTCCTGGCTTGCCGTAGATGCACTGAAAGGCAAACACACAGACATAAGTCTGTGACACAAGTCATAACAATTGTGGTCCTTTGATGTTGGGGCACGGCGGTGAGTATGAGCCGAGGAATCTGTGGTAAAAGGTGAGGTGAGTGTGCAACCCTTCATGTACAGAGAACAGAGAATTAAGGGAGATTTGTTAAACAAGAGCTTGTCTCATCATGAAAATTATATGAAGTTTCAAGCCTTAGAATCAGTATCAATACCTCTTTTAATTAAAGTGACGGTACCTTCAAGCTTCTGCTGAATGTTTATGACAGAAAACCACAGGACAATCACAGAATTATGACTAAATGTGATCACATAAATAGTATTTTTACCTTCAATGGTAAATAGAGACATTAGTGGATGCACATTAGGGTTGTTTTGAGAATGCACTCTTTGGAAAATGCTACATAGCCAAAACTCAATCTTGTACCAAAGCTCTGTGGGAAAATAAACTTTGGTGGAAAAGGTCAAGCTTGAGCAGGTCAGGATATATCTAATGGGGAGCGACAAATCGTTTGATACGATAATTAGGATGCTAACAATTGTAGTCATCTCTAATGAACAGTAATGAGCAGGGCTGGCCAGAGGAAGGACAGAGTTCTGGAGCCACATGATTGAAATTGAGACTGATTGGAGCAAGAGGATGAGAGGAGCCGTGAGAATGGGGTGAGGCTAAGGGGGGGAGAGGGGAGAGGAGAGAGATCTCAGGTCAATCCGAGGAGAAAGAAGCAGGAGGAGGAGGAGATCTGTGGATTTAGATCAGAAGGTAAAGTAGCTATGCGGCAGAAAGTTAAGGGGGCTGATGGGAGTCCTGATTACCTGAGTCAGGATGAGGGTGTGGGGCCATGGCCAAAGGAACTTCCTCAGATTTGATCTATCAGCTGTCAGTCTGTCCTGTTCATACATGTACTCTACCACACGTGACAAAACCTCATTCCTCACATTTTGAGACTGCTAGATGTGAGAGGCGATTAAATCATAGATTACAGACATGCTGCCGTTACAGTGAATAGTTTGAGCAGGATCTTTTCAGCTGATAGCTAGCTTAAACTTCAGCTTCATCTGACTACATAACAATGGTGTGAAAGCATTGACATTATACCCAGGCCTCCATCCAACAGGTGCCATATGCACATGCTGAGTGAGAGAGCATTGCTTGACTACATTAAGAAAAGTTTTTTTTATGAATTGGGATAAAAACAGAGCTACTGATAGCTGGGATGGAAGGCCAATTCATATCAGCTCGAAATGCAATTAGTTGGGCCAATATTTTCAGTTGGCTTCATTGGAGGACTGTTTTCAGGTATTAAAGGTGAAATTAGGTGAAACCAAAAAGAAATTACACCAAGATGAAAAATGAAGGTTTGATGGGGGAAAGTAGTGATTTATGACAAAGATAAATTCACTTTGCAGTCTTTGGGGAATCTCATCATCATCATCTTCAACTTTCACATTCCTGTGACCAAAGATTAGAAAAATGTCCTCTCAGTCAGATTTTTGTTTCATGTAAAAAACAGAATCTCCCCGAGCTCCCGCTGCCTCTGATAACAAATCAGGTGAGAGGTGTGCTGCTGGCTCCGGCTCCTTGTTTTGTGTGTGACTTCCTGCCTCTCTGTGCTTTAAAGCATTGTTTGAGAGCTGACTCTCTGTGTGTGTGTGTGTGTGTGTGTGTGTGTGTGTGTGTGTGTGTCAGATCTACAGTATCTAACATGTATGCCTGACTGCATGCTGATCTGTCTCTCTGTCTGCACCATCTTAATCGGGAGCATCAAGTGTAAATGTTTTGGCGGCTGCAGTCAAAGAATTCCTGTTTTCCTCCCTTCCACTGGAAAAGGGGGGAGAAAAAAAAACAGTCCACACCACTTTGATGAATGTTTCCGCCCACAAATATTTGACATGTGTGGCCAGAGAAGAAAAAGAGGAGAGGAAAAAGAGAGTGACCATTTATCATCTTCTCCTGCCAGCTTTAATAACCAGCTTCTTTAAGCATTTCCTTTCTCCTCTTCTGGCCCCTCAGCTGCTCATCGACTTCCACTTTGTGAAAAGCAATAAAAAGACGAGTTTATCGTGTTGGAGGCCTCTCTGCTATTGATCAAACCTCACCTGGGATATTCAAAATCTTTTCAGGACAGTTATATTGTTTCTGCACCAGGCTCCTGGTGATCTGCTGAGAGGAAGGAGCACGCCTGTTTCATCTCTACGGATCTTCCTCCTCCTATCTTCTGTTTCATTCTAAACTACATGAACATCTGAATTGACAAAATGCAGATGTATGCTTTATAAAATGAAGACTCTGATATAATTACTGGTAAGTCTGCAGACCAACTTATATCTTTGTATGTTTTTTTTAAATAATTACTGAACCCTGATTCATCCTGGGACCTATTTTGAGTGCACAAGTCTCAACTTCTTCAATCAAGATAACGTCTTTATAATTTAGAGACTAACACAAAAAATCTCTTCACATATTTTGTAAAATACACTTTACATGGTTTTCTAACACTAACATGTGTCTCTAGTCTGTCTACAAACCCCCCAATGATGAGAAAAGTCCATCCTGTCCGTCTTCTGCCAGCTCCACTCTTCAGAAAATGTGTGCTCAAACAGGCCGTTTGGAGATGTTCCCTTCATGACATCACAAAGGGCAGTAACCCCTCCCCCAGGTGGGTGACACTCCCACAGCTAGGTGTTTGTTCTGCCCTCTGAGTCTGCTTTCTCACCGTAAACAATAGACATGGAGCGAGAAAGACCGAGTCACCCAAGAGAGTCGGGATGACAAGCACAAAGAGACGAGGACAGATTCAAACCCACAGTCGTTGTACATGGGGACCAAGACATAACCGCTAAGGTATTGGTCGCCCCAGCAAAAGATATCTTTATGAACGTTTTTTTGTGTGTGCCATTTTTGCTTGTATTTGATAGGTCAGATAGAGACAGAGAATGTTGGGAGAAGAAAGTGGGAGATGATATGCAGCAAAGGGCCAAGGCCATTCAAATAAACCATTAATAAAAAATACATGGCATGCATGCGCTAACTGCTGAGCTAAACTGGCACTGTTTCATTTTGCAAATGTAATCAACTTCTGCAATCTGACATGAGAACAACTTCAGGTCAGGTTCAAGTGTAACGGCTGGGGTCAGCAGGAGTGGGAGTTCTGCTGAGATTACCTCGACCTCAAGCTCCTCTCTAGTCTGAGAACCTGAGCTTTTTTTTAATGTTAGAGGGAAGGAATAGGGACGTTTGTAGAAACATGTAACAGAGTGTTGTTGGCGAAGCTTTACAGCATGAGGATGAAACTTGGTAGCCCCAGCAGGCCACCTACATATTATATATGGTGGCCACACTGTTCATGCAACTCACCTATGAAAACCCTTCTACAACACATGGTCAAATGTGTGTATCATTATGAGTACAACTCACCTTTAAAGGGGCTGTACCCTCTTCATCTGAATCTCTGAACTGGATGCAGACTGCGATGTTTCTAGCCTGGGGTAGAAAAAAACATGCACAAGTTAATAATAGCACACAGCAGAGCAAACAAACAGAGAGAGAGAGACCATGAAGCAAATCTGGGACGCCATCTCTACCCTCATTTTAACCACATTCATTTTGAGTCCCACACCTTGGTGAAGCTCTTCTGGTTGTCGTATTTCAGCAGCTGGGGGTAGACGTACAGCTGGTTCTTGTAGGTGGTGAAGGGGTAGTTGTACTTTGCCTCCTCGGGGAGAAACTCCTCGACCTCCACTGACACCCGCTCACAGCCATCCTCGAAGGGCTTGACGGGAATGTACGAGGAGGTCACCGTATCTGGAGGGAGGCAGGGCGCACAAGTTAGGGAACAAAACCTCCCTGTTTGTTCTGCCATGCATACTCAACTCAAAATCATTCAGCGTATTATTTCCACAACAAACAAACCAACTGTTTATATGGACAAAAACAGGCCTTACTCTACTGTATTGTTTGCATTAAAGGAGCAGGAATTTGAAAATCTCCTGAGATTTGGAAGAGGGATTTATATGTGAACGCAAACAGCCTCATTTTTCACTCAGACTTTACCCTAAGCTTCCCTGACAGCCCCTTAGTATTGTTTCCTGCAGCAGGTTCGAGTGAGCTGAGGTGAGAACACAGCAGGATTTAATCTGGAGAATTCACCGAGAGCAAGTGGGAGGGGATGGTGACGATTATTCTCTGTGACTGGTACAAGGTGAGCGACTGCTACGATCTCTGTGGCCATAATCAAACAACAGCTTTATGTTTTCAGCATGATCTTTTTCGCTCTTTTTGTTCTTTTTTTTGATTCCATTGAACTACACATAGCATTGATTAAAAGGCAATTATTCTCATCATAGCGTGGTATATCGGACTCTGTTGCTTCGTTCATTCATTTTTCTGACCTCACATCTCGCCTCAGGAGACCCCTACACCCTCCCACCGTCAGAAGGGGATAGTCGGGCGCTGGTGGCGCAGTGGTTAGTGCGCGTGCCCCATGTATGGAGACTGTAGTCTCAAGCGGGCGGCCCGGGTTCACTTCCCACCTGTGGCTCCTTTCCTGCATGTCATTCCCCTCTATCTCGCTCTGATTTCCGACTCTATCCACTGTCCTATCTATCCATTAAAGGCACAAAAAGCCCAAAAAATTAATCTTCAAAAAAGAAGAAGGGGATAGTCATCCACTGTGAGGTGCATATGTGAACAGCCAGGTCGGGAGAATTTCACGAGCAGTCCTCCTGAAATGATCTAGATTGTCAGAAGTCCATATGTGAAAACAGCAATAGAGTCTTTAAAAGTTTTACTGTTACTTAAAGGTGATCAAAATTAAGAAATTCAAGGTTAACCTACTTTTTGTTTTTCATACTAGTGACTAGAAATGTTCAGCAGAGGCTCACTGTGTGACTTACATTAAACTACAACAGGCTCCAAAAAGGTGTTTATCATGACAGATCCTTTGTGTTCATGTTTACTGTCACAGAAAGACAAATGTTGGGACGAGGAGAGTGTTCAGAAATGACAACACAGCTTACTTGAGAAGTCAGGGGGGACACATTCGATGGTGACGTTCAGTTGTCCGGGGATGGTCTGAAGTTTACTCTTCTCAGGTCTGACAAGGAACAAAGGCATTTCAAATAAGAACAAAGGGCAATCAAGTCTGGAACATGTGTCATTTTAAATATAGAGATTTTTTTTTGATGGTAGGAAAATCCTGAATAAGCACAAAAGTCCTTTGCAGTACATGTGAAATTTCATGAACTGCAAAAGGACATGAGTGTTTTGTGCTTCAGTAACTAAGCGCTGGGTTTTATAGCAGAACAGTGGTGATGACTCACTTCCTGATGTCAGCCAGCAGCTTGATGATGTCATCAGTGGAGATTTTGCTGCTATCCTGGCGGTAGAGAGGAGAAAACTTCCCGTCCATGTCGAGGCTGCCCTGAGCGTCTTTGAACACTTGCCTGGAAATACAAATAACATACATAGCTACAGCTCCAGCCCCATGCAAACACCATATCCACATCTACATTCAAGGTTAAAGGAATCAAACTGTAATGGGGGGAGCTGGCAGGACAGGGCAGAACTATGTTGGTGTATGTGATGCTGACATGTTATATTGTAATGCTGCTCCATGTCTGTCCTGCATGATATACATTTTTTTATATTAACCAAATGCTGCTTTATGTGTATGCTGCATGGTTTTATGTATTTTCTCCTGTGGCTGCTTACCTGTCTGCTTAATTACTGTCATGATATTTCTATTTGTAGCTTTTAGCGATGTTTGAATTTTTTTTTATTTTTAGGGAGCCTTTTATAAAATCTGGCCAGGTACAACAGATGACAATTAGCCTTTTGGCTAACTCTGACATATTTACCGAAATGTTTATTAATATGCAATGTCCCTGTAAATAAAATAAATAAAATAAATAAAATTTAAAGGGAATTTAAATACTTTGGATTACATCTGGAATCACAGGGTCAGTTATGACACGATACACTGCAATACCATATGATGCAATTATTAAGATGAGATACAATGCCAGACAATTTTAATTGTTTTTGAATTAAGCGTTTTGTTTGTTTTAATTAATGCTTTGTGAAAGAGGGGCAGATATTAAGACACATAAGTTTAGACTTATTTCTGTTCCTTTTCATTCAAAATTTGAGATTTTATGTTTGTTTGTTTTTCTTAACTTTATTGTTTGTTTGAATGAAATAAAATTTACGAATAAAAAAAAATAAAAAAAAACATTCAAATTTTGTCCCACCCCTCCTCCTGATTGCTTTTGCTGCAAAATTCTGCATGTATAGAAAGCTTGATGCAAAAGCCGATGCTAAATTTGAAATTCGTTGGTATGAACATGATTTAAAAAAAACAAAAAAAGTAAAGTTAGATGGTGAACCTTTGCTTCTTCAACCCTTAGAAACCCATTTAAGCTTAAATAAAAAGTGGAAATTTGACATATTTATCATAGACTTATTGACTTTTAGGATACAAAATCCAATGCATTATGATATCATATCAGTGCATTCCTACAAGGCTGTTACAAAATGAATGAATCCAAACCACAGATCATTTCTGTTTCATATTTTAACTCTTGGAGTATTCCTGTCTTACTTGGCAGCCCAGGCAAACGGCATCCTGTACTGGCCCAAGCGTTGGCATGTCTGCTTGGCAGCTTTGAGCACCTTCTGGGCGGTCTGCGGAGAGAGACACAGGAGAATACAAACACAGAATCAATATGGTGGAGAAAACACACAATATGTGTGACTGGTAAATAAAGTCTGCTCTTGTCTCCGGTTCGGTTTGAAAAGGTAAAAAAAGGTGTGGACCTTGTTGGTGTCGGAGGTCTTGATGTACGGCTCGGCACAGTGAGTGATGCCGTTCTGTAACACCTTCTCGACACGGGCTACCAGGAAGATATCAGCGTGGGGGTTGGTCACTGAAAAGATACCCTGCAGGAGAGAGAGAGAGAGAGAGAGAGAGAGAGAGAGAGAGAGAGAGAGAGAGAGAGAGATCAATTCAGCTGGGACTTCATTAAGGATGAAAGTAATGATTGTTTTCACAATTGACATATCTAACGTTATCAATAAATCATTGAGTCAGGCAGAGCTGTGGCTCAGTTGGTGGAGTCGGCCGTCTCTTAACCAGAAGGTCGGGGGTTCAATTCCAATCTGCTGCAGCCACATGTCCAATGAGTCCTTGGGCAAGACACTTAAACCCAAATTGTAAATAGCTTCCTCGGTATGAATGTGATGAGTTAATACTGATGGTCACTTTACACAGCAGCCTCTACCATCAGTGTGTGACCTGCAGTGTAAAACTGTTTGAGTAGTCACAAGTCTAGAACAGTGTTTTCAACCTTTTTTGAGGCATGGCACACTTTAAGATTAAGAAAAATTCCACGGCACACCACAAACCAAAAGTCTTACAAAATGACAAATTACACCATAATACAGTAGAAAAGTGCTCTATAAGCTCAAGTCCATTTACCATTTGACATAAAAAAACAACAACAAACACACTCAGAAGCAAATTTAATTTGTACAAAAAGATGTGGAAAGCTTTAATGACAGATTGTAACTTTTTGTATGCTAACTTCTTAAACTTTTTATTTACCTATTCCTCCTTCTTTTCTTTCTTGACTTATTGTAAATTCTTCAGATTGACAAGATAAAAAAAACTGTACTAGAGCCATATTCATATTCACATTTCTCTTTGCTTCATCTCTGTACTTTGTCTCTGAAGTGGAGGTGTGAGGTGGGAGGAGTTGACATTCTCAGGTTTTTCACTTATAAATGTGCAAACAACGACAATATTGATAAGACATTAAAAACTCCCCAAAGCCCAAAGAGATGTCTTTAAATTTCTGACATGATTTAGTAGGCAGAATCAGAGGTTTGTATGTATACTGGCAGATTGAACTTGATGTGTCTTTTTAGTCTTAATAAGTGCTCTGCAGAGCGAGCGCAGGGGGAAGTGGCTGCTGTCCGCTGAAGCTCGACAGGAAAACCACACAGGGCTCATATCTATTTTTTGCTCTTGGGAGAAGGGGCTGTCTTAAATCTTTGTGCTGTCAGTTTGCACAAACAATCTTGAGGGGACAGAAATGACGTTCGGCAAAGTTGTAATAATACTAATGAAGGTCTGTGGAGGTTTCTGGGAACAGCAGTAAAAAATGTAGGCGGTAATATTGATTGGAAACAGGAAAAAAAATCCAGAATAAGTCATGAAAGATGACTATATAAATAAAACACATAGTAGAGAAGCAGCAGACAGAACTTCCTGGTTTCACTTGCAGACATCATTTCTGCTGTTATGCTTCCTGGTATAACGCTCAGAGTCACCGCTCCTTCTTACAAAGTAAACCTCACTGGCTGGTGTGTATCTGGGAGAAATATTCCTTGTATATTTGAACAAGTGGATTGGATTAGTGAATTATGTAACAGACTGGAACAGAGGCCTGAGAGCTGCTGATGTAAGAAGAAGTGGAGGCTCTGGCCTTGGACCACACCCAAAGCACCTAAATTAAACTGTGGTCTGCAGAGCTAGAACAGCACACTAATCACAGAGGTAGAGCCGGCGCTGCAGGATGAATGTGTCCGTATGACGTCTGTGTGTGTGTGTGTGTGTGTGTGTGTGTGTGTGTGTGTGTGTGTGTTGCATTAACAGATGTTTGAGATATTAGTGTAACATTAGGTCTTTAAATTAGATATAAGGAGTTTGGTTTATTTTACATCTGCAGCTTTAAGAACTGTGTGCAACAGTCTGGTTTGCTGCTCTATATTAGAAATACTTTGTTGTCTTGAGAACTTATGATCCGATTGACCTCTTTTAATATTCTTCTTAATACCTATCAGCTCGTCTAGTTCATCATGAGACATTCAGACCCTTCAGGTCCTCCAGGAGGACGTGTTTACTTATTGTTCCAAGAATCAGAATCCAGCAGAGTGAGGCAGCTTTTAGGTTTCTACGTTCCTCAGCTGTGGGATCTTACTCAATCTTATTAAGTAAAATCACTTCTCATCCTCTTTTATGTAACCTTTCATCTTAATCTCTTTAAATCATTTACTTTATATATTGTATATATATATATATATATATTGTATATTGTCTCTGATAAGTCTCATTTGCTTTTTTAAAGCTCATCAAGAGTTATAAATATCATTTTCAGTCTGTTTGATAACCAGCTACGAACTCCTCACAGGAGCGTTCTGTTTTTAATCCGTTGCCGCGGTAACCCAGTCCCGTCTCTCGTCACAGAATCGGAAAGCGAGAATCTGAAGACGTTTCAAATCCTAACTGGTGCTAATTAACAACAGGCACCGGTCCTGTTGAGTGACCTAATCACATGAAAGAGCCAAGCAGTCAGAGGTGAAGAGCAGTGTGTGTGTGTGTGTGTGTGTGTGTGTGTGTGACCGAGCCAAAGGTAACAAGCACATTTCCACAATCACGCCGATGACACACTGCTGTATATTTCCTTGGATACAAAGGACAACCCAAACCCTCCGATCAACAACCGTTGTGGATACGCTTTACATATTTGATTGTCTTCTCTGTTTTATCATCACTCTCATATTCTATCCATCGTGCTCTGAGCATCGGTTCCTGCTTTGATACTCATTTTGATTTGCCTCTTTAATTCATTCTCCTGTTTTTGGACTAGATTGTAAAGCAGCCTGAGTGATTGTACTATTATAGGTACGATGATAAACCTGGCAACCCATAAAGGTCAGATTTGGACTAATCAGTACCTGGAGATACGCTCACTATCTTAAATTTTCTAAGATAAAAATAAAGACTTGTGCACTTCGATTCAAGGGATAAAAACAGCGTCGTCATCATCGTGTATTTTCTGAGCAACATTATGATTGAGCTGTTTCTACAGAGTCCTCTGGTGAAAGATGGAAACAGGGAATATTCTGGTTACTGAACTCTTGTCCCACACAGACCAGCTGCAGACTACATGGGATTACCAGGCTGAGTGACTGAGAAAAAAAGGACAAGAAGCCAATTTATTGATGCTTATAGTTAGTCTCAGATGTCAAAATTCCTAAATGTTTACATTGTTCCTTTCAGTGTACTATGTCTTTTTGTACAGGTTTGATGATCTAAAAAGACACCAAAGCCCTAATTGGGTGCTGCTGGATCCCAAAATTAGTAGGTATAAAGAAACAAAAAACATCTGCACATGAAGGAGCTCCCATTTTAAGGATTTCTTAAAAAGTGACGTTTTGAGCCAACAGTGTGTGATGTTGACTCAAAACGTCAATTGTTAAAAAATCTTTTAAACGGGAGCTCCTTGGTGTGCAGATGTTTTATGTTTCTTTATATCTTTTTGTAAAGGTTCACCTTCATATATTCTATCTATTTCCATATAGTAAAGAACCTGCACAGGCTAAAAACCAACTAAAAGAAACAAAGGCACACACATGAGGACGAAGCAACAAAGTGTCTGTCAAAATCAAACCAAAGAAGAGAGAAGGCCACAGCTCAAGCCTATAGTCCTCATGTGGCCTCAGAGCTGTGGACACCAGCAGCTCATCAGAGATGAAGTATCAGTCTCACATCAGTCAAAGCCACATCAGCAGAACCCGGAAGACAGAAGTGTCTAATTAGCTGCTATAGCACCAGCTTTCATGTCATGTCTCTTTGTAACTGAAATAGCCAAACCTCAGAACTACAACGAAGCTGTCTGCTCTTAATTATAGAACATCAAAACGTTAAAGCTTCATTTAAGAATATTATGTCTAATCAGCAATTTCCTTTAATCTTTTACATCACTGTAAATCATGAAATCCTACATTTCCCTTTTACCAACAAATGTCCTACAAATTCAACTCTCAGATTATTTGTAATTTGAACAGCCCTGTGGTTCAAAGTCCTCCATCACAGAATGAGCAGGATAGATGTAAATATCTTATTCGTGTAAATATTTCTTGTACCTATTATTGATATCTTACTTACATTCCTATTCTATTTTATTAATATTTGTATTGCTATATTGTATATTTTGGAGCAACTGTCGAATTTCCCTCTGGGATTAATAAAGTATTTCTGATTCTGATTCTGATGACCAATGGATATATATTGTATCTAAATATGTGTTTCCCTTGCAGATTGTCTATCATAACAGACGAGATGCCCCTTTTTATTCTGGAGATCAGAGCCGATAGCTGATAGCCTTCATTAAACTATCTGTAAGTGAAGTTTGACTTAGAGAAACCCTCCTTGTGACTTTCACGCCTTCTATCCCTGAATCAGGTTGAGTCATTTCCTGCCCTCAAACAGCTTTCTGAAACCAGCCCGTACCTGTGTGGGGAATCGCAGCAGAGCCTCCGACACCCTCTGAAGAACCGGCAGGCCGTTCCCTTTCCCTGAGTCTCCGTTCACCATGACTCCTCCCCCTCCTCCTCCTCCTCCTCCTCCTCCTCCTCCTTCTGAGTCCGACGAAGGAGAGTGCTGGCCCGAGGTGTCCGTCAGCATCTCCCTGACGCAGGCCGGGTTCAGGTCGACGTGGAAATCGGCTGAGATTTTGCAGCTCTTTGAAACGTCGAAGAGAGCCAGGCTGATGAAGAAGGGTTCCACCTGAGGGTCAGCAGAGAAGAAGAGATGATAGCTAACCGGCTTCATAACATCACTGGATTCATGAACTGAATATCATATTTCACACAAGTTTTTCAAAGCTTAATCCCTTTTATCAAGAATGTAATTAGTACTGCGTTTTTCCAGGAGCTTTGAGGGGATTGTATGACCCTGTGTTAACCTGCTTATTGCATCTTTGAGTAATGACAATCACCATGGTAACCCTAAACTGGCAACATCACGTGTTCTTAAATGGCTTTTCTCGTTTTTTTTTAATCTCTCAAATCTGTGAATAAAAACCTGCATTTATACATTAACACCCTTTACATATCGGATCCTTTAGCAAACATGGAGACGTACTTTACACGTCCAACATTTCCCATGATCATGAGTCACTTCCTCTTGTTTTCTCAACAGCTGGACTTTTTTTTTCTGAGATAATGCTAGTGTTCCTGACATAGAGATCATTTCAGTTTGATTTCCCAAGAAGCTGACTTATTTTTCTTATTAACTTGGGGTAACAACGCTGGTTTTCCCGCAATAACAGATTATTTTCTGTCATTATCTCAAAGCTTTGTCTCGTCATGCAAATAGCATTTTCTTTCTTCTTCTGGCAATCTAGAGATCAAAATATTTGGGGCTGGTTGCTTCTGTCAGACCACAACATGCCATGCTGCTGTTGCCCACACTGCTGAGGTAAGTCCATCTTATTTCTGTGGGTTTTGTGCTTTTATAGCTCTGGGAAGATGAGACAAATAAGTGGAAATATGGAGAAAACAACTGGAAGTTTCTTATTATCACAGTCAATAAAATGTATGGATGCATGTCTTTCTAAGACTTCTGTACTCACACAATAACATTTATACTCAATGTCATTTGGAACTCAATGCTATTCGATTCGTGCCAATTAAAATTGAAGTCAAGAAACATTTGTTGCAGGTAAATTGAATTTTAAAATGTAAGATTAATCATTGTATAAAAGGAATTGCTTTCTGTAAATCAGACTCTCCACACAGACTACTTCATCTCTGGTTAGATAGCAGTTCTGGCTCTCACTCAGTGCTGCCCACACATTTCTTAATGACTTTGCCCTTGCTGGATGGACGGTTCCCGCATGTTAGACTTCATCCAACAAACGTTGTTGTAGTGTAACTGAAGGAACAGTAAGGAGGAAAAGAGAGCGAGCGTGCTGCTTTCAAACCACAGATATGATTCAACTCTTCTACTGTAGAGTTGATCTAATGCAGGAGGAGGAGGTCACATCAAGGTCAAACTGCTCCTATCATGAACTAATCTGTGAGCTATTAAAACAAAATATCAGACATGTGATTGGTTAACGACTTTAAAGCAGGACAGTGTGCATAGCCCAGAGGAGGAGGGGGGGGGAGATTACAATTTAAACAAATATTTAAACCTACAGTTTATGTTTAAGCGTAACAACGCCTGCATTGTTAGCTACATATGTTTTTTTAAAGATTCCAGTAATTAGGTGAACTATGACCATGCATAGGTAAGGAAAAGCAAAACAAGATCTGCACATCAAGAAGCTCCCGTTTGAAGGATTTTTTTAAGTGACGTTTCAAGCCTCAGACTTGAAGGTGAATTTTGTGAGTCGCCATCTTAAATATACATCAACTTTGACCGTGCACCACAGAGAGCATACAATAAGTGTGGGGTCTGGGGGGGTCTTCCCTCAGGACATTATGAGCAGAAAAACCCTGATTTAGTGAATTCTTTTCTGCCAAATTACGGCTTCTCTGTATCATCTTCTGATGTTAATGTACACCTTTGTCCTCTTTGTGTCTTTTGTTTTTAGATGTAACCTCTTTATTTGTGCTGCTGTCATGATGTATTCCACTGATCATCATGTTCATAATTAAATAACAATGTCCAAGAAATAATAACCGAAGGGAAAGCCTCCCTCCATACAGCCACATCATAGCAGTCGTCTTTGTGACTGAAACATACAAAAACATGGAAAACGTCCTCGTACTATAACGCACGTGACACATCTATGTCGTTAGCTGTACGCTTAAGGCTGATTGTTATGTTACTTTTTCGTATGTTCACAGTAAACGATGAACCCAAACAGTCAAGATGGCTCCGTCTCTACTTTCAATGTAAATTCAGCAGGTTGAGATAAAGCCAAATACCAACTAACAACCTCATTTTTTATATCTCATCCTCCCTCACCACCAAAGAAAAAAAACAAAACTCTCCCACAAAGATAATCAGGCCAAGCCTCTCTGAACTGTTTAACCTCTCTGGGATCAGGAAAGCCACTCTGACCACAGAGGACCCCCCCTCTCACCGCCTCCAGCCTCCAGCACTCCTTGCACTTACAGACGCTTCAAAGTCCCTACGGCCTGGAAAAATACGAAAAATAAAACCTCCATTCCCTCTGCAATAACCACCCTGAACAAAATCAAATAGACACTTTTTTAATCAGCTGTTCATTGTTTCTATCTATCTATCTATCTATCTATCTCAAGGACCATTAAAGTCTCATGTGTCAATGTTTCAGGTAGAACAATCCAGAACTCCACATAAATCCAGAAAAAATCCCTGATCTAAAGAAAGTGTTCTCCTTGAATGGCCTGGATCTTTCCCTTTGCTTTCAGACAGGTCAACATGAATTATGAAGGTGTATTATCTGGGGCAGCGGGTACTGAGGGTGAGGATTGTTGATGCTGCTGTAAAAGGACTAATGTGTGTTTTGGGGCTAGATATCCTGAAGTGTCATTGGTAGAGAGGTGAGAGTCCACACAGATACAGGAAGCACATGGGAGTAAAGTGATGACGTACATTTGTGAGGACGCTGTCACCCTTCTCACTAACACAGCCCTGGAGACTGAAGGTCAAGTCGTGGCAGCTGACGACGATACGGCGGCCAAACCGCTCCTCAAACGGCTTCACGTCCGGCTCGATGCCTGAGAAGTCCAGACGCTGAATGTGGGACATGAGGAAGAGCAGGGAAGGGGAGGGGAGGAGGGGAGGGAGGGAGGGAGGAGGCAAGGAAGCAGAGGATAAAACAAAAGATTGAATCGATGGAGAGGATGAGTGAGGATAAAATAGAAGAGGATAAAAGAGAGGGACATGTTGGGAAGCGGGGGAGAGATCAGATCATGAGAGCAGATAGTGAATTAATAAATAATGAGGTAACAATGATTTAAAGAAGTGTCGTCTGTACCTGAGTCTCAGGATCCAGAGAGAAAAGCTTCTGCCTGCCCTCATTCCTGTTGAGCTTATTGAGCTGGTCCGTCTCCCTGGCAAACTACACACACACACACACACACACACACACACACACACACACACACACACACACACACACACACACACACACACACACACACACACAGAATGTAAGACTTAATTTCTTCATTTCATTTCAGACTCATATCTCATTAGATCACCCAAATGATTGATCGTATTGAAAAGTACTAAAGCTACAGATCTTCAGTTATATTTTTGCTTTCCTCAGATAAAAGAGAGAGCACTGTCTAAGTTGCCTGAATACGTTGGCAACATTTTGGTGTCTAAACGTTGCCAACGTCTTTGTGCACTTCAGACAGAGTGTAGGAGTTTGGCTGAGATTTTTGTTATGGCTAGGAATTCTATTTTTATTTACCGTGGCATCAAAAGAGATATTGATGCTTTGTTTCTTAATATCAAGGTCTTTTTTCTCATTATTTGACTATTTGTGATGTCCTTTCTATTGCCAGTATACAGACCACAGTGGGAAATTGGTCATTTAAAGGAAGAATGTGAGACATTTTATACAGCAGAAATCAAGTTTATCCTGTGTGAATGTGTCTCTGAGACATGACTGTCTACATCTGAGTGAGAAGCTCGAGTCCTGTTGGCTGTCTTGTCCTCTAAATGCTTTAAGTGATTTCTGATGAAGAATTTCATCCTGCTGAAATATTCAATTTTCTTTTTACTGATCTTGTTTCATTTTGTGGGTCATATAGAGGCATCAGATTTCATTTCAGTCTGTTTTACAACCATCTCAAAACTCCACACAGCAGCTTTAAGAGAAGAAGTATCTCAAACAATGTTAGGTCTACACAGCCCCTTAGTGTTTTCTCTGCCAGTAAAACAACACAAACAAGGAAAGAAAGAAAAAGGAGAAAGAAGGAGACGCAGACAGAAAGGAGGGAGGAGGGCATCTAATGGAGACAAATAAATCAAACCCTCAGGTCACAGTAAGAGCTCTTATCCAGCGCCCTCCCCTTGTTAGTACTGTGACGGGCCTGCAGACAAACTCAAAATGATCTTTTTAGGCGCAGAGGAAAAAAAAAGTCTGTGCTTAAAGGGCCCAGGGCAGACAGTGAACCAGCAGCACAGAGCACAGAGGGCTTTGTTGTCTGCGCGTAGCTCAGGGTTTATAGACGTATTAAAACCTCTGTGGAATGAACACTGCTTTTCTCTGACACTCAAAGCTAACTCAAACACTGAGAGTCCAACAAAGATCCTCTCATGGCTCATGGAGGCTTAACGAAACAAAGGATCATAAAGGTAGTTTTCTAAGGTGTGTTCATTTTCATTTATTACTATCTTTATGCACTAACTATGTAGTGACAGGCAGAACAAAAAAACAAAAAAACCCCTGCAATTTTTGTAAGTATCTACATAAAAAATGGGCCCTGACTTTAATTACATTTGGGTCTAAATGACAAACAGGTAAAAGGTTTTCGACTTGCTCCAGTAGTTTTGTTCTGCAGGCTGTAAAGGCTGCTTTTGAAGGTGTGCCTTTAACTGCTTCAGAGACCACTCCACTACCAAACAGAGGTAAGCTGGTCTTCCCACTCTTGCTTTTTTTCTGCAATTTGAACCTGCCGTCCAGTCCTTCATACCTTCATGAGTTCCGGTTGTAAGCTCCTCCCCATGCTCTCCAGCAGGCTCTCCCCTTTACCTTGGCTTGTGGTGTCGTCGTCTGCGTGAACAGAGCAGTGATCGTTGCATGAATAAAGGCTATATCAGACACACTGAGAGCTAACCTCATGATAGATCAGGCTACTTGCTCGCTTTATGTTTCCTTAATGGCTCTTGGCTGCGTTTCCCAAATGGACAAACTAATACTCTCACAGTCTACTGGATAAATTAGAAAGAGGCCATTCACCATTCCTGCTGACTCCCTTGGTGACGTAAGATGGACTGAGTGAACTTTTTACCGCCCCTCCATCTCTCTGGATGGTCTCACTCTCACTCATAAGCATCTTGTTGGCCTGAATGAGTTTCTCTAGAACATTCTGCTGAGAGTATTTTATTGTATTAGGGGGAAAGTAAGAGGACCCACAGATGCTGGCAGGCAAGACAAATGCAAAGTGCATAAAACTGCTCGGCATTCTTCCAAAGCTCAGGACAAGCAACGATTCACCTCAGATTCCCTCTACAGTAGCACACAGTTTTTTTTTATTTGGTAGGAAACAGAAGAGTGAATGGAACAGATGGAGCAGCTGAAAACGTCTTCGGATCCTGAGCTTTGATTTACCTCTACCTGCACATGTAGGTAGTATTCTCTTTTTTGGAGGTTTTATAGCTTATGTGCACTTCCCTGCTCTACACTTGAGGTGAAATGTTAAACCTCTTTTCTTATGTATCACTGGAATATGGAAGCCATTAAAATGTCATAACACTCAGTTTTAAAATAAGTGGAGTTTTGGACTTTTTCCCCTGCTAAGGAAAGGGATTACTTTAACCCCGGCCCCTCCACTAAAACAGGCTCAGCAGTAATGTTCAGAGCTCTTATTATTATTATCATCATCGCTAAATGGACCATGACTGTGCACCCTCCTGGTAAAGCTGTAAATAACAGCGTCAGGGAAAGATGATCTGAATTTGTCTGCATGTAATAGTTTGGTAGTTTTTTTTCCGCAGCTCACCCAGGGAACATTCCAGCGTCTCGGCTCCGTTCCTCCGGTCCTGACTGGCGGTCTCGACGCTGCTCTGCAGAGCCTGCTTCAGCGTGACCACCCACTCCTCCATCTCTGCTTCGCTGTCTGCAGCCAGGAAGTGGCTGTAGCGGTCTTGCATCTTCAGCTCGAAGCCATTACGTCGCATCTTTGGGCTCTATAGGAGGAAGGTTCATTACATTATGTTCACTTAGATTTATTTCCCCCGTTTCTTCTTCCCAAAACAAAACGCTAATCACTTCCTGGTTATAAGAGGATTGCTTTAGTTTGGACTTTCTACTTTCATTTTTAGCTTTTTCAACATACTCTAAAGATTGTTATTTGTCCTAAGAAGAGAGCAACATAAAGGCAGCAGTTTTTGGGTGCAAAACATGCTTCGGATTGTCAAACACCCGGTGCTCCATGTGATTCAGCATTAAACCCATTAACTGGAATGAGTCTCCGCGCTCTGCCCATTCATCTCCTCAATGTGCTCATCAAACTGAAAGCTTTCTGGCAGCCTCTCTCTGCTCAGTGCAGATCTGAATGAGGTACCAAGCCCGATCCACGAGCCGGCAGTGGCCTCTCATAATCAGCTGGAACCGGACTTCGCTGCCCATGTCAGTGGAATGCAGTAAATCCGTCCAATCAAAACGGCTCAAAGTCTCTGGAGCGTGGCAAGACGCGGAAAAAACACGCAGACGTTCACGAGGGCGAGGGCTTGTGCCAGGGAGGAAAAGTTTACAGCGGGCATGGAGCAAGATCCACCAAAAGAGTTAAATTAAATAAACAACAAGGTGTATTGAAGGATTGAAGTTTGGTCAAACTGCTGCTGCTGCCTGACATGGACAGGACAGGCTTGAAAAATATGTTTAATCCCAACGAGTTAAATAAGATTAAAAAGTACTCTGAAACAGGGGCTCCGCTTGTCAACAGGCAAGGGAGGCAACTGCTGGGGCCCCCAGACCAGTAGGGACTCATAATCGTTTTTTAATCAGTGGAGTCCCGTGGTTTGTAAAAAATAAAATAAAATAAAATAAACAGCTATTTCTTGCTTGAAAAGGGTAAATCCCCAAAGGGAATTATTCCCTGTTGTTTTCAGACTGTTTGAACAGTCAGTAGAATAAATAAAGCACATTTCATTGATTTACTCTGATCTAGGGTTTTCACAATAACAGATTTTCAAAGATTCTAGCAAAAATCAAACAATATCCATCCATATCCATATCCAGTTTGTCCTGTTTCGATACCATAGCAACAAAAATATAACTCCTAGGCAACCAAATTTGGACAATTTCTTGTTTTTAATTACCATTAAAATGCAGGCAAACTGAACAGTGTCTAAATTGCACAAATATAATTGCAAAGTTTGCATTTGTGCAATTCAGACAGCACTGTCTCTCTTTCGTTCTCTGTGGCTTTTGGTTAAAAGTATGACTAAAGATCTGTAAGTTTTTCAAATCTTTGGTATCTTTTGATATTATTCTTCATTGAAATAATGGAGATTGTATCGTTTTTAAACACGTGGTAAAGAAAAGAATGGAAAAAGTGTTGAGAAGTATCTAGGAGGTATTGAAAATTGACAACCTAACTCTGACCTTGAACATTCAATATGAAAGTTTAAGTATGTTAAGGTCATTAAGACCCACATTTATATGTACAAATATAGCCTAGGTTTTTGCTTCCATGACTCTTTAACATTTTTTTAAGCCCTGTATACCTGCACAACATCTATGCACGAGTCCAGGTAGATGGATCCTTTGGTGTCCTTGCAGTTCTTCTCATCCTTGTAGGAGTTGAGGATGTAGGAGCCGTCGGGGAGCTGAGACAGGTAGAAGTACCTCCTTTTGAACACCTGCAGTTAAGGTTCATGTCAAACAAATTTTAAAAAAACTTGTAAAAAAGGGAAATGCTGCAAGAAATGTAGCTCCTACACACATGTCCTATTGCTGAATTGTAAACTGTTTTACTGACATGAATTAAATATCAGTGAATTCTCTCTGAATGACTGCTGCAGTGGATTTCTGTAACGAGGTGCCATGTCCCCCGTCCTCTCTTATGAGCGCTGTGTTTCTCTGTTGTTGTCTCATTTGTTGCTGTTATGTTGCATGAATAAGAGGCAGGAGGTCTGGCAGTGACTCACCCTCATGGAGACAGACAGGCTGCTGTTGATGTTGGCTTTCTGGAGCCAGCCCTGCTTCATGATTCCTCCCCTCTGGGAGCACAGAGATGCTGAGTCCTGACAGAACACAAACACAAACACAGCTAATCAATCAAGACTGAGACTTTATCACCGAGTTTAATTCACGTTAATGATTATGTCAGGATAACATCCAGGAAGTAAAGAAAAGAAAACGCATCATCAGTAACTTCTACAGGTGCTGAATCCTCAACCAGAAAATGTATGAAAAGTATTTCAGGACAGCCCAGTGTGCTGTCTACTTAGAAGTGTTCTTAATATAGCATAATGTTCGTTTCACCAAATAAAGTCTCATTTAAAGTAGAATAGACCATAAAACAGGTCATTCATGAGGATGTGACGATGTGATAACCACGGCAAGCTGAAACATATCTTGATCATTAGGGTTCACTTAAATCTCTGGTGTGTCTGCTTTTACAAATTTTTTGTACAGACCATGACTCGGAAAAGATCGCTCAAGATTATTGTGTGGATCTGAAAGACACCAAAGCTCTTCTGGAGTTCTTTGTCCCCTTCCAGGTTGAGATTATACCGCCAAAGACTGAAGCAGCCAAACGGATAAAGGCTTCTTAGGACCCGATTGGTTGGTGAATGATAGACTGTAGACAAATTATTATTGGATTTATTTATGTACGTCAATAAACTGCATTGAAAGAGTAACAGCATTGGAGCCGATAGGGCAGCGTTTCAGATCTTATGTGAGGGTTTGATTCAAAGATGTGATTGAATCAAAAAAGTACATTTTGTCTGAAGCCTGTTCTGTTTTGTTGGCCACAATCAGAATCCCTATTAGTCATATTGAATTACACATGCGCCTTGATCACCATGCTAGCTGATCACTTAGCTTTTGCTTTCCCCTTAGCTCTGACCTTACGCCCAAATATGGTAATTTCTGGCTCTGAAGAACCAAGGTCAAGTCAGCAACTCAAGACTCCAAATCGGTAGTCTACAAACCAACGGGTTCAATGTAGCGGCCTAGTCCAGGACTTTCAGACAGTCTATGTTAGGGCTGCGTCAATCCTGAGACAATCCAGATATCGATACTTAGAGAGCTCTTAACAGATTTCTCCAGCATTTTGTCTCAATGCATTATTCATGACTCCTCAGGGTGGAGGTTATGACATGCATGAGGGGAACATGACAGGGCGTGTACTGGCCAAAATAAAAGCAGAATAAAATTGACCCCAAATTGCAGGTTACAAATACATTAATCTTGAACTTTACCTTTTTAGGTCATTTTATAAACTTCAGTTCATCAAATATTATGAGTTCCTCCAATATATATAAATCATCTCAGAATCGCTGTATGGTGATATCATGGTTAACATGGGCCACTGATCTCATAACGCATTGTGAGCTACTCTGTGATTCCTACCTCTCATCTATGTACATGATTAAAGTCATTCACTGGGGGGGGTCTATGGGCCTCCCAGTGGGTAAGAACCTGGGTTAACTTGGGTCAATCAATGCCAATGGTATCAAATCTAATCCCACTGTGTCCAGCTGAATCAATTTTTCAGCAGAATTCATTTGCTTCCACATTAACGGATCTTCATAATAAAGCCTCAGTTGCAGCCGTTCCAACTCATAACCATCATGGGACTGTTGGTGAGCACAAACATTCATCACAAGGAGGGAAAGATCTCTAAGAGAGAGCGCTCTCATACCCATGTGCAAACACACAGCACACATTCTTGGAAGTAATTCATCCTGTCAGTTGGAAAAAGATTCACAGTACAAGGAGGAGGTCTAATTGAATTAATGTAACTCTGGAACATGACACCCGCGCTGTAATCATGACACTCAGTGAAAGGGGTTGAAGGTGTGTTTATGTGTGTGCACAGCTGAGATAATCGCATTGAAGTGACATTTTTGTCCTCAGAGCGTCACGCCCGCTCGTTCGTCTTCAGTTTGTCCTGTAATCTAATTGGCTGGCCTTTTATTCCTCCTGTAGCTTGCTCAGTCAGACATGCAGCGAGTTCCCAGAAGCCCCCATGTTTACTTCAGCACGGTCACCTAATCCCTACGATCTGTGAGTGCTTTATCATTGATCTATTGTTACGACCCTTTGGTGGGTATAAAAGGGTTACATACAGTAAATGGTGCAGACATTTAGACAGAACCTCTAAAGGCATTAGGTGCTCTAGTTTCTTTAACTTCTTGAATATTCTTGTGACAAAACAGAAAAGGACAAGCCATCACCCTCCATAAGTAATGCAACAGTAGCACCGGGCATTTCAAGAAATAATACAGCCGTCTCCTTCTGGTCCCCGCAGCACAGCAGCATTTATTTGCCTTCAATTAAACCCTCCCCCCGTCTAACTTTATCGGGCTGGATGGCAGGAGGAGGAGGATCGATGAGGGCTATTTATAGCACAAAATAGGCTGCTGGTTTCTCCACCCTGCACTCAGTCTGAGGGGTCACTAGGTCCACTGGTGGACCATAAGTAAGATGAGAAGTTCAATGCTTGTCCAGGCAGATGGTTGCTCTATTTGCTCATATTTTTTGAGATGAATTAAATTGTGTCTTATCTCTATGATTCATCATTGCGATATGCGCAATCAGTCGACTAAAAGATTAAACGTTGTCACTTTTGCTACCACGGTTACTAGCCTGTACAATTCTTTGTACAGGCTAGTAATCATGCTTTTATCCAAAGCGACGTACATCAGAGAGTAAGAACAACACAAGCAAGGATCTAGAAAAAAGGGAACAATGTGAGTAAGAGCAAACGATCAGCTTTGAGTCTGATTGGACACACAGGTGCTGGCAGGAAGTGACCAGAGGCAAAGCACAACATTGAGGGCAGTTCTTGAGAGCTCTAATCAGTATAGAAACCATCTTAACAAGCGTCGTTATCAAACAAAAACCATCATCATTACCATCATCATTAAGTTAGTAGGTATTCATGAAAGAGCTGGGTCTTTAGCTTTTTCTTAAAGATGCAGAGGGACTCTGCATATCAAATAGAGTTTGGAAGTTCATTCCACCACTGGGGGGCGACAGAGGAAAAGAGTCTAGTAAATTAATGATTGATATTTGTATGAAAGCTCCTGTGGGGAACTTTTGGTTTGAGTCAATTGTGGAGACTGCTGTCGAAAAACAGAAAGTGGTTGTAGCTCTGGTTGATGGGCCCTGATCTCACAGCTCTACAACCCAGATGTAAACCAGCACAGTGAGCGGATGCCTTTATACTGGAGCAGCGCAGATAAACTGGCTTATAACCACTATATGTTCAAACACATTCAGCACAGGCATGTGGACGATAACCTGCAGGGAAGGCTGAAGGATGGTGATGCTAGGGATGCTAACGTTAGCCACGCTCTGCAAACCACTTTGACATTATTTACCTGCAGAGTGATGTACGTTGCAAAGTGCCAAATGTTTCAGAGCTATTAAACTTTATGACATTAAGAATGTCATAAAGTGTTTTATAAGAGCAGTGGTACATAAACTGTGATCAATTTAGATTGTTTCCTGATTGTTTTCTTGCCATGAGACTTTGAATTTTTATTTCCTTTCAAGTGCAGGGAAATGATTTGCTCAGGAACAACCCTAAATCATAAAGATAACTTAAGCTTACACCCCAGTAACAAGTGCACATGTTGTGTGCTATGTGGTTCAGTGAGTCCAGAGCAGACCACACATCCACGCTGCAGAATGAATTCCAGTGAAATAACGCCTCTCAAGCGGCTCTGCTTACCTCATCTTTGGCGTCTTCATCGATCTCAAACACATGAGCAGGCAGCTTGTCCGACTTCAGGCCTTTGCTTTGAAAAGACAGTAAGAGAGAGTCATCAGTGTTCAATAAATCAGCATCCTTCCCTACAGTACTGTCCCTGTTCTGAGCTCTGCTTTCCCTCCTCTTCTTTACTGTTTATACAGCAAGGCAACAAATCACTGCATGATCCATGTACATGTTTACACTGACTGCTACACTGACTGCTTCTCTGTGTTTAGCATGTTTAAGTTAGCAAATTGAAGGCCACTTTTCATCTCAGTATTGTTTTTCCCCTCTTGGTATTTTGATGGTATTTGGATCATTTTTTGAAGCTCATTTCCAGTTTATGGTTCAAGGTAAGGTTGCAGCAATAAAAATAACTCTCTTAGGAAGCTCTATATCCAGAGTGATATGGACTCAAAACATCTGGGCTGCACCTGCTGCTGTGGAGGGGGAATCTGGCTGAACGTGCAGTGCAGTTATTTCATTTTGTTGTTTGCTCTGTTGAGATTTGGAGCATGTCGTCATCCAGCAGAGCCAATGTAAGCAGAGTAAATCTCTTCTATGTATTGAACAACTCGAGAGATGTTTTGCACAAAGCCTTAAACTTAACCCACAGATTTCCTGGATTTCCAGAATGATTTTTTTTTGTTGTCCTTATCTGCCTTACCTTGGCAGCATGCGGAAGTCACCAGAGTAAGCCTCGTATTTGAAGTTGATCACATGCCAGTCGGTGTTGTACATCTTGATGCACTGCAGAAAAAAAGACAGCGGGATTAGAGGCAGCAGAGACCCGAGTACAACAAGCATGCAGACACAGAAGTTACCTAACAAAGGACTTATGCAAGAGGACAGAGAGAGATGCTCTTGGTTCTCTAATCTTTCATTCATGAACCCAAAATAAGTCTGCAGAGAAGCAAACAACTCTTATCCATGCTATGATCTCATGTTTGGCATCCCTGAAGATGTTTTTATTATTTTTTATTGAGTGAAAAAGAGAAAGGAAAAATCCTTAATTACACCAACTGATGAGTAAGATTTGGTTTCTTTTTAAACCACTGTGGTTTCTATGCTTTGTAATAGTCACGAGAGATGGCTTGTTTAAAGCCTGAGAGAGAGAGTAGAAGAGAAGCTCTAAATCGTGCAAGAAGAGTCTGTTTTTGATTGCTCATACGATATATCATCAGTACAGCATGTGTTTACAACTGCCCTGTGTATTCTGTGTTTCTTTATGAGCATCAAGTGACTACTTCTGCATGAATGTCATGAATACGGGTATGAAGTCATCGACAATTATATTTTATCTTTACTAAAACTTTACTCACTGGTACTTTGCTTTATAGCTCGGAGTTTTTTATTTTCTTATTGTGTCATACATACATTTATATGCCCAGCCCGCACGCTTACGTGACACCATGAATTAAAAGGTTCCAGGATCAGAGCGCACTAAGTAAACTATATTCATTGTCAAAAAACAAAAAGAAAAAGCAATACAAACTAATTAAACAGAATATCCTGTCTTCTTTTCCAAGATTTTGAAGACAATTAGCAAGCTTAGCCACATCAAACTTAAACAGCATTCCAGTTTTTGCACATCTGTCCGCCCCAATATTTCAGGTTTTTGACGAGCTACTTCAGGAAACAATAATTCTCTTAAATCATCACATTTTGTACAAAAAGTCTATTTTCAACTGGAATATTTTGAATCGGCCGACTTCAATGGCCAGAGGGAGAATACCAGATCTTAACTGTGCGACAAAGGATCTTTGGTTTCTAGATAAACGACATGTAACATATAACTCAGGCATATGTCTTTTATATCTAAATTATTCTGAGCAGCTGTGAAGTAGCTTTAATACTCACACAGTGCTTATTTTTAGAAAGAACTGCATGTAAGACTGAGCTACACGTCATGGCTATTAAAGTGTGTTTGACACAAAGTGGGGCTCACACACACACACATGTGACTGCTGGTTTAGAGTACCTCTTTGGCAAACAGACTCCTGGCTTCTCGCTCAGCGTTCTGAGGCACAGAGGGAACAACGGTCCTCCTCTGCCGGGAGATCTGGGACTCCTGCACACACAAGAGCAAACATAAAACATGTTAAAGTGAAGCACTGACACGTCTTCTTCTTCTTTTGTGTTATGTCATCATAAAGTAGCACAGCAGGAAACTGCACCCACAAGGCAAAGAGAAAGCAAAGAAGAGAAAACACAAAAAAAGAAACAGATGAGTGTCAACAGGAAGAAATAGTCATGGAGCAAGATGTGCCTCTAAACAAAACCATATGTGCTAAAAGCAGCCAGAGCAACGACAGAGCAGAGGTACCTGTCTGGATTGTATTTACCCGAGTGACCCGTACATAACAGAGCCCAGCATGATGGGGATGACTGATGATTAATGATGGGAAACCTTCCTTTAGAGAGGGATATTTTACAGCTCTTTGTTGTCGTTTAACAAGAACAATGTGTGGATTTGGCTGCCTAATGCGGAGATCTCATCACAGGTGTGTTGAGTATAACAGTTTTAGTTAAAGCCTCAGATTCCCTGTCTGAAGATTAATCTATGAGGCAGGAGTTTCTTTTTTTTCTGAATCTCAGGCAGCTCAAAACACAAGCAATCAGACTGCAAATAGAAAAACAGTTTAGCTCCTAAGGAAGCACACCTGAAATGACTGTGCACAAAAGATGCATATTCACACTAGAAGCCAGTGCCCCATACACAACTACAACTATTTAAAAGATCAATCCTGTATTTTTAAACCTGGATCCTGTCGATTACAGTTTTTAGGGTACAAATTACAAAAACCATGTGTGCAAAAAGTTGGAATTGCAAGACTGTGGATGAAATGTAAAATTTAAGTGCAAATGCAATCAATCAAAGTCTGGCTGAGGATGATATTGATAAGTGTTGAAAACAATATACAAAAGGTCCCACTCCCTATAGAAATCAACCTTTTTGCTAGAGAATAATAATAAGCTTTTTTGGTGTCAGAAACTGCTTACTAGTTGCTCGATTAAAGCCACCAGACTCCATTGACAAAATGGTCAATTTACCTCACAGAACCCGGTACAGCTGTTTCAACTGGTTCATCTTTTGTGTTACACAAAAGGTGAAGTTGGACCCTATCTAACCTTTAAGAACACCTAAAACACTGCGTAACACAAACAAACAAACAAACTGATCCATGAAGCAGTACACCAACAACCCATGTACCCTTAAATGTAAAATAACTCTTTTTGTCAATGACGTCTGGTAGCTTTGAGGGGCGTTAATTAACAGCCGTTTCTGGTTAAATCAACAGATATTTCACAAACAAAAAACGCCTTTCTGTCTAGCTATTCTTTCTGTAATATTATAGACACTTCAGATATCACTCTGAGCCTGTCAATGACAAAACAAACATAGTAAATATGTATTTTGAAAGGGCACATTTGCCAGCAATTGTCATGTTGCAGCTACTCCAGTCTTAAGCAACATGGTTATTTAAAAACTCAAATAAAAAATGAAAAAATAGGTTGGAGATAATAAAAATCACTTGCAAGGGATGTTCTTACAATAAAACAAAGTTGAGGTATGTTAAGCATGAAACAAAAATCTTAACCAGTTACAATTTTTGGGGATTTAGAGTTTGTGGCAGAGCACAGAAAATAAAAATTCCAACCATGTGAGTACCTGTTTACTTCTACAAATTGTTGTGAGGAGGAATCAGACTATATGAAAACCTGCACAGCTCCTTGACTTTTATTTTATCCTGAGGAGGAGGATGACCTGTGAGAGGAAGGAGGTCTGAATGACTCACCGAGACATCGTCGACCGGGCACAGCAGCAGGTCTCTGTGGGGGTCACTGTGGATTTGTGCCTTTCTCTGAAACACCACAGCCTCATAGTCCAGAGGTTCAATGATCTTTGGCTGCTCCTGAAAGTGGAAGAAGGACACAATCACAATTACACTCAAGTTCAAATTAACGATTTCTTTAAACACTCCTGCTCTGTTAGTTTTGTCTCAACTGTGGCTCTGAGAAAAGCCCCACACTGGACTGCTATATGACAGCGTTTTTTTTTCTTTTTACCTTCCATGTTAAAGCAAAGCCACAAGGGCCCAAAGAGTCAACCACAAAGTTCAGAGAACCGTCAGGGTGCACTGAAACCATTGCTCCGAGAATTGCTCTGAGAATTGTGGGTGATTGAAAAAACAAATGACACACAATGACAAAAAAAGGAATATATATGCTTCTGCAGGAAGGCCATGTATGGTGAGGCAAAACAGCTGTTATTGTAATGTTATAATAAAACTAATCACGAGAAAAACATATCACACGCCACGCAGCAGTTCCAGATAAACTCTACTTCCTGTTTCGAGTTTCATAGAGAAGTGAATAATATCAAATCAGCCTTAAAGAGGTCTGCAGGCTTTAACTTAGCATCCAGCAACTAGGTCAAGATGTGATCACAAACCCAAACCACTCAGAGACACTCTGAATGCATTCCAAAAAAAAAGTTCATTTTAGATGTGGAGCTAAGCTGTGGAGATGGTGATGAATAGCTTAACCAAAGAGCCCTGGCTGAGCAGCACAGAGCAAGCATGGAGCGGAGGGAATCAGACACATCACTGAGCCACAGTCTGTGGGAAACACATGCAGGGCCGCCAGCCGACACTCTAAAAATTGTGACTGTGGCCTGCAGCTGGGAGAGTATGAGTCAGTCCTTTTTCCATTTAGTACGCCATCATATTTTTATTTCAGAGCTGAAATGAAGACTTTTATACTTCTAGTCAACGTAAGTAGAGTGGACCCTTTAAGCACCTGTCAGGTGTTTTACATGCTGATGAAACACTGCTGTAATACAGCATTCACAATAATAACAAAACATTTCAGCGGTCAGCATTCCCACGCATTTTCCACAGGTAAATGCAAATTGTCTAGTTGATACTGATGCCTCATTATGAGCCTGACTGACTGTCTGTCTGACTGACTGTCTGACTGACTGACTGACTGTCTGTCTGTCTGTCTGTCTGACTGACTGACTGTCTGTCTGTCTGACTGACTGTCTGTCTGACTGACTGACTGACTGTCTGTCTGTCTGACTGACTGACTGTCTGTCTGACTGACTGTCTGTCTGTCTGACTGACTGACAGTGAAGGTGTGTGGTGTGAGTGTGGTACTCCAGCTTCACCACCAGTTTACATTTTGTCCACCGATAATGTTCTCATGGGTGCAGAATTGATGGACTCGTGGTCCCTTGGTCCCAGTGTTTAAAACATTAGCCAACTCTTTTTTTTAATTTTTTATTTGTCCCTCTGGTCAGCATGACAACGTTCAGAGTCACACATGCCCCCCGTGTTTTGCATTCCTTCTCAAACTATAGCTGGGATTGTTTACATGAAGAGTTATTCAGTAATTCTGTCTCTTGGGTCTTACATAGGTAGAGGTCTGTTAATAATGAGCCCAGTGAACCAATCAACAACAGGGACCCATGAAGCTGTTTACATGAGAGCCCTTATTTTTCTTTTTTAGTCATCGAAGGAAACTCATTTCATTCTACACTGTTTGTATCACACATGCTGTATCAGACTGAAGCCTTATGATAACTACACCGAGTGTTTTGAAGGTTGCATTAGTCCATCGAGTAAGAACATGAAGCTGTCCTGTGTGCATCATTTTAAACATTTCTTTAAATGTGAGGCGGACATGGTTGGTATTTTGGAAAAACTTTGAGTCTCCAAAACATTTCTAACAAATCCAGTTTGACTCTGAACACTGTTTGGCTACAATGAAGGAGCTTCAAATCCCTGTCTTCCATATCCTGGTATGTTAGACAATAATGAAAAGAACATTTTCCCTTTCCATGTTCTCTAACCAATAATTTGGTGAAATAAGTCCGTTACAAGCACATGTTCAATTCAGATTTTTCCGCCAAACCCCCAACATGCGACCCTTCGTTCAGCATTTTCTGAACCACTAATGGAAACTATGGAACCCAACGGTACTTATTAAATATGAAATGCAACATTTGCCTATTTTTCTCTAAATTATGTTTCCTCATTGTAATCTTCTTCACACAAAGAGCGTCTACCGCAGAAACCTGAGCAGCAGCAAAAACACCTAAAAGTCTGTTGAAAGCATTACACACGGCTGAGCTGCTCTGCTTCCTGTCATGTGCAACAAGCTGTACCGCAGCGCTGCAAGTCAGAGGCGAGGACGGTGGCTCGGCTGCAACGCTGATCATGTTACAGAGGAAGGGAGGGAGGAGAGAGAGAGAGAGAGAGTTCTGCTTTTATAGAAGAGAAAGAAGCTGAAGAATCACAAGCAGGCGGTTGTGAAGCCACAGCGTTACTGATTGAGAAACACAGAGAGATGCTACCATCGTTGCCTGACACTTGGGCGTGACTGTGTGATGCAAACAATCACTTTTCCTCCTCAGAAATCTCCAATTAGTCCTCACACTTTCTCCTGAGCAGTCAGCCTGGCTACTAATAGCAGATCAAAAGCTTAGGACATCGATGATGATGGTAGCATTTCCAGATGCCTGAGTCCCATTATGGACAAGCATGGCACTGAACATGACCAAGTGGATTGTATCACTTGGCTCAGAAAACAGCACTCACTTACAATAACAGACATGCAAGTCATACATGAAGCAGCTCCACTGTCCTACAGCTGACCCCACTAAGTGCTCCAATCTGAATGTATTTCAGCATACACACACAGCGGCTTAATGGAAAGAAGAACCTTAGCTTTCATCTTTTGTCCTCAAGCGCAGTCCACTACAAAACCTTCATTATGTGTAATTACAGCGTCCAAATAGAGACACACAGGTAGATCCTGAAATGGATCCTGAGGTTGACTGATTCAGATTCAGATTTTTTATTGTCCCACAAGGGGACATTTGTGTTGCAACAGGAGCACACAGAAGACAAGAAACACAAGGACAACATCACCGTAAAATATGGACCAAGACAACCCAGCAGAATATAAAACCAAATAAAAACAGGGCAATAAAATCAGTCAAGAGCCCGGACCAGAATGGAAATTCAAGTTATTAAAGTGCAAAGTGGAGGTGTGCAAATGTGCAATTCAAGTTGCAAAAAGAGCAACAAATACCTAATTGTTGTTTAACATACTAATTGCAAAATGAGACCTGGAGTCTTTTTTGTCTTCCTTGCAGGAGCTCTAAAACAAGGACCTGAGGGTTAAAGGTCAAACTCACTGTGAAGTGGGTGATCTGGGATCACACATGGATTGGGGCAGCAGAGTCAGCAGCAGTATTGCGGACCACCGGTGTGAAGAAAGAGATGAACTGATAGGCAGCGCTTTTGATTTACCAGTCAATCCACATTCCAACCCTCACCTATCATCATGATCTTTATCACTGACTGAATGAATGAGATCACGGATACAAAGGGCTGAAATGAGTTTCCTCCAAAGGGTGACTGGACTCAGCTTTAGAGATAGGCTGAGGACTCTGGACATTCAAAGGGAGCTCGGAGTAGACCTGCATGAGGTGGTTCAAGCATCTGATCAGGATGCCTTAGGAGGTCTTCAGGGCAAGTCCAACTAGAAGGAGACCCTGGGTATACCACCCATAACGTGTTGGAGGGATTGTATATCCCTTATGTCCTGGGAACACCTCTCATTCCCACAGGAGGAGCTGGAAAAAGTCGCTGGGTGAGAGAGGGGGGGTCTGGTGCAACTTGCTTAGCCTGCAGCCACTGTGCAACCAAGACCCGGATAAGAGGAAGACGATGGATAGAGGTCGGTAGGTTCAATCGGCCGTGCAGCAGCAGCATCTTCAAGCGTTTTAAACGGATTGTCCAGAGTCATTAAAAACTTTTAAGACATGTGTCCCTGCTTTGATTCATGCAGCACAATGCCTGAGTCAGGATGTTCACACACTCATTACCCGGGTCTTCAACTCACAAGTGATGTCGACAACTTTTCCAGATTATAACGAGCTACACGGAGAAATGGGAAAGTCAGAGGTGCTTCTAAAAGATGTCTGAAGATTATCTTTAGAGCATATAGAGCGTGCACAAACTGATGGATTACTTTGGGAACACTCAGTGCTGCAAGCATGGAGTCGATTGAAAAGAGTTGAAGGATGTAGGCAGGGTATATCTTTAAGAAATTAACCATGAATCTGTGATCTGTAAAACTACATTTCTGTACATTCTTAAAGTACTGAACTTTAGATGATGTAGAGCCACCATCGGGACTTTTAGCCAACTTTGTCGATTGAGACATTTTTGAAAACCTGACCTATGGGGAAAGTTTTATTTTATTTTCATGCTTGGGTGCTTGGGTGCATAGCTCCTGGGAAAGAAGAAGAGGAAGAAGAAGAGGAAGAAGAAGCATACTTTCAATAACAAAACAAAAAAGAGCACATGAGCAGAGTTTCCCCTGACCTTATTATTTTGAATTAAGGTTATTACCCAACAGCACATCTTCTTACAGACAATACAAATGGAAATATGCTTTTTTTTCTCCTCTGATTTTAAAGTTAACTGGTTTACCATCCTGTTAGTAGTTACAAGATAATAATTGACTTGAAGTGTGTCGCTGTCCAATGTCCACTTAACCCTTCAAATCCACCAACTAAATGAGCAAATATGGAGCCATACGTCTTCACTGCCCTCTGTGCCCAATGGTGCAGCAGCGAGGACTGAACGGGAGAGAGAAACATCGACTGGTCTCAGTGGAATACTTTAGACGTATGTGACCAACGTGTGGTGACATACTGACTGTACTAATGACATGCTCACTCTGGTGTTCAGTCACAAGGAGCCATGACGTCTCTACGAGCTTTACATTCCTGATGTCGTGGTGCAATCCTCCAGAGTAGTTTGTAAACTTTTATTATCATTTCCGCTTCATATATAACTCCATAATAATTACTCCAAATTCCAGAGACAAATTCCTAGAGAAGCCAATTTGTTTTGGTCAATGTTTGCCTTTATTGGACTGGACAGCTGAAGAGAGACAGGAAATGTTGGGAGGAGAGAGAGGGGGGGTGACATGCAGCACAGAGCTGAGGTCGGATTCAAACCCACGACCCCTACGATGAGGACTACAGCCTCTGTACATGAGGTGCACACAATAACTGGAGCAGCCAAGTTTAATGAAATAACATGAGGACAAACAACCAGCAGCCGCAACATGCTAACATCTCTCAGTTAATGCTACAAGTCCTGTTTGTGCATGTGTTTCCAGCCTATCTGAGTCTGTGTGCGTTGAGTATTGACCTGAATTTTCCCTCTGGAATTAAAAAAGTATACACAAACCAAATCAAAAGCTGGAACCAGGAATTAGTTTACCTTTTGTTTTGCTTGAAAAAAATGACAAAAGAATCACATATCCAAACAAAAAATCAGTGAATTTTCTGTTTCTCAAAAAGTGAATAAATCAAGCAATGTTTGTATTTTTATAAATCTAGTGAGATTGTATTCATTCATGTCACTGGCTCCTTATTATCTTAGATTTTGCTGAAAAGGATCCTTTTAAGTATCACAAAGTTCAATGGTTTTAATCCCCCTCTGATTACATGAGAGCGTGCAGAAACCCTAAAGATGAAAGTCTTTGAGGAGCTTTATGTTCTGAACTCTGCCGTTTCTTCTTTTTCAAGTTTTATTTGACCTCCTTCTTGAAAACATCAAAAAACCAGTTGGTACACTCAAACACACGGGAAAAGCAAGACGGTGAAAAGAAACAGGAGTGACTTTACAGAGGGGAAGAAGTCAGGAGTGATCACACAAACGCGGTCACAGAGGAAGCATGGTCGCAGCATGCCTGAGGGAATCCCCATGAGAGAGGAACGCGGGTCATGAAACCTCCACAAAACATCGCTTGTTCTCAATTAACCCTGACGACGATGTAATCCAGAAAATGAGCAAGCCAAAAAAACCTTCACACGTGGCTGGCTTAAGACGTACACACACTCCCACCTCTGTTGTGGAAATCCAAACCCTCATCACATGATTTTGATCCCTTTGCGTCACCCTGCTAAAGATGTTCATCATAAGACTCAAGCCCCTAATCCCAACAGGGAACAAGAGTTTATGCTTTACACAAACTTCTCCAGCTCCCGTCTCTAAACAGACAAAGATAATAAATGGAGTGTTGGGGTTTGTCATTGCCACATAATGAGAAGTGGGTGACTTCCCAGTTCCCAGATGGCTTTAGTTAGAACTAAAAAAAAGAAAAGAAAGAAAGACATCAGAGAGCAGGCGTGAAATCGCTCTGACATCTCTGAGAGTTTCTAAATAAATGTCACGCTTGTGGCACACTGAAATGTTAATAAGTTCACACACACACATAACACAGAAAATGCTGCATCAGCAGGATCCTATAAATGCTCTTCATCTCAAACCACTGCGCCTAATCCCTCATTATTGCAGTCTGCTCCAAGGAAAAATAAACAATTGAGACTTTTTTTTTTTTAATTTGCATTCCAGGCATAAGCTACAAGAACATGCATTAAACTGTTTTTACACAATGTGGTTATTTCCAGTAGGAATAAAGAGGCGCGCAGACTGCTCCAAGGCAGTGACGGGGAAGCCATGCTGCAGCTGTCCAACTGGCACTGCTCCTCATCCGCCAGCACACAAAAGAAGCCGCAAAGCACTGAAAAAACCACGCGTGTCTGTGGACAATGTCATGCTTTTTTGTAGTGCAAGGAATTTAAGGAAAGGGAGCTCATGTGTAAGCGCTTCCTGAAGCCCTGTCTTTAAACATTAAACAGAATGCAGCACTTAGAATAAAATAGTTTAAGTGCATCCAGAGAGCTTCACGTGGAGGCTGGTGGACACACACACTAAATGGAGAGAAATAAAAGAGTTGGACAAATGACAAAGAAAAGAGGGGATGTAGGGTGAGAGGGGAATTAGCCGGCTAACCGGTTAGTTGCATTATCCCTGTTAGCTAAAAAATGAGCGACAGCATTTGACTCACCACCAGGTCCACGGTGCTCCTCACAGCCTCCGACACGCTCTGTCTCACTTCCGCGGCCGTCCCCGGTTTGCTTAACCTCTTTGTGAATTTTCGCACCTCAGACATGGTGCCCCTCCGGAGTAAATCCACTTTGTGTGTGTCCCGGTGTGAATGTGAGCATGCCGCAGTGTACCGGACGGAGCGGCAGCAGTGTTGTGTGTGTGTGTGTGTGTGTGTGATACAACCAGATGTGGGTTGTGCTGGAGGTGAAGCAGCCAGCGGTTAGCGTGGCGAGGCGGGGCTGCTGCTACTGCTGCTGATGAGAGGAGAGCAGAGAGGTTCTGACAGCGCAGAGACGTCTCACTCCTACCTACTTCCGTTTCAGGTCAATGAGCAGATTTACCAAAGATCGCCTATGAAGAAAGTGACGACTGAGTAGGCGTCAATTATCAATCTACCAATTATTGCTGTTATTTCTAATTCGTTTTTTTACATAAATATTTATTTCATCACGGGCGATAAGTAGAATATAACATTATCAAAGTTGGTATTTTAATGGAGGACAGAAAAGGGGAAACATGTATAATGCCATAGTTATTTTGGCCAAACAATACATTTACAAATGTAGATTAATTTAAGTCAGACCACGTTTTTTGTCTTCATGAATAAGTGAATAAACTATCAAATAAATAAAAATTAATTAAGCTTTAAAGATATACAAAACAATACATGTTTTGGTTACATATCAGACCTCTGACTGTTCCTCTTTTGTTGTTATTTTTTATAGTTATGCTTAGTCTGTAATACTGGGTTTTGTAGCTTTTCATAATAGTAACAGCCAGACTGATTTAAATAAAGATGAGAAAAAGATAACCTGTTAAGCTAATGTTAACCTTGTCACTCGACATTTTAATACACTACTAAGTAATAATAATCAATGTAAAGGGCCATTTAAAATGTTATGTATAGTTAACTCGATATTATTCAACTTTAATAAATTTGAATGTTTCTTAAATTATTACGCTAAGTGTTGTTCCCAAAGTAAAATCATGAAAAAGCAAAGTAAGCACGATTTCTAGGAAATAACAATGACAAAAGCGTGAAGGTGGAAGTATTTTGCCACCTTGTGGACAATACTGCAAACTGCAGGAATATAACCTAAACATTTTCTAAGTGGTTTTTCACAATCAAATCATTTTGCGTACACCGGGCTCTATTGGAGTAAAAACCGTTTTTCATTTTGGTAATATTGACACCATACCCCTGCATTTTTTGCACATTACACAAAATGCCGTCCATATGACATGCAGTTGATTTAAAAAATAACCAATATGCACCCTCACTGAGACGTTTCAAAGTTAATTAGGGACTACAATTCCCAAAGTACAGATAACCATTTGGGAAATCTGGACACCTGATTTTTGTACTCTATGAACAAGGGCATATCAGTATCACCTGTGCACTTTCCAAATCAAGTATGTCCAACTCTGCAGAAAAACATAAAGAAAACACAACACTGGTGACTCATTTGACACCCATTACAGTATATATAGGAGGCTGCAAACATGTCTTGACTGGATTTGCCAGAAAACAAGTTCAGGCACATGTTCCTGTGTTTTAACACCAGAGGTAAGGGCTTACGTTAGAATTGACATCGTTCTTCTTCAGGTGACACTGATGAGTTCACATCACAGATGCTTAGCTTCCTAGGGTGCTGCTGCCTCTGCAAACTAGGAAGCTAATTTTAAGGACAAGGTTCTTAGTCTTTTTTCCCCACATGCAAGATACTCTAAACGTAGTGTTAAACTGTATCTTAATTAAATCAAAATGAAAATATAAGCCTTGAACTCTACAGAAGCTTGGGTAAAAACAAAGAAAGCAGACATGCTGAAGAGAGTGATGACTTTAAGAAAACTGGTTTTGCTGAATTTTATTAAACATCTTTAAAATACTCACTACTGAACATGCTGCTCTGTATCTTCAGTCCACACAGCCTCTGAGCCAAGCAACCTAAAGCCTGCATGTCATTGTGAGCATGACACATTATGAAAAGGGATCGGCTGGTTGTTATGCGAGCATCAGATATGATACGATCATTTGTTACTGTACTGGGTGAACTCCTTCAGAGCCCAGTGTTTCATCTCAATCTCCTGCCGTAATCTGCAGTACTCTTCAGCCAGAGTCTCAAACTCTTTGCCCAAGATCTTAAAGGAGGCAAGTTTCAATTCCACGGACTGCTTCTCCACCTGACAGGCCTTCAGCTCGGTATCCAGCTTCCCTCTGAAAATTTAAATTAAAAACAACAATGAATTACTTTTAGGATTATCCATGAAAACCAAATAACAGTTTTCTATATTTATCTTCAAGCTTTGATTGAGTACTTAAACATTAGTGAGAAAACGTTTGCTCCAAATTCTGTCATCACCTTTGAGAGCATTGGGGGGGAATAAATAAAAATAACATATAAAAAGGGAACAACTGAGATATTAACAAAAAAGCCTCTTGCCTTATTTTTCTATGAGCAGATATTGAGTCCACTGTGTATGTGTCAAGCTGAATTTCCACCATCTCAACTCTTGGAATGAAGACAAGAAAACATTAGGTTAACAAAAATGACATTCTGATGATCTACACATTTGATTTTCAATTAATATTTGTGGTTGAGGGCTCCGTTCAAATAAGAATAATCACATATAAGCAGGCAGAGATTGAAAAATCCTCACTTGATTTTCTGCAAGACTAATTCAAGTTTTCCCTCAAAGTACTCTAACTTCTTTCTGTCCAGATCCGTCTGGATCCTTAGCCTGTGGTCCAAGATGAGAGACTGGAGAATCTGAATACACTTAATCAGCTCCTAGACACAGGGCAAAGAGAAGGAAAGAGAACATAAATCAAAGTCTTATGGTATACAAACATTCAAGACTTGTGCACATAGTTTTCAATGGTTAAATCCTTTGAAAGTTTTCAAAAACTAAGGAAACTAATAATCTTACAGAGAGGTAGAGATGAGTCTGTCTTTGCAGGAGAACTGTGTTTTCCCGGCAGGTTTCCGTCAGACTCTCAGCTCTTTTCTTCTCTTTGTCAAGCTGAGCCGACAGGTGAGACAACTTAATGGCCTTCAGACCCTCACTCTCATTCTCTATGTGAGAAAGACAGAAGCAGAAAACTGAGGTCATAAAGGAAGTGGATAAGAGTATGCACAGATAGGAATGGATAAATCAGCGTTTTTTATTCTGTACCCCATTCAGGTTGATAGTACGAGAGGAGGCTCAGGCACTTTCTCCTCAGATGTTTCTCCAGCTCTCCTGGAAGACCCTGTTTCATCCTCTGTATATTCTGTCAAAAATGTATACTTCATTGTTGGTAAACAATAATCCACCGATCCAATCGTCTTGGCGTCAAAGTAAGGTTTAGAACTCACCTTCTCTGGTGGCATGAGCTCCATCACTTGTTGGGTGCTCAGGCCCAGAAGAGAAGGCTGATCCTGGTTTGTAGTGCTACTAGGATCCAGCTGTCTGATACACTGAGACACCAACAGGCACTTCTCCATCGTCTCATAGAACTACACACAAGACATACTTATTTATTATATATTTCTATCAACATATAATGCAGTCCCAGACCTTTAAAAAAAGTTGACAAGTGCAGCTATATTGACTCAACATGTTTTTATATTATTTCTGTCCACAGCTCTTAGTGCATTTGTCAACTGTTCAAATGATTTTGTGTAATAACTGTACCATGTTCTGGTCAGGGGGTACGGTGGTGTGGTGTTTCTTGATACAGTGCTCCTGGGTCATTTCTTGCAGACCTTTGGAGAGGCTCTCGGAGCGCAGCCACTGACGCCTCTGGCTCTGCAGCTTCTGCTCAGCCTGGAAAAAGCATCAATAAGTGCTTACGGATTTAAAAAAAAAAAACTACTGAGAAACTCTGCCCTGTGCAAGCATAACAAGCGTTCATCTGTGTGGTTGCAATTCATAACGTTTACCACAAGAGGTCGGTAAGGCACGTCGTGATCATTCTGAATTTCATATTAATATAATTTATCAAACATAGAGATATTTTCAAGACAAGTTAGAACTGCGAGATGTTATACCACTCATTGTAAATTAAACTGCTTGTATGTTAGTAAAAGAGAAAACTAGCATAGTAAAAGTGTTTAGGTTAAACGAGGGACCGTGTTGACTGGCGACTTTCAACTACTGCGTCCGTGGTTGTCATGGTTACAACTGATGTTGAAGATGTAAACGGGCCTAATCATTCTTTCTTTCTTTTAGTTTTTTATTAAAACAAAATCTAAATTATAATATGTTGACATGATAATGATAATAAATTACACAAACTTGACAAAGCACAGGACACACGTGTTTAACATCTGCTGTACAAAAAACCACTACAGACGTCACTGGTTAACACGGTCACACGTTAAACCGCAACACCTGCTGTTACCTTGTCCAGCTCTGTGTTCAGAGGCACAGTGAGTCCAGTTTGGTCCACATGTTGGGCCAGAGTAGCTAAGAGTTTACAGAACTGCGGGTTCTGTGTCATATCATCTTCTGTGATGTCGCACAGAGGGAAGGAAGCAAGAACTGGGTGGGAAAAAGCAAATACAGCAACAGAATTATAACATTAGCAGTATAAGCAGCAGTAGCCAATACGTTTGTAACCGTATTTTCTTACCCTGTTGATGCAAACTGTCACCCTTCCCAAGCGACGACTCGGACATTTTTAGCTGTATTTGTCTTTCGTGATGACCAAGCAACTTATTTTGTTCTGTGTATTTCTGACTTTCTCGCTAACATGAAACCAACACGAAAACAAACTGCGTACTTCCTGAATCAAGTTCCGCGCGTTTTAAGAAGACGTTCCTATTGGCTAATTAAGACATGTCGTCACCACGTCGAGTTTTGACTGCGAATGAGAACTAAACGTAACTCGCGGGAGCGCGCTTAGCTATAATTTCAACGAATACATAGAAAAAAAATGTTAACATCATTTTAATGTTAATTATCTTATTTAATAGTGATACATTATATATTGCTTAGAAATGTATCAAATTAAAATTGTTATTAGAATAGAATAGTGCGTTGACAGCCTTAAAAATATCAATCAATCAATCAATCAAATTTTATTAATATAGCACCTTTCAGACAAAGTAAATTGCAGTTCAAAGGGCTTAACAAGAGTGCAGAACAGTTATTGACAAAAAGTACTTCATAAAATCATTGATAAAATCATTGAGAGACTAATGCACACCAATAAGAATTTAAAAAATGTATAAAAAGAAAAGAAAAGAAAATACGACACATAAACGCAATAAGATATTAAAATAAATACATAAGAGGAAAATATTTAAAATTGTAGTAGGATAAAAAAAGACAATACAGTAATGTTAAGATTTGAATTGATATAAAGCACTATATAAAAGCCAGACTGAATAAATGAGTTTTAAGACTGCGTTTAAAAATCTCGATATTCTAAATAGGCAACAGATTCAACAAAACACCTTACATGGGTTATCATCAGACTGCATCTTCCCAACTATTTGAGGTCTCATATCAGCATATTTAGTGGAAAGGCAGACTGGGTGACTCGAATACTACAAAGCACTTCGTAAACAATCAGGTGGACAAAAAAATTATATAGGAGGCCAAAATTAAACACATTTACAAGACCTGTGGAGACCTGTCAAGATATTTTGTTATACAGTTCATAGTGTTCAGCTTTCAGATTGGCTCTGTGTGTAAAAGTCATTTGCCTGTGGTCTGCATAAGTGTTGCTATAGAGTCTTCTAGCTCTGCCAGAGAGGGCATCACTTCTGCCTCTCAGGATTTGGACTATTAAGTGCATACTGCTAGGGCAGACACATGACCTTCAGCTCTGCACCTTAGAAGAGATGATTGGAGTTTCATCATTGTGGTAAAAAAATACACTGTACTGATGAAACAGGTTAAGATGCCTTTACATATGACATCTTCTGTGTTGACCATCAGAGGAAACATCATAGGCAGCAGGACACATTCTGATGAACGCTAAACAGTCACAGAGTGTCAGACCTGTCGCTGTGAAATAACTCTGAACCAAACCATCACTGTGAATGTACATATACTATAAAGAATATTTTTGAATCATAGTTGGACAGAACAGACAAAAAATATTTGTGCAGACATCTCAATCCATCTATGACTTTTTTCAGTACGTGAGACATTCATGTTGAGTTTGTCTACATGGGCTCACCTCCACAGGTGCATCCGATCACTAATTAAGACCCCTTCACCTGCTGATGTAATGATCAGCAGGTGAAGAAGCTGCTGCACAAGTGGACATGTGATTTCAAACATCTTGTAGGTTATATAATTTGAAAATCTCACCAATTATCACACAGATGCTATTTTCAGTGTTCAAAATTGCACGTCTGACTAGATTCTATGATTGACTATTTTTTCCTCCATTTTCTTGGATCAACCAATCGCAGCTTCTGAAAAAAATGCATCATACTAGCGAGGGGGTCTCAGGATGTTTGTGAACACGATCCCTGAAGTGCACGCTCAAGATAAAACCCTCAAGATAAATGTATCATTATGGGCTACAGGGTCTTTTGGGTTCCCTGGTTCAGAAAAAAAAAATTGCCAAGGAGCATCACCACCCTGCATGCTGGTGCCTAACCACTTGCAGCAGACTCAAAAATAAGAATAATGAGTACTTTCTATTACTTTGTGTGGTTCATAGATACTGTAATAATATCAGAAGAATAATGCAATCAAACAGGCGCATTGAAATTAATTAAATACATAACCAGCTTGTCAGCACAGGTTGTTAACAATGTTATACAAAATACTGAAAAATAAGGGACAACAAAAATAAACATAACAGATCTATATTATCCCTCCCATCACTTTGTGGTTGCCATTATCTGTTCTCGTATCTTTTTGCAACTCTAACACACTGCAGGTAAAAGTGACCTGATATTGTGGAGCTTCATGTAAAAAAGAAAAATACCATTCAAATATTATGTTGGACCTGTTTAAAAAAAGACCCCAACCCCCACCTCCCCATCATTAGATTTAATCAAGTGTGACAGTTAAGAGAGAGTCCAAGTTCATGTTTGAATATTTTATTCATGCAGGTCAGATGTTTAAATGGCAGCACACTTTCAATCACTTTTATCCATCAAAACTGTAAAATCAATGACTAGCATTTTTAAAGTGTTTTGTTCCTTCACTTCCTATTTCACAGCTTGAGAAAAAGAAAATAATGATGTCTGCAGGTTTAATAGTAGCCTTGACTGTTTCCTTTCAGCTATTCGGTACAAGTCTAAACTTGTGTCCAGTTTATCCAAACCTGGCTGCCCTGAGTCCTTCCCTCATTTTTTTAATTTCAGTTTCTTGGTCCATAAGCCAACCTTCAAAAAAAAACTATGTGTGAAGCTAAACTCATTTAAGCTGTTAGGATTTAAAAATGGATGGATGTTTGTGTGAAGATAAATCAGATCGCTAACCATGGAGGACCTGTTGGTATTTAAAGTTTATTTCCAAGGTTACAAACACATCATGCTCATGTCCAGCAATATGCATCTGTAAATTCAATGTGAGTACAAGTTTCTACATCTGTTCTCCTTGAAGCCCTTCACTTACCTGTGTACTCAGGAGGTCTTCAGCACATTCTGATGCCATGGCCAGCAGGTTAACTATTCTTAATAACCGTGTTAAGAGTACAACGTTGGGTTTTTCGACTTTCTTCTCTAAGCTTTAAAAGTGAACAAGCTTCACACCTGGCTCTGTGGAGGGAGAGGGGATTAAATAGACGCTGTAGAATTTCAGATGTGTCTTTAATCAGCGTGGCGATCTCAACAGATTAGTTTAGCGAGCTTTGATCATTGATATAACGCTGAATCATGACATGAGAGGTGAGGAAATTTACGAGAACATGATAGCAGGGTATTCGATTCATTTCAAGCGGTTACAGCACAGATCGGTTTATTAAAAACAATTTCGACAATGCACAGGTTCATGTGAATGTTTTGTAGTAACCGTCCTACTGACAGCTACGTCCTGTATTTGTTTAAACCCCTTCGTCTTTTTAAATGTTTACAGCAACGCCACATGGAGGTTAGGTTTTCGATGACAAGGCTCAACACTATAGAACCAGCGTGCAGATTAGATTGAATACAAAACATTATTCAGTTAACTCTACAGTCACATGTATCGCCTAGAACTGCTGCTGAGGTCAGCTTCCTTAAGTCACACAAAACATGAGAACACTACTAATTCAAACGTAAAAGTACAAATTAAAAAAAGGAAACGCCTAACTTAAGACGTCAAGCATTTAAAATACTACAGCACAATAATAAACTAAAAACAATCAGGGGAAAACACGAGTGTAAAAACTGTTCCAAAATAACAACAAAACAGATCGTCGACAATTCAGTTCGTCCGGTGAGCGCCGCAGGGAAACATAACGCGCTCAGCCACAGACAGGAAGAGGACATTGTCACGTGCATCAGGAGGCGGCGAGCGGCGACGCAGTCGGACGACGGTCCTGAAAAAAGAGCAGATGACACAAATGACCTGCCTGCAACTGTTGGTTAAAAGCACGTTTTCCCCCATCTATGAGATCACCTTTTTTTCGAGTTCTGAATCATGAATGTCGTTTGTTAGTCAGAGGTCTCAGACTTCGTCGGACTGTGCCTCTCATATCAACTGATACAAAGTGCAGTTACAATAAACGTACAACTTGTCGAGTAGCCCTTTTTGTTGGTGCTTCTTCAAACCTTGTTTCACCCACACCATCTAAAGCGTGCAACACAAGTCACACGCTGACCGGCCTTTACAGGGACGCATACAAACTTAAGGAAAGATATGAACACCAGTCTACCTCAGACCTAGTCTCACCTTCACATGTAAGGGCCTTGCTTAATAAGCGTAGCGTGCTGGCGGTGGCGGAGGCAGCCGTTCTGCGTAGGGGTCCCTGGCACGTGGAGCTCCGTATGCCGGGACCCTGGAAACCGGAGAGAGTCGGGAGCGCTCATAGGAGTAGCCGTTATTGGAAGGGGGCATTGGTGCGCTAGGCATTCTCCTGAGGGGACTGCGATCTCGGGGATAGTAAGGGGACGGAGGAGGGGGAAGCGGCCGACGCTCGTATGGGTCAAGCGGCGAGGTCATGAGACGATCTCGGACGACGGCTGAAGGGGGTGGCGGAGGAGGGGGGGCGCCAGGACGCTGGTCTTCATATGAGGGAATGCCATACGGACGGGCTCTGTACTTCTCATAGTAATCTACCACGCCATATCTGTCCCTCTCCCCCTCGTAGGGACGATCAGGATAAACAGCTCGCCTAGGGGGAGGGGGTGGCAGAGGAGGAGCAGGGTAACCTGGGGGCATGTGGCTGAGGCGGCCTCTCATGTAGCCGGGAGGAGGCGGAGGCTCGTGCCCTTCACCTGGGTAGCGAGGGGGCCAATAGCCACCTCTGTCTGGGGGAGGAGGGGGGTAGTCGTCCCGTTCGTCATGTCTGGGACGGCTCTTAGAAATCTGGACATGGATGCGTTTGCCTAGATGAAAGTAAGAGATAAAAACACAAAATAAGATTTGAAATATAATGTGCATGATATTTGATCTATATCTTTCACATTTGTATATTTTTGTTTTATTTAATTGTGCTGTGTGTCTTTCTTTTGTTGGCTATCCTACTTGCTGCTGTAACACTGTACATTTCTCCATTGTGAGATGAATAAAGGATTATCTTATCTTAATTGGTCACAACTTCATCTATGTTACACTTCTTACCTTGAAATTCAGTGTTGTCTAGTCCTTTGATGGCATCCATGGCCTCGTCAGAGTTTGACATGTGTACAAAGGCAAAATTCTTGACAACAGCACACTCTGTGACTGAGCCGTACTCTTCAAAGAGAGCTCGGAGCTCATCATCGGCCCCCTTCTCCACGTTGGCTACATGGAGCTTAACCGAACCCTGGTTCTTCCCATGACTGGCCTCTACGTTGATTGGTGTGCCGTGAAGCTTATAGAGGTGCAGGTTTTTAATGGCTTTAGTGGCTGCCTTTCTGTCATCCATGTGGACGAAAGCGTAGTTCTTGATGATGGCACATTCTGTGACTGTGCCATACTCCGTGAAGAGCGCCTTGATTTCTTCTTGGTCTGCTTCGTGAGGGAGGTTTCCCACAAAAATCTTCACCATTGTTACAGATCTGTTTCGTAACCGAAAAAAGGGAAAGAAAGGAATCATAAGATACGGTGGGGAAAATATATTAACTTACTTGTAATGCAATGTGTCTTTTTTTTTCTTTCCCATATTGACTTTATAGTTTTATTTAAATTAGCTTGTAATGCTGGTTTCTTGGTTCAGTATTTATTTTAATAGTGTCACCTTTTTCCCTGGCCATTGAAATAAGCTGTAAGAAATCAAACATTTGATTAAACATTGTTTTTTGGTTGTTTCTTTCCTCTCTCTCTTTCTGTATTCAGTGCTATAATGTACGTCTGATCTATTACGCCTTGTCTGTCTGTAAAGCAATCTGATCGGCTGAGGCTGTTTTGAACATGCTATACAAATAACTTGACTTGTTTAGATTTATTGTACCTATACTGTTAACACCGAGACGACAAAGCAGAAAAAGATATCCAGCAACTTCATTTAAAATACCTTTTATAATTGTGTAAGAGGGAAAAGGTTTTAAAAGTTCATGGGTGTGTCACTTAGCATGTCTGTGTCACTTAGCATGTCTGTGTCAAAGAAGAACACTAAAGACTTCTTCTGTATACTACTATTGTAGTGGGTTTGTAAACACACGATACAGTTTCAATTAATTATCGATTTTAGTGAAGTTTCTAATTTAGTTTCAGTATACGAACATGTTTTTACTTAGTTGCGTCATTTCGTTAGTCCTGTTATAGGTAATAACCTTTGTTTTGTATTTTGACAAAGGTAACATTAAAGCGTTTGTGTCCATGTGCAGAGTCCACGCTGTGACGTCACACTGAACACCTTTCATTGTAAAATGGCTGACGTTAGCGTAACGACTGTTAACTAGCCTACGTACATTAATCAATTAAGTAATTAAAATAACATTAAATACGTTCCTATCTTCAAGCGTCAACATTTAAGTGTGAAAAATGTGTGACGTATTTAATATAAACACAATTCTAAATCTTCGTATCGCAAAATGCTAATGCTAACTTAGCTTACAGTTAGGCCTCGCTATCACACAAAGCAAAGCTGATTATATTATCACACAGAATACAAACTAAAACACTCGACAGAAGGTCGATATTTCAGTGAATTAATTTCTGGTCAATGTACATTTTCAAACATAGACGTGTTCATTAAATGTTACCTTTTCACCAGCCGGCCTCTGCAATTAATTCAAACACTACTCGAGAGCCTTCCTTATGCCGAGTGGACTTCCGGTTGGTGTTTTCCGGCCTTCCCCTTTTCTTTCTTCTTCGTTTTTAATGGCGGGTAGCAACTAGCTTTTAAGAGGCATTACCGCCACCCACTATGCTCGAGAGTGGGCCAGACTATTAGAAAAAAAAAAAATAATAAAATGAATTAAATTGTACACACAAAAATAAGAACAACAAAAAACAATCAAATTAAATTGAATTAAAATTAAAATTAATTAAATTCTCTTAACTAGTTCAATTAAAAATAATTGTTTTGGGTTTTTTTCACTTTGGAGCGATGCGTGTAATTTCCCAGCATAAGAGGAATTCTAGCAGGTAACGACTTCTTGACAATAACCGTAAATGGTTAATGTTTTACAGGTTCTTTTTAAAACAAGGCTCAGTGCAGTGTATTCGCTTTATGACTTGGCTCCATTTCCCGTTATGGCGTGTGTTGCAATCTGTTGTCATACATTTAAAACCATCCAATATCTTTTACGATTCAAGTTGCGTCATCGCGTACTTTTTGGTGCTGTAATGAGACGTTCAGGCGCACATCCTATAATTGTACATAAAGATCACGACTGTCATCATAGAAGTCCAGTAATTATCATTACACAGAGTATTTAGCACAATAATTCAGTGTAGCGATGCAAAAAATGAAATTATTATAACGGAAAAGTTAGTTGATTATGTTTCCTTTTAGATAATGTATCAATGCACAAACGTTACATAACCCATTTAGGCATCCCCTTTATTGCTTTAATAGCCTTAAAAATGGAAACCAGTAAAGATGGAACAAATTATGATTTATTTAGGTATTTAAGTTTTTAGAATCACTTCTCTGTTAATATACTAAAAGAGGTAGCCTAGTATGTTTGCACTAAACAGATGCATATTTACTGGTAATGAATGTATTGTTCTAAGTAATAATTGATTCGAAAACTAGTAATGAAGCTGCTGGTCCACGGAGCTTGCACTCGTGTGTGTAGCCTATAAATTGGCTGCTTACAAGTGTGTGTTTGTCTTACTGCAAACACTCTTATTGTCGTTTTTGTTGTTTGACAGATCTTCTAAGCTCACTATTAATTTGACAAACCGAAACGTGAATTCAGATTTGTCCTCTCCTGCAAAGATTTGTATAGCGCAGATTTGTCTGAATTTGCACTTGAAAGCAGCACTCTTGCTACTGGATCCTGAGTAACTCCTCCTCATGAGAGGCGTAGACAACACATTGCTAAGAAAAAGTCAGCAGGGGAGTTCCTGTTTTCGTTTTCAGGACCATCATCTTTACTTCAGTCTGAGACTATACTTTCTTTTTTTAAGGACGGAGTTAAAGCCCAGATCTGTGTCTTCAAATAAATAAATACAACTTCAAAAACAGGTAAGGCAAAGACATCACACAGAAGGAATGAATGTATTTCTTTACTTTTGTTTTGACTGGCAAAGTACTTCATCTTACCATGATCCATAATGTGATTGTTTTCTGTCCCATCAGCCTTTCATCACTGAAGTTCAACAGGTCAATTTATCTTCCACTGATTTCATCATCTTTCCCAATGAATGTCTCCCAAACAATGGAGACAGAGGAGGATCTCCTGACTTGTCTCCAAATCAAGTTTTACAACCCACATCAGAATGTCAAAGGTCTCTATGAGCTGCTTCCCTTGGGGACCAGGAGCCGACAATATGCAGATGTCCCTCTCAGGCTGGGACGAGATGCCAAGTCCTGCACCTTTGCCCTCAATGACATGCGCGTGTCCCGCAAACAGCTGGCCCTCTACGCCTACCGCACTCCACAGAGCCCCGACATGCTCTTCACCATCCAGAACTTGAGTCAGAGAGGAAGACTGTCAGTGAACAGCTCGGTGCTGAACTTCCTTGAGAGGATGGACCTTCCAAACAAGGCCCTCATCCGGTTTGGAGAGTATGAGATGCTGATCATCCGCGAGGCGGGCGAGGCCAAGGGGAGCTTCGAGGTGGAGTTTGAGGTGCTGACAGTGCCTCCGTCCAGAGAGACATGCATGTGTGTGCCCAGTATGAACCCAGTCATGGACACAGGCTCAAGTGGGACTAATAGTTTCACAGCTGAACTCGCAGCACTGGGCCCTCTGGAGACTGATGAAACTCTTATGTACCAGTCATGATGTCAGATGTTACTTTGTTTGTACTGATATACTCTCCACAGTTGTTCTTTGCATCTGGATAACACCCCCTTCTGTAATGTGAAATCATATTTACACCATGTATCTATTGCATTATATTTTTTAGTTAACAGTTATTTGTTATATTTTTCTAACTTGAGCACATTACATTGTTTTTTAAAAAGCATCTTATTGTGTTGTTTAATTACTGTGTTTGTCAGACATATTTGTTACAAGAAATTCAGGGAAACCTTCATTTGATGGCAATCTTTGATTCTGCCTTCTCCCTGGAAAAACAAAAGACGTATGGAGATGCAACCAGTTTGACCAGTTTGGCTTTGAGATAAGCTTCCACACTTCTTCAGATGAACTGTTAAGGGAAACTGTCTTGAGAAGAGCAAAAAAAAAAAATTATGTTCAATCACAATGATGTAAAATTGTTTTTTATGTTTATGTGAACAGTTATGTTCTTCAGCTCAGGTTAATACCAGGCATGAATACAAATGTTGGAAAATCGGTTTCACTCTGTGGGGCGAAACAATAAGGCAAAACCTCTCCGGGGTAAAAAAAAAACGCTATAACCCCAGCAAGATGTCAGAGATTAGAACCACCGGTCAGGTATCCTGTTTGGATTTTTTTATAGTCATATAACAAAGTCCAGGCTGATATCGTTGGAATGTGATGCACCATCAAAACCCCCATAACCACCACCCCCCCCCTCACAGACAGAGTATTGAAACTGTAAACCTCCCTGGAATTCTGGAAAGTCCACCAAGGAGGGAGTGTGTGCAGTCAGTGTGTGTGTGTCAGGGCCTCAAGAGAGTCGTCATTTGAACTGAAATGACCTCAGTGAGCAAATCAAACTTTTCAAAAAGGGAATAGAGAAATGACCCGCCTCACTCTTTGAAACAGATCTTGAAGGTCTTTCTTTAAACTGACAATAACACAGCTACAGTTTTTTTCAAGAATGGCTCTTTTTCAGGATGTCAAATATTTTCATAGGCTACTACATGTGTCGGATACAATCTCCATTATTTGAATGGTTGAATCAAAAAAGGACTGAAGCTTAAAAAAATAAAAAAAATAAAAAACTACAGATCTTCAGTCGTATTTTAAGCAAACGCTACCACGAGGGAATAATACATTAGACTGATATAGCGCTTTTCTGGATACTCAAAGACACTTAACAAATAATAAATAAATAAAGAGTGACAGGATTTACAAAGAAGACAGCTGCAGGACCAATCACATGTCATGTACTAATTCTTTGTACAATCATAACAAGCCAAATACTGTCAGATCCACAGCAAAAAGTTAAAACAAGGGCATGTTTTCTACAGGAACGTAGTCAATCTGCAATCTTCTATAAAAGGTAAAGTCATGTTGTTTGACTAAGAGTTCTAAATAGACCTAGAGGAAAATGTGTTTAAATCACCATGGTTATGTTTAAATGTCTCATACTAACATGAAAAAGGCAAAGAAACAAATATATCGCCACACTTAAAAATCTCAAGACAATTTATTTAATGTTTTTTTTTTCAACTTTCAGCTGCAGCAGATTTAAACATAGCATACTCTACAGTATGAATGTATGACACAGTTTGAGGCTCATGACATGTAAGCATAAATATAAAGCATGAATCACAAAAAAATACTTTGAAAGTTGTGTTAAAGGACATGCAATAGATTCAAGCTAACATTTCTCACTACACAATTTTTGAGTTGTTTTTTTATTCTAATGGCCAACATGGTAAATGGCCTGGAGCTTGTATGACACTCTTCTGACTGATCAAAGTGCTTTTCAGGCACTGATCCACAAAGGAGACCGTCTGTGAGCGGTCGTCGCTTTAGTTTTTGCGGTGTGTCCGGATCCGTCGCTACCCGTACATGGTGATTGGTCGTCGGCTGTAGTCTTTGTGGTGTGTTCTAGTGACACTTTTTGGCCAAGACGTGAGGCGACACCACAGGCAACCAGCATCACCACTAGTTCTTTGCAGTCTGCTTGGTTTGTCAGGGCCTTCACACCGCAGGTCACACCAACACGGCAACAGTGACCATCAGTATTAATGAATCCATTCACACTCTGCTGTCGAAGCAGCAGGAGCATCTTGGGGTTAAGTGTCTTGCCTAAGGACACATCGGACATGTTGCTGAGAGAAGCTGGGGATCGAACCCCTGACCTCTACCACTGAGCCACATCTGGCAAAGTGCCAATGAGAAAAACCTTTAAGGTGATTCATGTTCATTTAAATCTGTTTGTTGCTGATTCATGTTAATTGTCCCACTTTTAAATAAAGTCAAATTAAATTACAAATTTATATGTTCCAAAACTCTGTTCACTAAGAAAAAGGTAGAGGGGGTTTGGTTACATGATCTTAGTATGTGAGACACTAGGGGGTCTGCTTTCTTTGAACTTTATATATGTATAGTTTGGTATGACTCAAGTAAAAAAGATTCAACACAGATCCGATCGGTCAGACTGACGAGTTGATTTTCCTCCATCACGGCCTCTATAATCGTATCAACAGCTGCAGAGATCATCCTGCTGGCTTTCTGACAACTGGAACCTCCCACTCACCAACCATTGGACCAAACGCTCCTGCATGAATCAAATCCACGTCCTGTAACAACAAACAAACACACTTGATACAGAGCTCACAGTAAAGACGGGTCCCTTTATGGACGGTGAACTCATGCTGCCTTACCATATAACAAAGAATCGTCTGATTCTGTCTTTTCCACTTCCTGTTTGGTTACAGCTTCCACAGCTGAGAGAGGTCTGTGGACAGGTAGAGATAGTTAGCATACTTACCTTCAGTGATTAACATAAGTGTGTATGTTTTCCATTAGCTTGAAATGACATGCATCAAAATCAATTAAAGGAGAAAGAAGTCAAATCCATTTGACTGTTAAAAGCAAAAGGAAGCATTGGGATCACGAATATTGCCTTAGACTGATTTTAAAAGGACAGATAGGACGGTGGATTAAGCATTATGAAATGTTAAAAAACAGTGAGGGAATTTTTTTTTTTTGGAAAGGTCGTTGAAGAAAAAAAAACTTTCAGATTCTCTATTAGCGAGTAAAAACATGAGACGTTTTCTTAAATGGGAATTCTCTCTCAAATTGTGTTCCCAGCTAATGGGAACCCAGTGGTATGAAAGAGGGAGGCAGGAGACGGTTCATTGCATTAGTAGGTGGTTTTTGTTTTTTTAATTAAAATGTAAACATCACATACCTCTCCTTTGGTGGATGCTGCACATCTTCCCAGGGTCACTTACCATGCACTGGCGTCTCCTGCTTAGAGTCTAACAACCTACAAAGAGTAAAAATACTAAGAAATCCAAGACTGCATGCAATTGTGGGTACTAATATTTAAAAAAAGGTGTCAATGTTGAGAGAACAAACAGTAATGGGATGTGTGACATATATACAGTGTAACACATTGATGTGAAACTAAGACTTCATCGCAAGACAACAGACACATGGGCCAACGCAAAGGTCAGTTTATTACTGTCATACTAATAGGAAATAAAATCTAACACAGGTTGGATTCATGACTGGTTTTGAGGTTGGATTCCGTTCCCCATGTGCAGATAAACGCAAACCATTTTGAGAGGCCAAAGAAGAAAACAGGGAACTTAACCGGAAATATAAACAATAATTTTAGTTTTTTTCTTCTTTAAATAATCATTTCTTGTTTTTCTTTTAACAGCGACAACTTCCACTGACTGAGGATCAACTTAACCATGTAAACAACTGTTTCAAAATGTCTTCCTTCATCAAGCCTGGTTCCTCCGCTGAACCTGCATCAATGATTTTAAAAAGTTATTTCACTGTAGTTGAAGTGCTAGCTTTTAGACTGGGAGCAGACCGGCGGCTGCTTGGCTCTTGAATAACTTGAAATTCGTTCATGTTTTCCTTTAATTTTCCCTCGATACAAACAGAAAGTGAAGCACTACGTACCATGTTTCAAGCTAAGAGCTCTGACGGGTGTTTGGAGATACACCCAATAATATATTACTTCACACAGGGTCTGGGGGAGTGTCAGTCTACCACGGTACGTTACTAAAAAAAAGGCCTACCCCAAACGAGGAATAATTTCACAGTTAAAGCGTTGTGTTTGGTTTGATTCGTTTATTAAAAGGCCTTCAAAATGAGGAGCATCTTGTAAAGTAAATAAAATCATACATAACGGTGCTGTAGATCTCCGCAACCAAATAAAACACAAAGCGTAAAAAAAGAACAAAAACCACACTGGAACTTTTGATTTGTCATGCTAACATTGCTAACATGTGTCGCAAATTTGAAGATTGCCGTAAAAGTCTACACAACAAGTGTTATACTTAAGTCCTGCGACACTCGATGTTTTTGAATTAGTTATGAGTATCTCGTCATCAGCCTGCAACCTTAAGGCTAAACACATTTTTTGTTGTTGTTGCAATGTCTAAAATTCTCTTTGCATTTAAATGACTTCCCTTGTTATGAAATATTGTCAGTTACCCAGATACCGGATCCATTAAAAAAGATTGAAGAACAAAAGTGTTTTTGGCTGAACTAATGCGTCACACTGAAATAGACTGAGCACCTATTCTGCAAACATTTGAAGGATTTGAAAAGTAAAAACAAGCAGAGGAACAGAAAAAGCATAAACAGCTCAGAAGAGTACGTGAACTTTAGACATGGAGTCGTATGATTTTAAATACGGAGCTCTCCCGCAAACAGTATCTTCCAGTAAGCCGCAGAGGAACGCAACGCAATCCGCCATAGACGAGGGGATGCATAGCGCCACGTGCATCAGCAGACGGCGACGATCTTGTCATATTCTAAACCTGGAAAGAGAGCACACCACACATGTCAAGGAGCGCGTTTTACTAAGAACTCGCGCAAGACTTATCTTTGATGTCAAAGCAGCAATGTTTGAGGATTCTGTAAGCAAAATGTTTTCACTTTTGTAAACTGATTTCTTGGCTAGTTTCAGGAATTTGGAGCTCTGGTTGGTGGAGAAGGTTGAAAGCGTGAATCTGCTTAACTTACGAAATAAATTAATTTTGGTAGATATTTATTTTTTTTCTCAATTATGCCAACTCTTATGTGATTTTCATGATATTATGAAACATCCACTCTCTGGTCTCACCTTGTGTTGTACTTGTGTGCCTAATAGCCCGCGTAGCGAGGTGGTGGTGGGGGCAGAGGCATTCTGTCCGTGTAGGAGTCCCTGGGGCGAGGAGGGGCATACATCGGGGGTCTGGACAGTGGGGATAGACGGGAGCGCTCATATGGGTACCCATTACCCGCTGGCGGAGGAGGTGGTGGTGGGGCTCGTCTGATAGGGCTTCGGTCCCTGACCATGTAGGATGGAGGAGGGGGGGAGCGGCCGGCGATCGTACGGGGTCTCCATCCCGAGTCGTTCTCTAACCAGTGCTGAGGGAGGAGGAGGAGGAGGGGGGATGGCACGCGAACGCCTGTCATCGTAACCTCCTGTGCTGTACGGACGGGCTCTATATTTCTCATAGTAATCAACCACCCCATAGCCTTCTCGCTCGCCATAGCCACGGTCGGGATAGGGTGCTCGTCTTGGTGGAGGGGGCGATGGGGGTGGAGGAGGGTAAGCAGGCATGCGACCCCTGTAAGGAGGCTCGGGCCTGTCCCCAGGATAGCGAGGGGGATAATAGCCTCCTCTTTGTGGTGGTGGAGGATAGTCCCCCATCTCCTCGTATCCTCCTCTAGGTCTGCTTTTTGATATCTGAACATGTATGCGTTTTCCTGAGGCAAAAAAAATAAAATCCCTGACATGTAGACGCTGAACATGAAGAGTATGAAAGCCCCCTAACCGTAAATCTTTTCATTCATTGAGAAGTGAATCGACTTACCTTGAAACTCAGTGTTATCCAGTCCCTGTATGGCATCCATGGCCTCATCAGAATTGGACATGTGCACAAAGGCAAAGTCCTTTACAATGGAGCACTCTGTGACCGTGCCATACTCTTTAAACAGCTCGCGGAGCTCTTTTTCGAAGCCCCTCTCTACATTGGCTATGTGGAGCTTCACAGGGCCCTGGTTCTTTCCTCTGCTGGGCTCAACATTGATGGGCCTCCCATTCAGCTTGTATTTATCAAGCTCTGCGATGGCTTTGTTGGCTGCCTTGCGGTCTTCCATATGCACGAAAGCATAATTTTTATACTTTGCACATTCTGTCACTGTGCCATACTGAGTGAACAGAGCTTCCACTTCATCTTTGTCAGCTTCAGGAGACAGGTTCCCGATGAAAATCTTCACCATGGCTGCTCCAGTGTACCTCTACGAAACGGAGAGAGACAGCACAGGTCCTCATGTCGTTACAGAAAGTAAACAGTGAGAGAATGGTTACCCTGTGACGTCATGACCAGGAAATAGAAAGCTCACCGGCCAAAGGCCAGGAGCCAAAATTCAAATCTGTCAACAAGAAGCACATTAACCTTAACATTATCTATTTACTCTAGACGTGACTTCAAATGTAGCTAACGAAAAAAGTTGAAAAAGGTTTCGTCTTGGCACTTCCTGGTCTGAAGCTATCCAGGCTCATTTCACTGGTTTCTATTACGAGGCTAACAGTAGCTGCCTGGTTAGCCATTTTGCCTCGTGTCAATAAACTCATTAAACCTCAGTTAAGCGGTTGCCATTGGATACGGAAACATTTATAAATTTTTTAAACTCCAGAGATTACAAACGCAACACACACGAATGGAGAAACGTCAAGAAAACAAAAGCTCTCGACACTCACCGCTTGTGAACGGCGCCACAACAACGAAGTCGAAACTCCACAAGCTATGAAGCGGACGGTACTGGCTGCCGACAAGCGCACAAGCCGGGCTCTCATTGGCTGAGGGCTGTGTCTTTAAAAAAGTACGAAATATGATTGGCTATTATTATGACGTAACATTTTAACCGGAAAAGGCAAGGTTTTTATTTATTTATTAAACATTTCTTGCAAATGTACAACTGTAAAAAACAAATACAAAATCAATACACAAATACAAAATATGGTTACATTCTGTACAGAAACAGCTGTCATGTCAATAATTAACAGTACATCATTTGAACATATAGAAATGAAATGACAATGTCTTAAAGTGCAGTGAATGAGGTCTGGACTGAATATAAGAAAAAAAAGAAAATAAATAAAACAAGATAAACAATGAATCAAATATACAATGGCATATCAGTTTTCACTTTCTATTTCATTGGGAAAGTTCCTTCAAAATATCATAAACTGTTTGTGCTATTTTTCCTTTTACAAATGTTAAAGACTTGAGGTACAATTTAAATTCATTCAAAAAACAGACAAAATTGGGGGATGACTTTAAAATGTATTTTTGTGTATAAAGAATTTTGCTAGACACAGAAATACATTAATGCAGATCAAAAAGGCAAGGTTTAGACAAAAATAAAAAATAAAAACTATTAAATAATGCAATAAGTGCAGAATCACTTAATATTAAATTAAACTATTCCCTCCATGTTTATTAACAGAGTAGGGGGGTTAAATACCCTATTTATAAACCTTTATTTAACCGGATCCCAATAGGCTTAAATCTCCTATCAAAATGCTTCAATTACAGAATATTGTTTTATTTTTCATCACAATTTACCCTCTCTGTAGTAGAAGAAAAAAGGCATTATTATTTTTTTTTTTACTTTATGAGAAATGAAATGGGTCCATTAATTAAAAGGCTTGGTGAAAGGAGTGTATCTCTAAATGCAGAGCTGCTTGGTATCACTACTCAGTGTGTAGTAGGCTTATCAACAACATTTGCAGAGAACACAAATAGCTTTTAAATTAATTCACACATAAAAACACATTCTCACTGCATATAACTTTTCTTACGATATCTATTTATTTGTTATTATTCAAAACATGACAGGCCATTTTTTATTCATATAGGCTAACAAACTATATTGTGATTTAGTGACAAAAAGCAAAGCTGGAAAACTAAGTAGCCAATGAAAAATGATCCCTAACAACATGGCCATAGACACGGTGAGACAATACACAGTAAGGTCATTTAGAACAATGGGAACAAAAGATTTAAAAATGTTAAAACACAGCAGAAGAAAAAGGGGTAAAGGCAATAAAAATCAGTAAAAAAAACAAAAAAAAGTGAATGAAACGGAAAGTAATACAAGTAGTAAACATTTAAGTGAATTTAGTGGAAAGGGAATTAGCTGGAATGACAAGAAGTAAAATAAGATTTTTCTCTATTTCATTTATATTTTTCTTTGTTTATAATACGCTTAAAGTAAAATTCAGAATCTGAAAGTGTCTGTCAAATATAATATCAATGAATGTTAGTTGATGTCATAAACTTTACAGACTATACTATTACAAACATCTTAAGACTGAAAATACACAAATAGTAGCTTTAACAGAATTCTGCCAATACTATCTGGGGGAAAAAAATCGTTTCTTTGGCCACTTGGGAGCAGCAGTGTACAGGCTCATAAAGTTCACGTTTTCAACATATGAAGCAGGAACTGTAAAGAATGAAGAGAAAGTTGAGTAAGTGCTTAACATAGATCTCTAAATTATGTTATACACAAAAAGAAAACTGTTGATTTCTTAATCATTTTTGTGTATTTCATATGTTTAGTAACTCGTAAAAAAACATTGTAATCAATATCCTTCTTAGATGCATTTCATTGAGGATTTAATAATTACCATGTTTTTTTAAATCTGAAAATGAAGTTTAAATGTGCTTTTATTTTGTAACCATGCAAGAAAGTAAACTGGATGTAAACAGTCACATCCAAACAGACGTGATTGAGAAGCAGTTACTATAAAAAAAAAAACCTTTGGAGCTTTTTGGGGGGAAAGGGACTCTGGACTTTCAGAAATCACTTCAACTGTGTCATGTTAAGTGACTTGTACAGCTGTCTCCTGACTGAACATCCTCTGTTTGACATGTTGACTTTCCTGCAGATAATCAAAGATAGCACTGGGTTTATGAACAGTCTTCCAAGGGCCATGTTTTTGTACACTAACCCCAGATCCCAGAGGAGGAAACTCCTATGTTGGCTGGTACAAGTTTCCTTATTTGTGTGCGTGTGCTTGTAATCCTATTACCACAGAGCCTTTTTGCGTTTCACACAGTCATGAAATAGTTAACTGTTCTGGCAAACTGTACAAGTACAACATGCCTTTTAAATTTGCAGAAGCACATAAGCTAATTTTCATTCTTAAAAAGGTTCCTTTGACACAGGCTGGAGGTTTAATTCAGATACAAGTCAAGATTGGATTACTTTGATGTCGTCACACTTTGCAAACCATTTTTTATTAGTTTGAAGAACCCGTTTTAAGGTTTGTGCCAATCCAAAAGCTTGAATCGAAATCAGTTTCTTTGTGAACAGCTGTGCCCTGATGTTTTGACACCTTTTCCCTTACCAAGCTGATGTAACAGTAGACGTCCAGTAGAGGGAGCTGCATGCCGATGGACAAGAAGTCACAGAGGGAGACTGAGGTGATGGCGCAACTGTGAGCTGGTAAGCTCTGTAGAAAGTGGCATTTCCTATATTTATTTTTCTTTTAATGCAAGTTAAAAAAAAAAAAAAACAATCTCAGCCGCTTGATGGCTGGCAGTGCAACACTATTAGTAGTCACACCTAGAATAGATCTGGTGACATGTAAGAGACAAATCAAGGCCAAATGCCAAAGATGTCAGTAGTAGATGAACTTTGCTGACACTTCATGAAACTCAAATTAGGGATTGCTTAAAATAGCTTGAGAAAAATGTAACACTAGTGACAGTTATAACTGGTGTTATAAAAGTGTGTAGTAAGAGTTTACACTGCAACATTTTCACTTAAACATTTTTTTTCCACCTGTGGTGTCAAGAGTTGGGGCGCGTCAAAGAAGTACAAACTGTTGAGAAGATGTGTATACCAAACAATGAAAAGTCCTTTATTGCCATCAGAACATGAGTGAGAAAACCAGAGACAAAAATCTGACAGAGTGAGGAGTCGACTGTACAACCAGCATCCACACAGACACACACACAGACACACGCACACACACACACAGAGCAGCCAGCAGTCTTTCAACAGGACGGGAGGGGTTCAGATACATAAGGAAAATACAGTATTCACACGATGAGGTATAAAGGTAAACACAAACATACAAGATAGGGCCTCGTCCTCCACTCACACACATGCAGCTTAACCAAGGTACAAATACTCAAGTGCTCGTTCATCCTTTAAAAACACAACATACAGGTGAGCAGAACTGTATAAGAGCAGCATCTGGGTCAATCTCCATTCAACCACATTTCCGTTTTATCTGTCTCTCAAAACCTTTGGTCATGTGGACGCTTGCTTTGTCATGCACAATGTTGTATTTTAATACTTTGTGAGACTTTAAAACTTGTGAGCGAAAGGAACGAGTCCCCTTCCCCTGACTCGTATCCAACTCGAGAAACTTTCAGGGGCCAGGTGAGAAAGAGGGAGGAGATTTTGTTTGTTTTTTGTCTCTTGAAGCCACCAATAGTTTCCCTCTCTCTCTTCAGGGTCGAGTTTCTACGTTAGTTGGACATTCAATGTGTACATTAGCAGCAGTTCTAGTGAATGAAACAATGGCTTTGTAAGTCAGATTAATAAAACACCCTCTTTCCTCATGCACAGGGACAGGCACCACCGACTACTCATTTAACTAAATGCCATGCAGAGTTAGAAAAATAGACTGCAAACTCACAAGACAGAGAAATCAAAGTTCGTCTCCAGAGAAGAGGTTGATTTCACTTCAATTTTTTATTTCATTTTCTAAGATGTGGAAATAGCAACAAAAAGAACTTGAGAGCGGTAACCAAGACAACAGTAACAACATGAGCAGAGAGCCACTGAGTATTTTTTTTTTTTTTTTCTGAGTCCCTCTCATACTCCACCCCCCCCACCCAGCCCATACTGCCAGGTACAAGACGGACGCTCAGCTTCTTTACAGTTTCTTGATGCGGTCCTCTTATCGTGCGCCACGGTGTGTGCGACCACGCCGACTTTTACGCGCACCCTGGTGTGTGTGTGTTGTGTGTACCTGTAAGTGTGGGCCTGTGTGTCGTGTGGCTCTCATGTTAATTGAAGCTGTCCCATTCCCACAATCTCCAGGCCCCCTCCTCCTCCCCCCCACTAGCAGCACCCCATCCCCAGAAAAGGTGGTCGCCCCATCGTGTGCATCCGGAGCTGCGCGCTGCAGTGGTTTATCAAGACACTAGTGTGGCTGGAAGCTAACGCCGGCGCCCCCTCGGACAGAGAAAGAGGCACAGTTTAGTTCTCCTTTAAGTCTAAAGTCTAGAGTTCAAGTCTGCCGTCTTGTCTGGTCTCAGCCTGTCCTGGTTAACACGGCTGCGTGGGTGCCACCCTGGACCCCTCAAAGAACCCTATTTATCAGGCCTGTTGATAAATAGAAGATGCCTGACCGTGTGCCCCCACCCAGGGCTGCTTTGTGTTTTTGTTACATCACCCCACCTTGTTTAGTTTTGTGGTTGCCAAATCTCGCAACTGTGCACACACAAACACATGTACGCCATCACGCACTGACCCTGACGCTGTCTATTCTACTCGGAATGAGGACAAGCGCCTTGAATTTCTGTGTTTGGCACCACTCTGTTTTCCTCACGTTCCTTCATGTTGGTCAGTCGCTTCTTCCTTTTCTGTATCCTTTATTTTTATTTTTTCCATCTCTCTCTCTCTCTCTGTCTATATATCCTCATAACTCCCTCACAGGTCTGTTCTCTTCTTGGAACCATAAAAAGGAAAACCCAAAGAGAGAACGTCTCTCCCTCGTTTCTTCCTCTCAGGAAACAAAAACAAACTTAATGGA